GGCGACAGTTCTGGGAAGCTTTAGGTAGAATACTGCGAGCTGGAACGTCCCCTTACAGCAAACTTGGTAGCCATGTTCAAATTGGTGCTGGAGGAAAATTGCTCTACAGAAAGAAGGAACTTGTATTTCTCTATCATCTTAACAACTTACCGTTTTGAAATGCCTCAAAAGTGTTTTACTATCAGTTTAGTTAATGTATTTTTGCAGGAAAACATGGCAGCCAGGTCCCACAGGCACCCATGAGGTGAATGGCCATTTAATTTGGTGAATTGTTGCCCAGGACAATGGGAAAAAATCCTTTTGTTGAATTGTCTTTGGGGTTTTAATGCCCATTTGAAAAGTAGGCAGGCAGCTATTGGTTTAACGTCTCATCCTAAGAACTGTACCTTGACAATGCAGACTAGGAGCATATGGAGCTTGATCCCAGAATCTTCTGATCCAGATTATGTATAAATTTGAAAAGAAAAACTGGGGATGGAGAAAGTGAATTGTTTGGTTGAAAGAAAAAAATGGGAAATAGAATTCAAATGGTAGTCAATATTAATTTTAATGAAAGACCCCTGTTTTGGAGCAAAGCATTTTGAAGGAAATAAATGTTTATTCGCATGATAGGAAAGCATTCAAGAATGTGCTACACACACATTACTTGTGGCAAATATTAAGATCCGTGGAATGGATGGAAAGGCAGCTGAGTGCACAGAGTAATAGTTGAACAGTTGAAAGAGAGTGGGAACCAACAACAACAACAAGATTACATTTGTATAGCGCTTTTCACGTCGGGACAGCATTTCAGACCCGAGCTGGGGTCAGGGGGGAGAAGGGAGGGGAGGGGAAGGGGGTGACCGATGGCATAGTCGAGGAGGAGGGTTTTGAGGTGGGACTTGAAGGAGGCTAAGGAGGGGGCGAGGCGGAGTGATTAGGGGATGGAGTTCCAGAGGTTGGGGGCAGAGTGGCTGAAGGCTCTCCTGCCAATGGTGGGGCAGTTGGGTCGGGGGACGTGGACCAGGCCAGAGCCGGCTGAGCGGGGGAGTGGGCGGGCTGGTAGGGTGGTTTTCCCAATTGGCAGAGTGGTAGTAGCTAATGGCGTTCCTTAGGGATTCGTGTTGGGATGTTTCTTGTACCTATATACATCAATGATCTGGATGAGGAGCTGATGGAATCATATATGAATTTGTGGATGATTCTAAATTAGAAGAGATTAACAGTGAGGAAGAGTTCAGAGATATTGCACAGGTTAGATTAGTGGGCAGATTTATGGAAAATGGAATTCATTATATTTAAAAAAAAAGCAGAAGTACTGGTATTTTGGAAGAAAGTTTCACCCTGGATGATAAAATTCTTAATGGATTAATGGAAATGGATTGTAACAGAAGCAGTATGTAAAGAATTCAGGAATCTAATGATTGCTGTGTCCTCCCAGGTCCTGCTGCCAAGCCTGGCTGGCTGATTTGTCATCAGTAGTGCCTTGGAGTACTTGTCTGGCTCAGAAATTGTACCACTGAGACTGTCACAAAGGATGATCTCGACTCCGATTCTTCTTTGCCAAGTGCATCAGATGGAGCTACCTCAACAACCACAAATTACAATTGTGTAGCACCTTTCATGTCAGGAGGACGTCCCAAAGTGCTGCACGTCCCAAAGGGTACCTCAGTCCCAAGGAGACCTTTTACCCCTCTCTTGTCTCTGCAGCTCCCTCCCCACCTCTCCCAGGAGGGTAGTCAATAGTTAGTTTAAAAATAACATATCTGTTAACATTTCAAGTATGTTTTGCTTCATGCAAAACCACAAAAAACATGTAGAAACAAAACAAATCTGTTATCTGCCCCTTTCAGAAACTTGTGCCATGCACATAACGTTTTCTACTGGCACATGACCCTCTTCCATTCAGCTGTACGTAAACTAGGACAAAGCTCACTTTCTCCAGTTTCAGCAGCAGTATTCGCTGTTGGTCAGCATGATGGAAAGTTGTAACACAACCATATCAGAGATTTTTGTCAATATTTTAACTATTTGCTATAATCTGTCATTGTGAGAATTCTTCTAAAACTTTTTTTTTTGAACCTGCTGGAGTTTTTTTCAATGCAGGTTTGCCTTGGTTTGGTTCTTGTATAGGGTTCCTGTGACAACCAAAGATTTCCGCGCAAGCAATGAAGAGGTACATGTGCATCAGCCTGGCTTTGAACCCTGAGTCAGAAGGTTGTAGGTCCAAGCCTCACGTCGGAACTTTGGAGTCACAACCTACGCTGACACTCTTAATGCAGTGCTGGGAGAGCCGTCCTAAGCAGGAGCATTAAACTGAGGACTTGTCTGTTCGTTCATTCAAGATCCCATGGCACTGTTTCAAAAGGAAAGGGAGTTGGTGTCTTGGCTATCAATTCCCCCAAAAGATTGGTTATTCACTTTGTGGTTGTGCACAAATTGGTTGCCATATTTCCACACAAAATTTAACTTATAATGAATTCTGTGAAGTGCTTTGAGGTGTCATTCCTGAGCTGAAAGGAGCATATTGTATATTGTAAGCTAGGATCATTACATTTATACAAAGCTCTAGGGATACAGTGACCCCCTATAAAGGTATAAATCTATAGCTCAAACCTATCCAATCATTTGAAGAATGACAGAAGACTTAGTTGAAATTCTGCAACAGTAAGAATGGAGGATGTTCTGGATAGATGAGGAAAGTGACAAATGGAGTTCTGCAAGGATCTATAATGGAATAATTGCTTATTTTTGGACTCTTATAATAATGGAGAATATTTATGGAATATTATTTTGCTAATGATATATTGACACCTAGTTGAATTTAAGATGCATAAATGCATTGCTGGTGGAAGTTCTCCCACCAATTTTCCCAGTCGGGACAATATAACCAAACTATTTAGTTCTTCTCCAGGTTTAAAACAAAGGACACAGGCTTAAATTATATATCTCAAGTGGAATTAGAAGACATTAGGATCTATTATACTTCATTTGTATACATGTACGGAGGAAATTAGACGTGCCCTTGATTAAATTATTAACGAATGAGAGAGAATGGTTAATTATGTAATTAGGCGTATGTAAGTCACTCTTTACAAGTGTTTTTACACATGATTTACAAAACTCAGAATACACGTTGATACGATTCAAATTTTTTCATTGTCCTGGATAACTTGCCAATAAAATTATTCTCTTCTCATGATGAATTTAACTACGCATAAAGATCTTGAAGAATGGCGAAACCTTGGGCAAGGGCGAAACCTTGGGCAAGTTTCCTTACTCCACACGCCTAATAATAATCCCTCCAAAAACAATAATAAAAAATTGGTCATTTTCAATCTACGACTGTTTGTAGGACACTGCTGTGCGCAATTGGCTGCCGCGTTTGCTCACAAATATACAGTCAATTCACTATACAGTATATTCTGTGAAGCGCTTTGGGACGTCTAGAAGATGTGAAAAGCGCTGTATCAAATGCAAGGATTATTATTATAATGGATTCACAGCCTATGTCAGAAGTTTTTTGAGTAGTACCTTTAGCAATACCTCATTTTCTCTTTCACAAAGAGTGCGTGTGTGTAAAAAAAAATTGGGAGAAGTCCACAGATTTCCTGTTCAGATTAAAGGACATAGAATCATAGAACCTTACAGCACAGAAGGAGGGCATTCGGCCCGTTGTGCCTCTGCCGGCTCTTTGAAAGAGCTACCCAACTAGTTCTACAGTCATTGCACTGAATTTTTTGTAGCCCTGAAGCCCCTTTTTGATGCTGAGGAAAACTAGCAGTAGGTCCATTCAGCCCTAATTTATCATGGCCCTTGACAACTTGAACGTTTATTAAAGCTTTAACTCTAGAGTAGGAAATGTTTAACCTGCCATGGATGTAAATAAATCATTTTCATTCTGATGTTTTGTGGATACAGTAAACTTGAAAATGCTATAAATGTAATTTAGTCACTGCTATAAGTGTACAATACATTTCTGCATTCTGTCTCATTTAAAATATTATTGCACTGAAGTTGAGGTGAAAAAGCAAACGTTAAATAGTTTTTAAATGCATTTTCAGTCTGCACATTCAGTTTTGAATACAAATTGATGCTGAATTTGGTTTTCCCAATACAATTGAAACTGGATAATTGTGTAAACGTGGATTTTCAAGTCAATTTATTACCTGTATGTAGAGTCTAAATGTCTTAATTGGCATTTAGTCAGACCTAGTTAGACCCTGTATACTGCTTCTCCATGTAATGCAGGCAGACTCTGGACCTACAATATACGAAGTACAGTAGTGTGTCAGCCCGACTTAGTTGGTCACATGCTCACATATGGGCTATGGATTCAAGCCCCAGGTCGGGACTTGAACTCGCGTTAGTCTAAGATGACTGTGGTGGTGGGTCTGTTGCAATGTCAGGGGTGCCATCCTTCAAATGAGATGTTAAACTGAACCCCATCTGCCTGTACAGGTGGATGTTAAAGATCCTATGGCACTACTTGAAAATTGAAGGGAGTTCCTTCTGGAGTTTTGGCCAACAATCCCTCAAATAAAATTGGTCATTCACTTCATAGTTGTTTGGGGGCATCGCTTTGCACAATTGCTTTGCGTGTTTCCCTACAAATACGCAGTCATTTCCATGTACAGTATATCCTGTAAAGTCCTCCCGATGTGCAAGGCACTATATCAAATTCAAGGATTATTTATTTATTATGACACTTGGTCGCCGAATAACCCACAAGCACAGAAGGCCTTCCAGGTTCAGTGACGTCCCTACTGACCAGACGGCCTTCTACGCACGTATGTGACCACATCGACAGCCTGATGATGAAGAACCGCTGACCAGCAGCCAAACTATAAATGTGATTCCTTATAACGCAGGGTCTTATAACATGGTGGTTTGGGTCCATAAAATAACAGGCTACAATATTTTAAAATTGCAGATATTCACGTGGCAGTATTGTACATGTTTTAATGAGCAGGCACTGTAATTGCCATGCTTCCAAATTGGTAACAGTTGTTAGAAATAAAGGGCAATCAATCATTTTATAATGCAGTGGGTTAGAGCTCCATGTAGTCCATTGTCTAAAGAGCTTCGAGGTGTTCATCCTATGTGAAGGTGCAAGTATGTTTGTTAATATTTTTTGACTTGCTGGTCAAACTATTTAAGCAAATCGTAATGTACAAATGTCTTGGTTTCCTTCTAGAACAAATTTTGCTGTTTTTTCTTGTACTTTCATCTGTTGCATGTCGAGCATTGCATGGTTGGAACTAACATCCTTTTCCTCTTCCTATTTCATTCAAGGCTGCAAAACAGATCAAGGATAGGTAAAAGAACGCTTTTATCTTTGGCAATTGTTTAATAATGCACACATATACTGTAATTATTAAATGCAATCGAAAGTGGTGTGAAAATATGGGGAGGGTGATTTTAATTTGCAGCAGAGAAAAGAGTTTCCAAGTGTTTCTCTTATGAACCAGAAGCACGCACTCGTGTGAATGCGATTAGTCTCTGTTTGGTTTGCTACATTTATGTGTTCCATCTAGATCCTGAGATGATCTGGTGCTGTCTACAGCAAAGGTATTATCAATACCATTCTTTAACGACCAGTCTATCTCATGATGGACATTACAGTAGCAGAGCACTTCAATGGATTGGACAAGGTAGAAGAGGAAAGCTACCAGAACCATCCATGTCTTAGAGAAGTGGCAGTTCAGAGATTTGCAGAGGCAGGTTCAAAGCAACACGCAGAATTGACCCTGTTCACTGCGGGTAATGACGCGCAAGAATCGATTTGACGTGCCACTAATATTTCTGCACTGGTTTAATACCCATGTTTTGTTTGAGTAAGAACTAGGTTGAATTCGGTAATATGCATTTCTGATAACTTGCCAATATTCTTGTTAATTTTATTTTGATAATCACAGGGTCACAATGGCTCCAGCATTTCGACTGTGTTTAAAGCTAAAGATCAGCGACAACATGACTCATTTAATGGTTGACTTCTCCCAGGAGAAGGAGATGCTCAAGTCACTAAAATTTTTACCAGGTAAAATTTCATGATTTTTCACTTGCCTAGGTTTGACTTGAATAGTACCGTTAACAATGCGAAAAATGTTACCGTTTCCATTTATGCTGAGAAACTGCAATTCTGTCTCTTACAGAAGTTACAAAATTGGGGTTAACTTACTCTCTCCCATTTTCCTCTCGTAACCAGATTTGCTTTTGTAATGCATCGCTTCAACAATCAGTGTCTGAACAATTTCTGCTTCATCGCTTGCTCAGAATTCATGCACATAGTTCAGTTTATTTCTGTGCAATAGAAGCACTTTTAGGAATTTATCAGTCTGACTGCAACAAAGTTAAGAATATTAGCTGTAAAGTTTTAAAAGTCTCTTGGCAACTGTTGTTCATTCCTACTATGCAGCTAAGTTTGCGTCAAGTATGATGTACCGAAAAAGCCAGAGAGTCAATAAGTGCCCAAAATCTGCAAATACTGACATCATGTCATAATTGTATGAGATATTAAACCAAAACTTGGCCTTAAGATCATTGTTTTAAACTCCATTCCCGAAGGTTGGAAAAATCTTAAATTCAGTCTTAATTTGGAAATGAGTTTTCTGGAAACTGGTTTTCAATAAGTCTTTAATTCACAATAAGCTCCTGAGTAGAATGTGACTATCTTTTCTCAAAATTTGGAGAGGTTTAGGCCACAATACTGTATCAAGAGCCGTGTGGAGTGATGGATTAAACTTATGCTCTTTTGTTCTAAATATAGAAAGTAATGTGTGTGTTGTTCGTTCTGTAGCTTAGTGGTTAGAGCACTCACCTCACAAGCGAGAGGACCTGGGTTCGATTCCCGACAGGGCGAAATGTTGGGCAAGTTTTCTTACTCCACATGCCTCTGTTTATCCAGCAGTAACTGGGAACCCAGTTGATTGTCAGATCGCTTTTCCGGGGGTAATAATTTGTTCAAAAAAAAATAATAAAATAATAATTTGATCACTCGATTCACGACTGTTTGTGGGACGATGCTGTACGCAATAATAATTTGATCACTCGATTCACGACTGTTTGTGGGATGATGCTGTACGCAATAATAATTTGATCACTCGATTCACGACTGTTTGTGGGACGATGCTGTACGCAATTGGCTGCCATGTTTCCCCCTCAAAATATACAGTCATTTCACTTTATAGTATATTCTGTGAAGCGCTTTGAGACGTTTCGAAGACATGATAAGGCGCTATATCAAATGCAAGGATTATTATTATTCTGAAATCTGACACTACATTATTTTTGTTAATGGTACAAATACTATAGTATAAAATGCTAGGTTTTTTAATAGTTGATTTCCCCCGGTGATTGTGTTGTTGAAATCTGTAGAGTGTCCATATATAAAGGTCAATATTGGTAGTTTGCTCAAAGCAAATAATTTGAGACCTCACTGTTTAGTATTCTATCTTTGGAAGACAAGTGTCGTGTAACATTAAATCTTCTTGCGGATTCCATTTACTGAAGTACAGAAGTGTGAGAGGCTTTACGCCCCTTCGTGGATATGCTGCAAGTATTTTAGACAGATTCCAATATTTTATAGCATTGTTACCAAAGCAGAACAGAAATAATCCCATTATTGCATTATTACAAGAAAAATATTTTGTTCATCAAATGCTCTGACCTACTATTTCAGTAATTAAAGAATATTTAGGCAAAGGGTATATGAAGACAATGTTATGCTCTAAATTGCATTCTGTTTAATGTCTGTCTGCCTGACATTTTTTTTCCGGTGAATCTGTCTTTAGCGCACTCTGCTCTGTTAAATATACATATTTTTATAATAGCTTAATACACAAAATTAATTGCATTAACTGAAAATTATTTTAGCGTTTCAAAAGTATACTTTTGAAAAACGAAAAATATTTGCAATGAGCTAAGCTGTTCTCAGTAGCTTAATGTAGCACTAACTTTTAAGATGTAAATATAGGTACAGACAGGTGAGCTGTAGTTTGTGGTGTTCAAAGTATGTAGCATTCAAGAAGCACTAAGTATGATTATCAGTATGAGGTTTGAGTGAGCAGCAGGACTGCTTTCAAATGGTAAAGGAGCTTATTTAGAATCCGATTGCAGATGACCACCTGTCTGTCTGGACATCACAATGTCTTAATTGGCCGTTTGCTTTTCTGGGGCACATTTGCTTGAACAATATTTTTGAACACAATGAAATGTTGAACTCAATAATTTGTCATAACAAAGGGGCAAACGGTCACTGGGACCAGGGATTCTTCCCACTCAGCTCCTGTTAACCCTGCAAGTCAAAGCCCTAACGTGTAGGATGTTCCTGACTGAACGAGTACTAGGAAGCTTGTCAGGCAGTGCTTTCAATGACGAACTATACAGTTTTAGTTGGTTGAACCCCAGCAATACCCAAACACACCCTTTGGGGCCTCCGAGCTTTCCCTCTTGTCAACCCGCACCTAATTCTCTCTGGAGTTAGGTAACCAAGGTGTTTCCCTCTTAGGAGAGAGTGCGCACAGAGTAGTTTCCATGTGTAGGTGGCATCAAATTTGTGGAACTCTGGTTCGGATACTCTTAAGGTGACTGGTTTTCCGCCTGTGTCAGACAAACAGCTGACCAAAACGAGACCACACACCATCGTGGAATGAAATGCTGTCGGTGACACTATATTGTACCATGGCTAGGTTCAGATACCTATTGAACCGATTCTCTGTTAAGTAATTTATTATTTTTAGGTGACATTTGTACTTTGTGGTAATATTTTGATTCCAAACCCTAGGATAACAAACTGACGATTTCCTGTAGCTGTGGCTTTGCTTCCATCACTGCCAGATTTCAATTCAACTGTAGTTTGTACTACAAATATATTCAGACATCGGATTTATCTTGAGAGCATTTTGGTTTCCAGTGCAGTGAGTTAGCTGAGGAAAAATGAAGTTCCGTGGTTGGCTTCCCAAATATTTCCCCTTCTGTTCTGAAGGGAATGATTAGTTAAAGACTAGTTCCACTGGTTGTTTCTTGGTACCTCATCCACGTGGGCATGTCGGGGCGGTGGGAGCGAATAGGATGTCACAGTTGAGGCTGCAACTGCCTCAGTGCTGTCGCTAAAAATCTTTTTCCCATCAAGAATCACTGGTTAGGATTGGGGACCCTACCTTTTCTAGTCTAAGGAATAGGTTAGTTATCCACTCACTGTTACTGTGGTGAGGTAACTCAGTAAATCGAGCATCAAACCTGGTATCAATGATTCAGTGATGCACAAATAATTGTTATTGATCACTCTTTCTGAGCTATATTTCACTAGTTGTAAAATGCTTAATTGCCCACAGCATCCAAATGTGATCCTATTGACAAAAAGCATTCAACTAATAGGCCTTCCCAAACTCAGTAAACAGTTACTACTAATGTGTCCTGTATTTCATTGTTGGTAAATAAATACGTACATCATTTAGAGAAACTAAAATTGTGTTTTATAAATAATGTTTTTTGTGCTTATAAATACTATTGCGCTTATAAATAACGTACTTTGTTTTAACCGTTTTGTTTAATGATTCATCGTAATGAATGAATACTATTAGAGAGTTATTTTGAATTGGAAATCGGCATATGTTTACCTGTTGCCTCAGTTAATAATAATTGGGTTCAACTAACTTGATTATACATCATTTTGTATACTTGGCTTTTTAAAAAGATTCAATTACCTTATATTAAAATCATGAGAGTCCCTATTATTTGTTGAAACAAACTGCATTTATAGTTAAGATCAATACTCTAAACTTCAATAATTGAATGTTTTTCTCTCTACAGTCCACGGGCTCCTGAGATCGATCCAGCAGAATGTCTGGTTGCCGATAACTGTGCTACTATAAGTTGGAGAATGCCAGGCGAGATGATAAGATTGATCATTACATACTAGAGTACAGGAAAACAAACTTTGAAGGACCTCCTCGGATAAAGAGGAACGAAACTGGGAAGCATTGATAGCATCAAAAGACGAATATATGTTATCAGGTTATGTTTAGTATTGAGGGTTGAACAACGTGTTTGTGTAAATGATGGCCAAAGTCATTTTGAATCATAGAGCCATAGAAATTTACAGCAGAGAAGGCCATAAGGGTCCGTCATATGTCTACTGCTCTTTTGAGAGCATTCATTTCAATTCAAAATACTTAGCTGCCCAATATTGTTTCACAAGATATAGGATGTGATTTGGCAAAATAGTACTGGAGTGAGAATGATGTGCGTGGATGATCTATTAAGAAATGATGACCTTAACTGCTTCTTTAGGTAGGAATCATAGCCCAGTGAAGTTACGCTGTATATTTTGATAAACCAGTGAGATTAAATGTTTTATAAGTAGATGCAATAGAACCAATTTTGGATAGATAGGTACATTTTAAAGTCAATTTGTACTGATTTTTCTTTGCTATAAAGTGGGGAGCAGGCGTATAGGGAGGGAATAGCAATATAGGAAGGGAGGGAGAGTGCAGCAATGTGGGGAGGGAGAGTGCAGGGAATGCAGTATAAGGAGGGAGGGAGAGTGTGGCAGTATTGGGAAGTAATGCCACTCAAACTACACTCAATTAAATTGACGAACACTATAAATTTGAGCAATGCATTGACCAAAAAGTGACCAGAAACTAGTTAAACAAAACGATAAACCAGTGTCTGTATTGCAGGTAATTTTGGTATGTTTACATGCGTACTTGGTGATATTACTAAAATTAATTGCTCATCTGTGGATGCGTGGCAAGAAGTTAATATCAATAAAGATGAACAAGAGATGTTGTGAAGTGATTTCTGTAATGTCATGTTAATTGTTCGTTTGTTTTGTTTTCCAGTTTTGACATTTGAATCAAAGTACATGAACTTTCGGGTCAGAGCTTGTAACAAGGCTGTGGCGGGGGATTACTCTGAACCGATCACCTTGGAGACAAAAGGTAATATCATGCAATATTTCAAATTTATTTCCAGGCGGTAAAATTGTGGGATTGCAGTACTTTACATTGCATGGTTTTGCTAAGGAGAATGCACTATTGGGATCTGTTTCTAGTTGGACAAGTTAAAACCTTGTGTGTCAGCCTGGCTCAGTTGGTAGCACTCTCGTTTGAGTCAAAGGTTGTAGGTTCAAGCACCAGATCGTGACTCGGAACTCACATAGCCTAAGTTGATATTCCAATACATTGCAAGGGTGTGCCGGGAATCAAGCCCAAGTCTCTTGTTTGCGAGGCGATTGCTCTAACCACTGAGCTACAGGACTCCGCGTTTTATTAAAATCATTGTAAAGTGTTCAACATTAGGAGATTCAACTGATTAATTTTAAACGGGCATTTTACTTGTTAATGTACTTCATTGTTGCATGATCAAGTTACAATAATGCTGATTTATTAACAGGTTTTAACTTTGCCTTTGATGGTACAACTTCACATCAGAACCTCAAAGTTGAAGATTTTAGTGTTGAATGGGATTCTTCAGGAGGCAAGGGACAGGAAAGCAAAGTTAAAGGGAAAGAGAACAAGGGCAGGTAAGAATCTTTCGGTTTCGCCTTTTTCATTTGGGGTAGATCTCCTACAGCACATCTGTTCCGGTTGTTCTTTGAGACCACAACTGGTGAATTAGGGCATTATTTTACTATACTGTAAAGTATTGTATAGCGCCTTGGGACTTCCTCCCGACGTGAAAGGCGCTATACAAATGTAATCTTGTTGTTATTATAGAAAGGGTATTGGCCAACAACTGCTGTGTTGGATATGAGAGCTGTTTAAATCCAAAAGCTCCTTTATCAATCAGTAAGTTTGTTTGACTAATTCTGTTACGGAATGCTCATTATCGTCAGAATTGATTTTGTCCTAAAATTTGGGTAATTATGCAAGTTCGTGAATATCAAATATGAAGCATTTGTCGGCTTCCTTTCTGATTTCTGTCCATATCTAAAAGGAACATCGATAGTGCACAATCTGAGACCAGGTTATATTATGGAACCGTTTTCATTTGAGCTGTGAACATACAGCAAGATATATTTCAATCAGCAAATAGTTAGGATTGCAATGAAACACCGGTACTTGGTTCTTCTTTGGTGCCTATTATGGAGCACGTGAACCTGAAGCTGCGAAGTTACAGTTGTATGTAGATTGTCTTGTACAAACAAACTGTACAAATGAAAAGTCCAGTCCTCTCTTCGAATTGTACCATATGTTCTAGTTATAAAGCGACTCCCACTATGCTATTACTATGTCATTTTGGTTAAATTGTCCAAATCTGTCAACGTAATTGCTAATCTACTTATTTTCATCATCTCACAGTGGCCAGGTTTCCTTGGTGAAGAACAAATCGAGGTGACATATCTGCTAGCTTTGTAGTTTGAGCTTAACTAGCTGTAGCAAACTACAAATAACCATAGTATAGATAACTATGATGGTACTACCAACCTAAGGATCTACCAACTTATCTCAGTTCTTTACTGTTTTTTTTTCAGTTTGATGGTTCTACCATTCTAGCATGCAGAGAGTGAGTAGATAAATTCTTGAATAAATAATTCTATCATTCCTTCGCCCCACCAAAAACTAAAGTTGTAATTTATTAATGGAATCACTCAATCTTCTTAAATGAGCCCAAATAATTGGAATATCTCTACCCATGTATGAAACATGGACCTATTTATTTCCATGTAATCTGCAGTTCATTTTCCTCTCACATTCAAGGCTTGAGTATCCAACAAACTGAAAAAAAAATCTGGAACTGGAAATTGATTTTCAAAATTGAAATCAAAGTATATTGTCAGCAAACTTAATATTGAGTTAATGAACAGTCTCTTGCACAGGTGAGCAAGTTCTTTATAAGATCCACAAAAAAATTGTAACTTGAGAAAAAGGATAAAATCATTGCATTCTTGGGCAATGATCGATCCAATTGAAGATTCTTTTCACACAATCTTATCACCACATTTTCTTCACCAGTTAATTATACGGCAGCTTCCAGCAATTTCAGACGTTTGCTTGTGGCTAACAGAACCACATTTTAGTTGATTATGAAATAACCCCTTACGAATGCTGAATCACAGGGTTATTGTGAAATCTTTACTAATGTAAACTATTAGTACAGGGTAGTTGTGAAATCTAAGTTCCAATCACAAGTATCATTTGCAGTGTCTTTAACGTTGACATTTAAAGCACCTGATTAATGATGACCTGTATTTAATAACTTCCAGCATTCAAATTTGCACCAATCAATAGATTATATTCTTAAGAAGTCTTACACATTGAACCAAATTGTTCGATTAATTTTTCTTGGTCTGCATGTTCTAAACCTTAAATTTAATATATTTTAAAATATTTTGTCAAATTCTTAAATTCAGTCTTATTTTGGAAACTAGTTTTCTGTGTTAGTGTTTTTTTTAACAGAAGAAAACTTTTTCGTGTTACTTTTTTTTAATAATCGTTGAAAAGTTCAGAATGAATTTTTTTTAAAAATCAAAATTTCTGAATGTTAAATATTAAGGTGATTGTCAGGTCCATAGCCTTGGATTTGATATAGTGCCTTTCATGCCAGGAGCATAACTCAAATCACGCTGGGAAGATGTCTCAAAATGCCCGTTGCCTGCATGCCCATAGGAGAACATTTACAGCCATAAAGTAAATGTGCACTGAATAGACTGATTGTTAGAAATTCACATTGCCCTATATAGGAGCAAATTGTGAATGCACGTGTGCACATTGTATGCCTGGAGAAATTTTTAGTTGTTTGAATAGTTGCTACCATACGTAGTAATAATATCTTAGCATTTCTTTGAGAGCTACTTATTCGAAAGGATATAATTTGTATGGCTTGAGAATTGCACTGCATACTTTTTTCTTGGGTAGATGTGCAGTAAGAACAGTTAATCAGAGACGAATGAACCTTGGAGCCTTAAAAGAAAATCATATATGTGGAACCAGGTTGCATTGTTTTGTTTACTTGAATAGGCTTGCAATAACTTGGGCACGATAGTGTTTTTAAAAAATCAGATGCTAATCTCAGTTTTCCTCAATGTAGTTGTTGGGGGCATTTTGGATGAGGTAAGTGAAAATTACAGATGGGCCTTTGCAATGGCCTTTGAGCTTTCAAAATGTATATGTTTATACATCAGTCAATCTAAAGCAAAATATAAGATGAAGCAAAATCGCTGGAAATGTCAGATTTTCACTCCAATATAACTTCAATATAACTCGACAAGAATGTGAAACCATAAACAAATATTTAGGAGAAGGATAGTTTAAGTACAATACAATACATATTATATTTATATAGCGCCTTTGATGTCGGCAGGACGTCCCAAGGCACTGGACAGTCAGGGGATGTCCTCCCGTGAGTAACTTGCTGTTGATTTAATTACTTAACACAAGACTACTTTTTATTTTCAAGAAATTAATTTTGGACAGACATTGTATTGCAGACCTCAACTAAAATTGCACCGTTCCAAATCTAGCCTTTAAGGTGATCAATGCAAACCGTTTCCGATGCTGCATTTCCCTGTGTAAAATCCTTAGGCTGGTAACGTTTCATGCTTTAGGGAAGGTACAATCTCCCTGGCTCACATGGCCCTGGAATTACTGTGAAGCTAAAATGATTACAGTAATAAAATACTGAAAAAAGGCTACAGTGTGTGTTACTGTAATATTAAACCTAAACAATTACAATGAATGGTAAAGATTACATTTTAAACCTCTAACTGTGCCTTACCCTTTGGTCCCTTTCGGTACTCTTGTTTTTTTTAAAAAACTAAGATAATTTATGCTTTTATTTCTTACAAGAATTAAGTTTAGCATATTCCTACACAAGGTTTTTTCTACGTCTCATTGTTCCTTTTGAAGGGAAGAGCATTTTTTTTTCCAATGAGGCTTTAAAACAGCTTTAATAGCTGCACGATAAAGTCAAAAGGCCAAACTATCCAGTCAAGTCCTTGAAACTCAACCAGTGCTGGCAGTGCTCAAAAGTATAAAATTTAATCAAAGAGTGGGAAAAACTGCATTGAGGCTGGAGAGATTAATAATAATCCTTGTACTGTATTTGATATGGAGTTAATGCCATAATATGTTGACTATGTTCAACAGGTTTTATAAAGTAAATAAGCTCTGGAGATGAATGGCGTCTAATTGATTATTTTATAAAACTACGCCTCATTTTTTTTTTAAAAAAGTTTTTCCTTTCTAAATTCTCTATAAATGACTGACTGCATGACCAGAGATATGGTTTCTGGAGTATCAGAGCTCTTATCTTATTTAAACCCTTTGCCTTTTGTTTAAGCAGAATGGTGAGTTTGTGATACTTGCATCAAAGCATGTGAAGTGTTTTAGCAAAATTGAATGTGTTGTTCCAAGTGTTATTTTTCCCGTTTCAAATGAATTAGCATTTCATTTTGCTAGTGGATGGCTTACGCCTTCCATAGCTATAGGGTTTGTAGGTGTAAATGCCATTGTAAAAAGAAATCTACTTTTTTATGTGCATTGCCATAATAAGATGAAAAATTGCCTTAGCATTTAAGACAACTATATCATTCAACATATTTAAATGGCATATTTGACACACAATACAGTAGTTGTATTGATACTCCATATAATTTTGAAGGATATTAACCAAAAATAAATGCTTGCATGTTTAGTGCTTTTTTAGATGTTCATTTAACAGTCTTTCTAAAATCTTATGGTTTTGCTCTTCTTTTCTTGCGGATTGGAATTTTATTTTCTGGTGAGTAAGTTCATGGGTCTAAGTTGCATTCTTCTTTTTCTTTCATCAATCAATGCATGCTTGTCTGTTTGTGTTGCGCTGTGTATCTTTGGCTCTTAGATAGAATATCTGGCCTGAATAATTTTACATTTGCCAGAATAATCATGAAATAAAATAACTTCAGTCACAAGAGAGATTATCTCTTCAATATTTCCTGGCTTCTCCTCTTTTGTGTCATAAGAACTGTTCATTAATCTGGTAATTGAAGATTCTTTAAAGCAAAAGTGGCTTCATATTTATATTAATTAATTGTGATACATTTCAATAAACTGTAAAGTCTCAGACATAAATCACTCATATTCATTTCCTATTTGTGTTAAGCCATACTTCACGTGAACATATCTATTCTAGTTGCTGCCTGAGTGCGTTGATTTTTCTTTTACTGTCTTTAGAAGTGGTACACCGTCTCCAAAAAGGACTTCAACCACTTGCCGACCAGCGTCAGCTAGAAGTAACCGAGATCGTTTTACTGGTGAATCTTATACAGTGTTAGGTAAAGCATTAAATATTAATGTTGCAGTTAGTCTGATTTGTCTACATATACGCATAAAAATATTGTCTTCTTAAATCTGTCTTTGTGAATAAATGTAATATCTTAAAGTTTGGAGATGGTGTGTTAGATCAAATATCAAACCTGAATAATTTTACTGATGAGAAATCACAATGTGGAGTCTTGTAGCTTAGTGGTTGGAGCACTTGCCTTGCAAGCGAGAGGACCAGACGGAGAAACATTAGGCAAGTTTCCTTACTCCACACGCCTCTGTTCACCTTGATGTAAGTAGGAACTCGTCCGCACTACAACTGGCACCGCCTTCCATCACCTTCGGAACATCGCCAGACTACGGCACTACCTCACCCCTCACGCTGCTGAAACCCTGGTCCACGCCTTTGTCACCTCAAGGCTGGACTATGGGAACTCTCTCCTCGCCGGCCTTCCCGCCACCTCCCTCCACAGCTGCAGGTCATTTCAGAACTCTGCAGCTCGTGTACTGTCCCGCACCAGGCTTCGGGACCACATCACTCCCACCCTCGCCCTCGCCTCCACTGGCTCCCCATCCCCCAGAGGATCGAATTCAAGATCCTCATCCTCACCTACAAGGCCATTCACGGCCTTGCTCCCTCCTACCTCTCCAACCTACTATCCCCCTACCTACCTGCCCGTACCCTCCGTTCCTCTGGCTCTGGTCTGCTCCACGTCCCTACCATCGGTGGTCGGGCCTTCAGCCTCTCAGCCCCCAGGCTCTGGAACTCCATCCCCCAGTGCCTTCGCCTTGCTTCCTCCCTTTCCTCCTTCAAGGCCGGTCTCAAAACCTTTCTCTTTGACCGTGCCTTCAGCTCCCCTCTCGACTCTCTTCCCCCTCCTCGCTCCCTCCCTTCCCTCCCCTCACCCTGACCATTTCCCCCCTCCTTGCTCCCTCCCTTCCCTCACCCTGACCATTTCCCCCCTGCTCGGGTCATGACCCAACTGTGCAGCGCCTTGGGACGTCCTCCTGACGTGAAAGGCGCTTTATAAATGGAATCTTGTTGTTGTTGTTAGCCGATTGGCTACCCCTGCCTTTCTGGGGGTAATACTCCCTACAAAAAAAAAATAATAATTTGGTCACTCAATCCTCGATTTTTTTGTGGGACACCGCTGTGCGCAATTGGTTGCTGCGTTTCACCCACAAAATTTACAGTCAATTCACTTTCCAGTGTATGCTGTGAAGCGCTTTGAGACATTCAAAGATGTGATAAGACTCTATATCAAATGCAAGGGTTATTATTATTAATTCAGGCTTTCTCTTTGCCAAATTTGGGTTGGTGAAAATGATCATGATCATTGTTAGTTTAATTGGGTTCAAATTAAGTAAAACAAATGTAAACAATTTATCTTGTACCTTGTTGGCTAGTAATCCATGAGGCTGAAACCTTTTTTTTGCTTAAAAAACTTCAGGTTGGTGGCAATATGGCTAATATGAATGTATTTGAAATGATCTAGATTCTCTTGTACAATTGCGTATAAAGTATAAACATTTATTTTTCTCAGAGAAAGTGAAGATTGCTTCAACACAAAACATTGCCTGAAAGACCTTTACATCTATGCTTAATTCACATCTATAATTTAATTTAAGGTTAAATCACATCTATGCTTCCATTGCAGGTGACTCGGTGATTGAAAGTGGTCAGCATTACTGGGAAGTAAATGCTCAAAAAGACTGCAAATGCTATAGTATGGGTGTATCCTACAGAAATTTAGGAAAATTTGACCAGCTGGGGAAGACTAATACTTCATGGTGTATTCATATTAACAACTGGTTGCAGACCTCCTTTGCAGCCAAACATAATAACAAAGCCAAAACCATGGACATGCCAGTTCCAAAAAAATTGGTGTGTACTGCGATTATGATGGAGGTAACCACTTGTTTATCAATAGATTTGTCAATTTTTTGAATGTCTTTTTCACAATAATACTCGCATTTATATACTCGTCACCACATTGTGGTCAGAGGGAGCACAAGTTTTACTCAACCATATTTCTGCGTAGAGCTGTTCTAGTTTTATCTTTCATGACAATATTGGGCTTCAATGGTATTTGATTCTGTTTTATTCTGTTTCATATATCTCTGACCAGAGCTCAATTATGTAGTGAGGTTCCATATTCCATTTATAATTCAAATCCTGTCCAAACAGGATATGCAAGTATCTTGTGTTTTTCCCCATTAAAGGATGTGACCTTTAGAATGAGTTAAGAACTCGATCAGGTCAGCTAAGTCAGTTCAGAAGGGTAATTGAGGTTTATCAGACGGAGGGCCATGCATTTTAGCACAGACATAAATGCAGGTGGTGGGTCTAAAGAGGATTGTACTCTGAGGGGAGGATTATATATTCTCCTTTATTAAGCAGCTAGTCTGAACTAGAACACTCTTTTGAATCCCTCCCATTATTATCATAAGCCTATATTTTATAACACACAATAGATGTATGCATTCTGGTAACTTTTACTGTTGTTTTGAATGTTGATTGGGTTTGTTGATATTATATTATATACCTTTGCAAATATAAATGTCCTGCTCTTTGTTGATGCCATATTTCTTAAACTGAAGTTTCAGCAATTGCAATTTTTTTTGTTGTTTTTAGGTCATATTTCCTTTTATAATGCAGATACCAAACAGTTGTTACATACTTTCAGGACAAAATTTACTCAACCGGTAGTTCCTGCATTTATGGTAAGTGCAGTTACTCAGTGAAGGGCGAAGGTGGGGAGAGTAGATGTTCTTAAAAATCATATACTATAAATCAATATCTAGTAAGGAAGTCTTAGTCAATTATTTATACAAATGAAGAAAACATTAGAACTATAACTAAGGGTACATATGCAAGGTAGATCCAGCCTAGCTGGTCAGGCCCTGTGTTGGAGACATGTTCTAGACCAGAATGGTGTCCAACCTAACCTTTGCAGGCCCCATAAGCAATATTTTTGTGTTTCCTTTCCAGAAGCATAACACAGAGTGCCATTTTCACGTCTGAAGGACATCTCAAAGCACTTGACACTGCAGGCTGGGCACCCGAGCTGGGAGTGGGAGGTGAGGGGGGAGAGGAAAAGATCAACGAAACACAGTCAAAAGATAAGGAGACCCACCTGCTTTGGAGCTCAGTGTAGTTTGGATACTCTGTTTGGAACATGATGGGTTTCCTCATATGTTAGACACCTGACTGACCAAAACTAATTGGAAGAATCCTGCATTGTTGTAGGTACCATCCTTCATTTGGGATGTTAAACCCTGCTCCTGTTTGTCACATAGACATTCCAGACCCATGACACTAATTGAAAAGAGAAGGGAGTTTCTTCTGGTGACTTGGTTACAGTTAAATGGCACAAATCCCTCCAATCCGGTTCCCCCCGCCGCCGCCCACAGTACCTAGATTGCCCTGGTGAAACTTACCAATGATCTGTGACAAGGACTCTCTCAGTTCTTCATTCTTCTTAGTTACTTCCCTCACCTCCTTTAAGATCCATTTCAAGTCCTTCCTCTTTGACCACGCGTTCGTCCATCTTTCCTCCCACCCACCCCACCAGCTCGGGTGCACACCCTGGATTGTTCAGTGCCTTGAGATGTCTTCCCACGTGAAAGACTATATGAAAGTAAATTTGTATTGTTGAATTGGTTATTCATCTCTTGTCTGTTTGGAAGACTTTGATGTGTCCAAGTTGGCTCCTGTGTTAGTGTTAAACAAATAGTCACTACACTTCACAGTAACTATTGTGAAGCACATTTTAGTGTGACAAAGCATTGTATCAAATCCAAGGAATAATGCAAAGATTATCTAGAGTTATCAGGAAGCATTGTCCAATTGTCAATGTTGAATTATATAATGAACAGTATGGTTAGAATACGAAGCACAAATATTTTAATAGAATTCATGGAAAAACTGAAGTTTGCTAGTTCTTTGTTAAATAGATAGGCTTTGAATATTTTAAAATGCCTGCATGGATTATTTGAGTGTTATTGTGAACTGTAAGGAATTCTTATTGTTTAACTACATAAAAGGTTCTTTTTTTTCCCCCCTCACATAGGTTTGGTGTGGTGGCTTAACCTTGCACACGGGGCTTCAGGTGCCGAGCAGTGTAAAGTCCTTTCAGAAGGGTGATGGATTGAGCGGCTCTGCAAATAGTTTAATTAGCCTTCCCCAGTAATCGTTTGTCTCGCATTAACCTGTATAGAGTGGTGATTTTTAATGATTTGCTGATTTGGAATTTTGTGCGGTATATGGAATGGTTTACATGGGTTTGATTTGTTGGACCATTCCCATTTTTCAATTTTCCTGTTCTTTCACATCTGCTTATGACCAAAATTTTGTCTCGGGCAAAGGTTGTTCGTACATAACTCAGGGTTAAACCTGTGGCCAGTCCTCCATGCACCATTTTCTGTCAATTTCCTAACATCCATGGTATTAAGTATTTTTGACAGGCAACTTGTTTCTTTCACCCTCCACACGCACACACAGACACACGCTTGTAATCTTGATACTTTCTCTGACTCAGAAGAGCAACACCATGTCACCAAAGGAATCATAATCATTCCATGGCTTGATGTAAGGGGTTGGCTTTCTAGAATAAAGGCGGATTATTTCTTGAGAGTGGGGTAGCTGTACCAGAGTGGTAGAGAATTGACAAAATGTGTTGCGTTGTTGTTAATCATGGAGTTGAAATCCATGGTTGCAGCATTATCGAGAGAACCAGAGCCGTAATGCTAAGAATCCCCTTAAATATGCACTCCCTGTATTGTAACCGGATGGTGCGAACTATACTATAAATAGAGTAAGGTGTGAGCAATCACAACTTTGAGCAAAAGCTTCCATTATTTGAACGAGAAATCGCATACCAGTATCGTGGTAAATTTGACCAGCATCTGAAATGATTACATTTCCAGGCCTGAAATAATCATAAATAGTGTTTGCCTTGTCTTGCATTTGGCTTTAGATTATTTAGGTAACACTGAATGTGGAAATCTTTTAAAGCAAATTGACAGTATGTTCGGAGTTTAAAAGTGAAGCATTTATGATGTGTTACTTTTACTAGAGTGTTATAGTTTGTTGGACTGGGTGGACATATTTGACCTTTGTCTAGGTTGAAAAAGTTTAATGCAGTCATCTATCTACGTTCCGCATGAAATGATTGAATTGAGATCCGTTCTAAGAGAGCTTGTAATGACCCGGATTGTGCTTGGGATTCTCCAAGGTAATACAAGCAACCTGTATTGTAAAAAGTCTTAACTGAAATTTATTTTGGTATAGTTACATTTGGAGCGTGTTCAGTGACTGTACACTTGTATAAGTATACAAGTGTCAATTAGCATGTGTTGTTATCATGTGACTCTGCTTCAAAATCCGAGGGCTGAGGTTTATGTAGTTGACTGAATTTAGCCCAGTCTGATTTTAAATTCAATCCAGGGCTCAGATTTATCAGGCAGTTTTATTATGATATCAGCATTTTTTGTAAACTAATTAATCTTTTTTCCTACTGTGCTGCCAGATTCTGCTATTCTACACAACTACTTGTAAACCATTCCCAGGCTGTGCTTCTATGCACTGAAACCCCTTCATTTACGTTATTTCCCATCCAGTCTGTTCATAACATCCAAAACTGTCAGAATGCATCTCATTACAATTTCTCATCATTATTAATTTTCTTCATTTACTCTTGGTCTGAATTCCAACCAGAAAGTGTAATGTGATTTCTGCATTTTAATACCTTCAGTTTTCCTCCAATTTGTATTGGAGTTAGTTGGTTATAAACGAGTACATTTGATGTTAAGTGTGACTATTGTGGTTAAATAAGTCACTACAATAATAATAATAAATAAGTCACTACAATGTTAATAATAATACAATAATAATAATAATTATTAGATGCTGTTCAGGCTTGCATTTGGACTGAAGGACTGACTGATTAGCATGTAGCTGAATACATATCACTTGAAATAGTTGGACTTCCAGACCATTTCAATTGTTCCTTTACATTTCAATTTCCTAATGCTTGGATATATTTTATTATTGTTTGATTTGTTTACTAATAAAACTGCATTACTATATTTTGTAATGGTTCTAATAGTGAGATTTTTTAATTAAGTGTTTTGAAGGACTCATAATTACTGAATACTATTCAGGGTAGCTTTGCTAAAATGCTATTTGCATACATGTGTATGTGTGGAGAAGGAATTTGTTTTGATAACAACTATGGCTTTAGATTTAGACAATGGTTCCATATTCAAGGATGCCAGGTAAATATTTCAGCATTGAAAATTAATTGGATTTCTTGTGGCAGTATGTTTTGGAGTTAGTTACCTGCGGATTATGATGTCTTTAGACTTGCCTTCTGTTTGTATGAGCCATGTGACATCAAGTTAATTGGATTGGGTACTTGCCGAAATTAACCCGCAGTGCAACAACTTTCTGTGGATGTTTAAAAGGCAATGGACTGGTTCTTTCTTAACTCATCATGTTTCCTCAAATGCATGCTTTGCTGTTAAACACTAAATATAAAATGTAAGTAATCCTATGATTATCACATACCATTCTATAGTGTGGGCTATAAACACTTACAGATTCAGAATTTGGCTACCTGTAACAGATGTTTTATAATTTCTGTGCAATCCACCTTAATAGCAAAATATTGGCTCTATTGAATGCTAGACACTGCTAGATTCAACTAAAGTATTGATTCTATTTAACAGCTTTTTGGAGTTGTGTGCCTTCTGTGTATAGTTTTATATAGTCGTGTACTTCTGCTTGCCAGTAAAATATGATTATTTTTATTTCATGGTTCGAACAGATAATGCTATCAGGATGAATATATAAATGGGTATGTGGTCATGGATTTTTTTAAGCCTCTTCTATAGTTAATTGAATTTGAACTATAAATTAATCTTGTGTCAACTGTTCATAGAAACTCCTGTAAATTGGGTAATGTGTTGGACTTTACACAAAGGATGCAAAAGCAGAACATTGTTTGGTTCATTTTGAGCTGAAACCTTTACACATTTCTGGACCGAAAGATGCCATAAGGCTTCACCCAGCTAGATGTTTACCTGATTACAATACCTGTACTTGTGTAAGCAGAACACTATACTGTCTTAAAAGCAAGTGTCAAGTTTAATCCAACAATACCTATCCTTTTCCAAGAGTTTTAAACTCTGTGCTGCGATGTTTTCGAGGAACCTAATGAGTAACTTAACACAATATGTGTGGGGAAAGGGGGGAGGAGTGGCAGTGTCCACGCTGTTTATGCCTGGGATGACCTGGATAACACTGGGATGAGCTGTATAACATTAGTAGTACAATGCTCAGCTACAGAGTAAAAATATTTATGGGGATGTTGTCCTACAAAGAATGAACTAAATTATATAGAAACTTCCTTTCAGCCCACCTTAAAATAGTAATAAATATGCAAAGTTACCTACCTTTATTTCAACAACTGCACATGGTTTAAAACACTTTGTAAGGGATTATTTTTGAATAAACTGACTTAATAGATTGTTTCCCCTTTAATAAGGGGAACGTTGTATTTGCTGCTACTATTGCTAAGTGGAATATTATTCACTAACCCTACAAACTGCAACTGCTGAGAAAACCCACTATTACACACCTTTGCTATGCAGTTTCAACAGTAGTTGAACTAATTACTCAGGGTAGAAATTACCAAATATAAAGCGAAAAGAAAACGGATCATGGCATCTGCACAATAAAATTTGCTTTGAAAATTGTATTTGTTTCACAATTAATGTACATATTTGTAGAACGTGTTTCTTAAAGCTTTAGTCCGAAAGTAGATACTGGAGGCGATACGTAATCAATAAGTAATGGGTACTTTTTTTAATCCTAGTTACACGCTTTCTTTAGAAGCTTATTTATTATTTAAGACCTTCATCAATTTCAGAAGAGCAGCCGGATCAGGTGTGGGGATTGTCTGTTGTGTTAAATGTAGTGTTTTAGCTCTCTTTTGAGATTGAGTATCTGAGACTTTAATGGAGCATTGAAATTATGGCTTTTTCAACAACAAATTTATAAACTGTTAATCAAAGTACATTATTAATATACATGTCTTAAATGGATCATAGAATCTAAATTCTTTCAACTAGTTTTCGTTTTTGGACATAGAACCAAAAAGGTTTGAGATCTGTCCTCAACTAAATGTACCGTGGATTGTGGGGGAACAGTTCAAAATTTATATTATCCTTTCGTGTAACCAACTGGCAACTATTGACCTTAACTTCAGCCAAGCTTTATATGCCAGCAGAATATCGTAAAAATGTTTGCTTTCAAATGCCCTTTAAACCCCACACCTGTTAAATATTGACAGTACAAGGGTTTTGAGCTTAACTCTGGGTTTTAATAATATAACCAAGTGTTTTCAGTAATTGCACACAATTGAATTGTGAGAGACGCATGTGTATCTTTAGTGACTGGGTTATCCGAGGACCAAGAACGTACAGATATTCACTTGTCTGTCTTGTAAATACGGTCAGGTCATAGGTGCAGTTTTGGAGGAAATTTATATTTGTATTCCGGTTCAGATGCTGCAGTGAATTCTTGCCCTCCAGGGGATAAGATTCCATGAACATCACAGTTTGCAATTCACAAAGTAAGTCAAATCTTAATTTGCAAATTTCTCTAGCATCAAGATAACCCCCTCCCCCCATTGCTATTGAGGATACAGTATTCAGAAATCGTCCTGTTTTGTAATATAATAATCCTTACATTTGATGTAGTGCCTTATGTTGTTGAGATTCTCATAGCGTTTCACAGGATATACTGTGAAGTGGTGGGACTGAGTATTTTGTGGGTGAATGCGTCAGCCAATTTGCCCACAGCAATGTACCACAAACAGCCATGGAGTGGGTGACCCAAATTTTTGAGTGATTTGGTCAGGAGACCAGGAGAAACTTACTTAACAAATAGTGCCATGGGATCCTTAACATCCACCTGGACAGGCAGACGGAACCTCAGATGAGGCATGGAGGTGATGGGTTCATAGAGCCTAATGCGGGAATTTCAGAGATCCGGATGATCTGTAACAACAATAAGTTGCGTTTATATAGTGTCTTTCATGGCGGGAGTAGGTCCCAAGCCACTGGACAAGTCGAGGGTCACCCCCGAGCTGGAGGTTAGATTCAACTGGGATGGGGTGCAAGGGTGATAGGGCTGGGAAGGTCAAAAGGTCTTGAGACGGACCTTGAAGGAGGCAAGGGAAGGAGCACGGAAAGGGTCTCCGGGGTGGAGTTCTAGAGAGTTGGGAAGTCTAGAGAGCTGAATTGGCATACTCTAGGGTGCACGTAATGAGTGTATGGATAAAGGGACTCGGTAGCTAAAGGGACAGGTGGTGAAGGTGGGAGAAAGATGAATGGGTCAGAGCACAGGTTTAAGGGGCAGTTGAGTGATGATCAAGACTAATAACATGGTGCCATGGGATCTTTAGCATACGCCTGAACAGTTAAATGGGACCTCAGTTTAAGGTCATAAAATACACAATCCAAGGGATAGCAACGCCAACGATACAGTGCATACCCAGCAATGCGGTGTCACCTCCCACAGGGTGCTCCAACTGGCGGCCAGCGGGCCGATTTCATCCCCCACCCTCCCTCCATTTCATCTGGCCCACCCTCTCCCTCCATAACCCGTAAATGTTGTTTCTGGAAGAGGAAGACACAAAAATATTAATTCTGTGCCCCGTGGAGTTTCTCCAATAGGGCATCTGTCCCTCAACAGCCTGAGGTTGGACCATCCTGGACGTGAATTCAAAAGTGCAGTCTTGGGATTTGAACTCATAATCTTCCGGCTCAAGAGACCGGAGCGCTGCCGATTAAATGAGGCTAACTAAGTGTTTAATGTAGTGCCCTGAAATTCACGTAGTATAATGTCTTAACGCACTTCACAAAGGTGGGGTCCAATATTGAGCAAGGAAGAAGGGGGATCATAGGCATGGGGTTTTTGGTGGGATTTAAAGATGGATATGGAGAGGGGGTAAAGAACAAAATAATAATAACCATTGCATTCGATACAGCGCCTTATCGCGTCATTGAGACGTCTCAAAGAGGTAGGGTTTTGGTGAGATTTAGAGACCAGTACGAGGTGGGGCAGGGACCAATGAATAGTATGGTTAGAGCACTCGCTTTGCCAGTGAGAGACCTGGGTTCAATTCCAGGCAGAGGGCGAAACCTTGGGCAAGTTTCCTTACTCCACACAGAGCCTAATAATAATCCCTCCAAAACCAAAAACAATAATAAATTGGTCATTTTCAATCTACGACTGTTTGTGGGACATTGCTGTGCGCAATTGGCTGCCGCGTTCGCCCACAAATATACAGTCAATTCACTTTACAGTGTGTTCTGTGAAGCGCTTTGGGACGTCCTCCCGACGTGAGAAGCGCTATATCAAATGCAAGGATTATTATTATCCTTGCATTTGATGTAGCGCCTTATCACGCCGTTGAGATTGAGACGTCTCAAAGCGCTTCACAGAATACACAGCCAAGTGGATTGTGGATTTTGTGGGCGAAAACAGGGAAGAGCAAGGACTCGCAGAGGTTAGTAATAAATAATAGCCCCTCGCATTTGATACAGGTGCCTTATCAGGTCTTCAAGACAACAACAACAAGATTTCATTTGTAGAGCGCCTTTCACGCCGGGAGGACGTCCCGAGGCGCTGGACAGTTGGGTCAGGTTGGGTGGGGAAACGGTCAGGGTGAGGGGAGGGGGGGGAGGGAGGGAGCGAAGACGTTCTCGGAGCGCTCCACAGAACATAGCGTTGGGGCGAAGCGACCGTATCTTGCGGGCGGAGCGCGGGGGGAGCCAATCGCGCACGGCAGCGTCCCCGCAAACAGCTGCGGGTTGCGTCACCAAATTATCGTGATATTTTTTTTTGGGGGGGGGTGGGGGGTGACCATGACCAAATTAAATGGATGCAGTGGTTGGTGGTTGGTGGTTGATGTTGAGATGAAGTGGGGAGTGGTGGTGGGGGGGGGGAGCAGGCAGCTCTCTGTCGCCTCCCTTGCGGTGCGAAGTGTGTATTACACCCACACACACGCACGCACGCGCAGAGCGTGCGAGGTGAGGCCGAGCGGGCGAGTCACGTGGGTGCGGGCGGAGGCGTCACGTGCCTGCCGCCGCCGCGCATGCGCCGCAAAGGCAAAGGAGGGTTCAGCGCGCGCGGCGACCGTTGGGCGTCTTCTCGTCCCCGCGAGTGAGCGGAGGCGTCGCCGCCGCCGCCGCCCGACCGCGGCCTGTCCTGTCCTGTGCCTCACCGGCACCGGCGTCAGGTCAGTGACTCCCAGGTTGACGTGTACGTTTACCGGCTCTCTCTGTGACGGTCTCCAGGGGCCTGAGCCAAGCGGGTCACCGGGGGTGGGGTGGGGGGGGCCTCCCGAGGGCCGACTGACCCCCGGGCCCCCGGGACTGGCACTGGTCAGCAGGACCCTGGAAGGGACAGACCAGTCACTTTTAAGGGGCGTCGCTGCACTCGGCTCCCGGTAATCGCCCGCCCGCGGGTCACAGCCCTGAGCCGGAGCGGCGGCGGCGGCGGCGCTTTCCCGCCCGTCATTACCGACACAACCACCGAACTGTCATCGGTGAAGCCGCCTCTCACAGCGGTGGGGGAGGGGGGAGGGGGGGGGGCGTCCCAAGGCGCTGCACGGTCAGGGATTAGGACCTGGGAAGAGGGGGAGGGGGTGACCCCGTTACCCCACCGTTAACCCACCGTTACAGCAGCAGCAGCAACAGGTCCAACGCGACGCAACGCGGCGGCAACAAAAAAAAACGCCGCCCCTCACATCATCATAATAATTCATAATTAATAATAATGATAATAATCCTCGCGTTTGATACGGCGCCTTATCGCGTCTTCTCGACCTCTCAAAGCGCTTCGCAGTTTAGAGGGTCGAGTGAATTGACCGGATGTTTGGGGGCCAAACGCGGCAGCCGGTTGCGCGCGGCTATTATATATATATTATTATATATAGTATATATATTATATTATAGCATATCATAGCTATAATATAATATGTTGTATATAATACATATATACATTATATATAATATACATATTATATTATAGCATATCATAGCTACGATGACATAATATATTGTATATAATACATACACACATACATTATATATACTATATATGTTATGTTATAGCATGTTATAGCTATGATAATATATATTGTATATAATATATATATATTATATATAATACATATTATATTATAGCATGTTATAGCTGCCAAAGTTATGTTGGTTGTCGGGTGGAATTTAACGACAGACAGAGGGAGGGGGACGAGCTGGAGGGAGGGAGCACCGGAAGTTATTATAATCCTTGGGTTTGATGGAGCGCCTTATCGCACATCTTCTAGACGTCTCCGAAGCGCTTCACAGGATATACTGTAACGTGAATTTTGTGGGGGAAACGCGGCAGCCAGTTGCACGCAGCAGTGTCCCACGGATAGTCGTGGATTGAGTGCCCAAGTAATTGTTGTTGTTGTTTTTTGAAGGGATTATTACCTCCAGAAAAGCGATCCGCCAATCGAATAACAGCCGGGTTCCTGCTTACTGCTTGGTAAGTAGAGGTGTGTAGAGTAAGGCAAGTGCCCAACATTTCGCCCACGCCGGGAAGCAAACCCAGCAACAAAACGGCAGAGAGCATATGTTCTCTCAGTGTGGTGATATGCTGTCAGAACTTGTCCAATGGAGGATACGGAAGCAAGAGCAACCAATAAAGTAGGGTGAATGTGGTGCTGAGCTTGGGACAATAATACAAAGGAGCCACATAAATAATTGTGAAAAAACAGCAGTCGTGTTTAAAGATCAGCCAGTTTTATCTCGTGCATGGGTATAAAAGGTCTGGTACAATGTGTATTTAGGTTTATTTCTCCCTCAACGTGTTTAAAATCAACAGTAAAATCATTGAGGGATCATCTGGAAAGTTAGATTCAAATAAAAGGGCAACTTAGTAATGGCCGATATGATGCATCAGTTGGCTTGTTCCATGCTGGAAATTTCCGTGTTTTCTACGTCCAAAATAAACTACAGCCTGTAGTTGGTGTGCCGTGTGGAATTCATCTTCAGTGTCTGTTTTCCTCTCTTCAGGCGCATTGATATCTATTTCATTTCAATTCTATTGCAGCGAGATGGCATCTTCAAATGTTTCTAGTAAAACTATCCTATTCAAAAGGGAAAAAGAGTTTTGGTATCGTATTCCTTCCCTCCTCCACGTTCCAAACACAGATACCCTTTTGGCGTTTGCTGAGAAGAGACTGGGACCCAAAGACGAAAATGCTGATGTGTTAATGCTACGGAAGGGCACCTATAAGAAGCCTTTGAAGAATTTTGAGGTAATTGGGAACGGGGATACGGGGATGAGTCTTGTGATGGTTAAGAAGTTAGAGCACTTCATCAGGTGTCAAGTCAGCCTGACTCAGTTGGTAGCACTTTTGCCTCTGTTTTTTGTTAAAACCCCTAATTGTCCAGCATCCTGGGACATCTTTCTGATATGAAGGGAGCTATACAAGTGTAATTTGTTGTTGTCAAAAGGAGACTCTTCGCATAAGTCTATAAATTGTATAAACACTTAAGTCATACATTCACCCGAGTCCTATTCAGTTTCCTATCAAAAACACTTTGATTTCTTTACACGATTCATATTAATCACCTCTTAACTCGTATTATTATATTATTATTATATTATTAATAACACCGCTCCCCTACCCTCCATTCCTCCTGCGTATACCAGAGGCCTTGAATCACAGGGAATCTCAGTCTTAACCTATGACCTGATGTGCACTTATCAGCTGCATTAAATTACGCATGAATTAGATTATTGATTAAATCAGATTTTCAACGATTTCTAATAGTTTACCTGCAACTTCACGTAAGTCATATAAAATGTTATGCTCCTGACTGATATGACTTATGTGAATTATACTGTATCGGCAGAAAATAAGAAAAGCTTTTTAATGCCCTATGCAAGATAGAGATCCATGTATGTCCATATAGGTTCTATATGTTCTCAAAAGTCAGAATGTCACTTATATTCAGCCTAGGGTATGAGGATGTAATTTTCTAACTGGGAAGTTCCAGGATGTATGATTCAGAACAAGATTGTGATTCAGGAAAATTAAATCAAATTTTTATATTACACAAGTTTCCAAGCAATCAGGCACATGTCAAAAGAAATGAAACCCCACCTAGTTTAATGCAAATAAAAATGCTTTCAGTGTTCAACTCAGTTCACTGCTGATGTATGGTCAGATACCGAGAAACTATTTCCTCTGGTGGGGAATCCGGAACATGGGGGCATAATCTTAAAATTAGAGCTCGGCCATTTAGGAGTGAAATCAGGAGGCAGTTTTTCATGGAAAGCATAGTGGAAATTTGGAACTCTCTTCCCCCCCAAAAGGTTGTGTGTGCTGGATTCATTCACATTTTCAAGACTCAGGTGGATAGGTATTTATTAGGTCGGGATATCAAGGAATACGGGTCAAGGGTGGGTAATTGGAGTTGAGGTACAAATCAACCATGATCTTATAGAATGGTGGAACAGGCTCGAGGGGCTGAATGGCCTCCTCCTGTTTCTATGATTTGATGTAATTGCTCATTTCTATTTAATTTTCTTTTACTTTTCACAGTGGGAAAATGTTACAAGCGTTCAGGCTGCAAGACTGAAGGACCACAGATCCATGAATCCTTGCCCTGTTTACGACAAAGATACAAACACTATCTTCCTCCTCTTCATTGCTGTCTTTGGAAATACACCCGAGCATCAACAAATCAGAACAGGTAAAAACGTCACCCGTCTCTGCCACGTCAGCAGTGAGGATCAAGGGCAGACGTGGAGCAATGTTACTGACCTGACAGCTTGTACCATTGGTCAGTGTATTAAGGAGTGGGCAACGTTTGCTGTAGGTCCAGGCCATGGGACGCAGCTCAGGTCTGGGCGGCTCATTATCCCTGCCTATGCCTATCAGAAACAGAGCGGGAGTGGGACCAAGGCACGTGCCTTTACTTTCTTTAGCGATGATCATGGAAAGACCTGGAGTTTTGGGCAGTTTGTTTCCAAAGAGGAATGTGGGGAGTGTCAGATGGTACAGGTAAGCAGAGCTGATGAAAATTGTATCCTGTATTGCAATGCTCGGAGCAATAAACATGGCAAGAAGCAGTGCCGAGTGCAGACTTTCAGCACAGACGGTGGCCTTACCTTTATGGATGCGCACCTGGTAGAAAAACTAGTTGAGCCACCCAATGGCTGCCATGGCAGCATCATCTCTTTTCCAGCCAAAAAATTGTCCCATTTGAACATCTATTCTGATATAAAGCAGCATCACTGTCAGCAAGAGAAGAATGTCTTAAAATCAGGGGAAGATATTGAGGTTATACTGTTCTCTCACACTACAAACTCCAAGTCACGCAAAGATTTAGGAATTTATCTTAACACTTGTCCAGACAGTACTCATACCTGGACAGAACCTTGGGTTATTAATTCTGGGCCAAGTGCCTACTCAGAACTGGCTTTGGTGGAACTCCCTACGGAAGAAGTTCCATTAGTTGCCTGTTTATATGAATGTGGCTCCAGTAGGGAATGTGAACAAATCTCCTTCAGTGTCTTCCAACTTGATGAGGTCCTTCAGAATCTTCTGAGGAGGAAGCCTTAATTCAAACTGAAGAAGAAAATGTGTGATTGAGGTATTGTGAAATAAAGCAAACAGTGCAAATATTTTACAATGCTGATTATACCTTAATAATAATCCTTGCATTTGATATACCGGCTTATCATGTCTTTGGGATGTCTCAAAGCACTTCACAGGATATACTGTAAAGTGAATTGACCATATTGACATTAAATTGCATAGAGGGGAAGCAGGAAAGGAAGAAAAATATTCTTCCGCAGGTCGTATGGATCTGGTAGGATCTAATTCTAAAGGAATGTTGATTGTAGAAACCATTGTAATACCTGTGTGTAATAAATTATTATTTATGAGTAATCCACAGCATATAATTTTCTGGAATTGTTCAGTGATGTCAAACACCATTCTGCTGCATATGTTCTAAAATGGTCAATGGAAATATTTTGAAAGAAATGGCAAAAGCAATTCAATAAAGATAAAATACAGTAAATCCTGTGAAGTGCTGTGAAATGTCCTCCTGACATGAACGATGGAAGAATTATCGGTGTTAGTTGACTTGTTCTCCAGGTGCGGACTGTGAGGCAGCAACGACAACGACGTCAAATTACATTTGCATAACGCTTTTCACGCCCTCGTGAAAGGAAATTCGAGGATATTTATTGTCCTCCTGAGTGTGTCATTTAACTCAGGACATTTAAATTTAATTTAATTTCTGTCCGGCCCTCTGGTTGACTGTTAAGGGCCACTGTGAAATGCAGCGTCGATGAAATCCCACTCCGACCGGGTCTTAATAACCCACGAGAGCACCCAAAACCGACTGAAGGGCTGCAGAAGGACACTCGAGACTGAACCGCTCACCACCAGGGGGCGCTGTAACCGCTCACCACCAGGGGGCGCTGTAACCACTCACCACCAGGGGGCGCTATAACCTCTCACCACCAGGGGGCGCTGTAACCTCTCACCACCAGAGGGCGCTGTAGCCACTCACCACCAGGGGGCGCTGTAGCCACTCACCACCAGGGGGCGCTGTAGCCACTCACCACCAGGGGGCGCTGTAACCACTCACCACCAGAGGGCGCTGTAGCCACTCACCACCAGAGGGCGCTGTAGCCACTCACCACCAGAGGGCGCTGTCCGGCTGTCGGGTCATGTGACCCTCGGGCCTGGCGACTGGAAGTGGAGCCGCGGCCGTTGGTGAGTCAACAGAGACCAATGGGGGGGACCGGGGGGCGGGGGGGGGCACAGGGACCCGGGGGGGGGGGGGGACAGGGACCCGGGGGGGGGGAGGGGCACAGGCGGGGGGGGGGGGGACCAGGGGGGGGGGACCAGGGGAGGGGCACAGGGGAGGGGGAGGGGCACAGGGACCGGAGGGGCACAGGGGGGAGGGGGGGGACACGGCCTCGTGAGCAGTTGTTGTTGCTGTCGGTCCCTAATCGTCACAGTTCCGTCGGTCGGTCGGTTCCTAACGGAGCAACTGACTAAGGCGGAGCCGTTAGTTGTGGAGTATTAACTAAGTTTAACGGCGCGAATCCATCCGTATTCGTCTCCAGAACCAGTCACGACCGCACCGTGAGGCCGAGGTGGGGAGAGGGGCCCTGACGTGGGGCCGAGGTGGGGAGAGGGGCCCTGACGTGGGGCCGAGGTGGGGAGAGGGACTCCAGTGGCCGCGGGTCACGCGGTGGCGGAAGCTTCGACGACACACGTCGCGGTGACAGCTCAGACACCGACACGGACGGACGGAAGGACTTTGCATCTTTGTAATCGCCGTTTGACATCGGAACGTCTCGGAAGCACTCGGCGGTCAGTGCCGAGCGGCGGGTCAGGGCCGAGCGGCGGGTCAGGGCCGAGCGGCGGGTCAGGGCCGAGCGGCGGGTCAGGCAGCGTCTGCGCAGAGACTGAAATCCGTTGAGAGAGGTGTCGGAGGGGTCGGTGACCGTCCGGAAAGGGGTCGCGGAGGTGCGCGGCGCTCGTTGGGGCCGATACAAAGCGAATCCTCCTCCTCCTCCTCCTCCCCGTACCCGCGGGTACCGAGGCCGGTGCGGGGACCCGCGGGGCACGGAGTTCGGGGCGGCGTCTCCCGAGCGTTCCGCTGCTACTCACAGGGGGCGCTCGAAGGCGCCACCGGGAGGGACGCCGGAGCCGCTCTCGTCCCCGATATGGATTCGGGGGCGGGAGGCCCGTCCCCGGCGGCGGCGGCGGCGGCGCGGGCCGGAGGGGCCGGAGCGGCCGGAGCGGGCCGGAGGGGCCGGAGGGGCCGGAGCGGCGGCGCGGGCCGGAGGGGCCGGAGGGGCCGGAGGGGCGGCGCTAACGCCGGCGGTTGTGGCCAAGATCGAGAGGAGCCGACAGCGAGCGCTGCTGCTGAGGCGGGCGCGGGTGGCGAGCGGACCCCTCCCCGCCCTCCGCTCAGGCGAGTACCGGAGCGTCGCGGAGAGGGGAGGGGGTGGGGAGGGGACGAAGGTGAATCAAAAGCTGCGGCGGATCCCAAAGCTCCTCACAGGAGAGTCACAGCAGAGCTCTCATCGAGGAGCTTCAATGGCATCGTTGCCCCCCCCCCACACCCCCCACACCCCCCACCCCCCCCCACCCCCCCACACCCCCCCCCCCCCCCACCCCCCCCCACACACCCCCACACCCCCCCCAGCCCCCCCCACCCCCCACACCCCCCACACCCCCCCAGCCCCCCCACCCCCACACCCCCCCCCCCCCCCCACCCCCCCCCAGCCCCCCCACACCCCCCCCCACACCCCCCCCCACACCCCCCACCCCCCCACACCCCCCCAGCCCCCCACACCCCCCACACCCCCCCCACACCCCCCCCCCCCCCCCACACCCCCCCCCACCCCCCCCACCCCCCCACACCCCCCCCCCCAGCCCCCCCACACCCCCCCACCCCCCCAGCCCCCCCCACACCCCCCACACCCCCCCCCCCCCACCCCCCCACCCCCCCCCCCCACCCCCCCCACACCCCCCCCCCCCCCAGCCCCCCCAGCCCCCCCACACCCCCCCCCCAGCCCCCCCACACCCCCCCCCAGCCCCCCACACCCCCCCCCCCCCCCCCCACACCCCCGCGGGTTGTCCTGATTCCGATGACCGCCCAAAGCCTCTTCTGTGAAGGGTATGGAGTCCGAGGTTCGGCCGTGCAAACCCCTCACGGTGAGGTGTGAAGGTCCCCCACATCTCCATCGGCCCATTTGGATGAAGGTCCCAAAGACTGACCCCCTACTCCCAGTAGTAGAAACAAAAATAAATCAAAACGTCTTCCAAGACAACGATAGCAGAGAAATCCTCCCCCTCGTCTTCGGTTAGTTTCACCGGGAAAGGGACTTTCAATGGCTGTGTATACATATAATGCCACATTTTTCTTCCGCGCTGACAGGCGGCACTGGTGCACATCTTCTCCCCAAAGTGAAAGACACGGAGGGCGGATTCTTTCTGGAAGAAGAAGCGGAGGTGGTGCAGGAGGTGGATAAAGTGATCAGTGAGCCAGGTACCCTTCCATTCACTGAAGGCGTTTGCGGAGTCCTGTAGCTCAGTGGTTAGAGCACTCGCCTCGCGAGCGAGAGGACCCGCGTGAGATGGCCCGGGTCAGGGCAAAGCGTTGGGCAGGTTTCCTGACACACACGCACACACGCCTCTGTTTATCTAACAGTAAGTCGGAACCAGGCTGTTAGTCGATTGGCGGATCGCTTTTCCGGGGGTAATAATCGCTTAAAAAAAAACCCGGTCACTCAATGTACGACTGTTTGTGGAACATTAATGTGCGCAATTGGCCGCCGCGTTTCGCCCACAAAATACACAGTCAATTTACTTCACAGTATATTCTGTAAAGCTGCTTTGAGACGTCTCGAAGACGTGATGAGGCGCTGTATGAAATGCAAGGATTATTATTGTAGTACCCGTAGTATGCGGCAGGACTCCTTCATAACTGACAGATGCATTATCGAAAGATCTGTAGGTTTTTAGCAGACTTTACCTATCCGGCTAAAGGGAAATCTCATTCTACACATATTCTACACATCAGTGGGTAGGAATTTCACCCATCAGGATGTATCTTGAACCCAGTTATTCTGTTTGGCTCAGAATCCTTCCCTGGTCATTTATATTTTAGAAGTCGTACTGGAAACAATTCCTTTTACAGACAGTGGTGTGAGTGAGTGTGAAGTGTACTGTCCAGAATGCCTTAGGTGCAGAATGATTTGGGTGGATCAGTTCACACTGTTAGATCGTATTATTTGATTTAACAGAAGTTGTGCTGTACAGGTCGCTAAACAGCATTTATATAGTACTAAATAATCCTGACATTTAGTATAGCAAAGGTCCCAAACCGCTTATCAGGATATACTGTAAAATGTAGTGACTTGTGTTTTGGATTAATCTCACTATATTAATGGAAATACTTTGGGAAATTTGGTGCTTTTGTCGGCAGAGTACAAGTGAAAAGGTTTCCTGAGCTATTGAACGTGATGTACAATTTACAACTTTATAACTGTGACATGCCGTCAGCCGAGGGATAATCTGTATAGCTTTCACTTCTGTACCTTGTCCTTCAAAATAGGGTTGGAATCAACGACTGCAGCTCACAGCTGACCAGCTCTCACACTAAAATGGTTAACCTCTGGGTCATTGGGTCACCACCGACACCATTCCCCGCACGTGTGCAGCACAGAGGAGTGACGTCGGGAGCGACTCGATGATCTGGAATTCAGCATTTTTTTTATTGGAGGGACCGGTCGGTCGGCTGTGTGCGTGGGAATTGAAAGCGTTGCTTCATTCTGGGTTGGGATTTTATGTCATAAAACATAAAATTCCAAGAGCTATGTTATAACGGGATTCCAATGTCTTACATAACTATTATTAGTCACAGGTGTTGACTGGCTCAGTGCTGTTGCATTGGACCACTGAGTCATTGAGTTAATAATGTCATCTTTTTAATATGTTCTGTGGTTCTGTAGTGTTCCTGACTGTTCCTGTAGTGTGATTAAACATCTGGCTGAGTACACAAACTTCTGAGGGTATGCATTACAACCAGTCTCTATCCTGCCCAAGCTTAGGTAACTATTTAATCTGCTGTTAAGGGTGTTTCTAGTGAGGAAGAGTCTACTCCACATGAGTATTTGTCTTCCTTTCTTTCAGGACCTTTTCTGGAATTCGATTATTTAATGTGCGAGGGATGTGACAAAGAATTCATGGAGTCCTTTCTCAGCAATCGCTTCAATCTGTCTGTGTGCGATGCCTGCAGGTACTGCCAGTCGTTTGGTCCCTTTCCTGTTTAAATGCAATGTTCTGTAGGTTTCAGGGACACGGTGCTCAATCCTAGATATTGTGGTGCTCTCAATGCCTGGGAAAATCTGGCAGGAGGTTGAAGCAGATAATTTTGTTGGTAGAAATTGGATGTGTCTGTGTGGAAACTCTCTTGGATAATATGGCAGAAATGTGTCGTGCAGGAGAGACTTCAGATGGTGAGGACTCTATAGGACATTGTGGGAAAGACTAGATGCAGAATTGATTAGGGATACGGAGAGAAGGCGGAAATGTGAGATGAAAGATAAGCCGTGAATAAACTGGTGGAACAGGCCATGTCCTCCTCCTGTCCTTATTGTCAACTATCCTTAAAAATGGAAGCAAGCATTTGTTTCTTATAATAATCCTTGCATTTGATATAGCGCCTTATCATATCTTCGAGACGTCTCAAAGTGCTTCACAGGATATAGAGTGTATTGACTGTATATTTTATGGGCGAAACGCGGCTGCCAATTGTGCACAGCAGCGTCCCACAAACAGTCATGGATTGAGTGGCCAAATCATTTTTTGATCCACAAACAGTCCCGACATTCGACTGATAACCGGGTTCCTACTTACTGCTGGGTAAACAGAGGCGTGTGGAGTAAGGAAACTTACCTAAGGTTTCACGCTGCCCGGGAATCAAACTCAGGTCCTCTCGCTCGTGAGGCGAGTGCTCTAACCACTGAGCTACAGGAATATAGATCACTGGCAGAAATATTTTTGTTTTTTTGGTGAGCCGAGTGTCTTGGCACATCAGCATGTTTCTGTCTAGGTACCCCCATGAATGGCTAACCAAAGGAGGAGATTTCCAATTTTTTTTCAGATGAATTAAAATAATCATTCAGCAAATGCTGCATTGTATATAAAAACGTCTAACCTCCTGGCCTACGTTTTTCACTCTCTGGGCCCGTTGTTTTAGGTTTTAGCCGTTTCACCGATTGGATACCTTGTTAATTTCAGAGATGCTGAAGGCAAACACAGGCTCATCACACGGACAGATGCAAAGAAGGAGTTTCTGCTGAAAGACTGTGACCTGGACAAGCGGGAACCTGTCCTGCAGTACATGCTGAAGAAGAACCCGCACCATTCCCAGTGGGGAGACATGAAACTTTACCTGAGATGCCAGGTAAATGCCGGTATCTTTCAAAGTAATTCATTTGGTCCAACATCAAAGACAACAGCTTCACCTTTATATAGCATCTTTCACGCCACGAGGACGGTCCCAGCTCTCAAAACATGGTGACTGTGGGCAAATTTGAGTGAATTGATCTGACCAATGAAGAGATTAACATGGGATCATGGAGCGTAGAGACTCATTACTGTAATCATGATTTTTATGATGGCCGGTTTAGATGAATGAGCCGAGGATGTGCACAACTTGACGTACCTTAATGTGTTTAATACCTTAATAACTCTAGAATAGCTTTTGATATTTCCTGCAGAGAGAGCCGCTTTCCCCAAGCCGTGAAATGGGAGGTGGTTGGATAACTGTTGCAAATAAACACCGATTATCCTCTCAATTGAAGGCAAAATATTTTTGGTTTTCACCCCGCGTCAGCGCCAGGGAGAACAACCGTGCGCAACAGCGGCAATGTTCGAGATCACGTCTCTGAGGTTTGCGTGCTTTTTATTTTTCCGTCTTTAGGCGGCGAAGCGTTCCCTGGAGGTGTGGGGCAGCGAGGAAGCTTTGGAAGAAGCCAAGGAAGCCCGTCAAGAAACTCGAGAGAAAATGAAGCATAAGAAATTTGACAAAAAAGTAAAAGGTGCGCGAGGGCGCCTGGCTGTGTCAGGGCCGCCTAACCAGCTGTGGCTCGTATGTGCCCACGTCTCTTTAACTGCCTGTTTGATTCAGGGGAAGATTTCTTTTTAAACTCCCAATTTTTTTTTCAGATGAATTAAAATAATCATTCAACGTTTTAGAATTTTTATCGCCGCTGTCCTGCCATTGCAGTGAGCTGGCAAGGTTCCATCGGTGTAAGTCGATCAGTACTTATTAAGCTTTAGAAAAGTCACAGCCCCTCAATAGCCATGACTCTATTCGGCGAGCGGCTGAGCCAAACGCAAAGGGCTTTGAAAGAGAATGAGGATTCCTGATGGGTGTTGTTAGCTGACCTCAGCCAAGGTAATATCAAACCAAAAAATCAGCTGTAAAACCAGCCAGGCTTTCTTCTCCTGATCACTATCCTTTATCTCCTGTACGGACATTTGATCAGCGCTGAACTTTGATAAGGTTGCACAAATGAATTACTTGCCAAATAAGTTGTAAGTCGAGACTTACAACTTGAATAATGATTTATTTGAGTGATGCCTGCTTATACTACAAGAGGAAAATGTCCAATGTGTTTGTGTGTGGGGGGCTGGGGGGAGTTTTAGAGTGCAGATTTTGATGTAGCTCTTTTGAAAATACTTGATGAACTATTTACCTGTCAGCAAAAAGTCAGCTGTCAATCAGTGATGTCCTAAGGACAAGATTCACTTGTCAAGAGCTGAAGTCTGTGATTGCTGTGTGTTACCTATCAAAAAGGGTCATCTTAAATGACTACTGTTTGTCGTCTTCCACTGTTCTCAGAGCTGCGGCGAGCAGTGAGGAGCAGCCTGTGGAAAAAGCAATCAGCTGCACATCAACACGAGTATGGACCAGAAGAAGCGGATGTTGAGGAGGACATGTACAAGAAGACCTGTGTAATATGTGGTCACCAGCTAAGCTACGAAAAAATGTGACGCAGAAAATGCTGGTCTGCGGTGTCAATTTGTCTTAAATTCGAAACTTTGCATTATGAATCTTGTATAAAATAAATCAATCTTATATAAAAGTCACAAGCGACATTTTGTACACCAGTGATCAGGGCTCTCTCTGCCGCCTTTGACACTGTCGACCATTCTAGCCTTCTCCACCACCTCTTTCTCTCGGCTGTCTCCCTGGTTGTGTCCTTGCCTGGTTCACATCTTACCTTTCCCACGGTCTCCACAAATGGCTTCACCTCCAGCCCCTGCACGTGTGGCGTTCCTCACCTCAGGGCTCTGTCCTTGGTCCTATCCTCTTCAACGTAAACATGCTTCCTCTTGGTGACATCATCCATGGACATGCGGTCAACGTCCACATGTACACGGATGACACCCAATTCTATCTCTCTGCCTCCACCCTCGATTCCAGGAACACTGACGTCCTGGATGAGAGCGAATTCAAAATCCTCGTCCTCTTTCAAAGCCCTCCGTGCCCTATCTCTGTGACTCAGTGGATTATGGCCTGTTCCAGGTCTCCGACCCCATCATCTACTGTCTTCTGGGGTAGTGCATTCCACACTGTCAAAACCCACCTTTTTGTAATTGCTGTTTGTGTCACCAGAGCGAGGAGGCAGATCCTTCAAACACATGTTTCAATGACATCCATCACACAATGTGAAACACAATTAATAATAATAATCCTTGCATTTGATATAGCTCCTTATCACGCTGTTGAGACATCTCAAAGTGCTTCAAAGAATATACTGTAAAGTGAACTATTTTGTGGGCGAAACGTAGCAGCCATTTGCGCACAGCAGTTGATTGAGTGACCAAATTATTATATAATTTTTAAGGGATTATTTACCCCGGAAAGCGATCCACCAATTGACTAAAAATCAGATTCCTACTTACTGCTCGGCAAACAGAGGTGTGTGGAGTAAGGAAACTTGCCTAAGGTTTCACCCTGCCCGGGAATCAAACGCAGGTCCTCTCGCTTGTGAGGCAAGTGCTCTAACTACTACGATACAGGATTCCATGGGTGGAGAATAAGGTGGGTAACCTTCCCTTACCCTTATTTCAAGGGTGATAAACTCAGTAATTCTCTCATTTTCCCTTTCGTTGATCTTCAAATCTAGAATCAAATCCAAGATTGGCCATTGCCTCCACAGATTTTTCATGAAATTGCTGGAACCAATACTGAGCGGTTTCCCCCAACAAGCCAGTGGATCGGGAAATTGGAGAGAAGCATCTTGAGTGCACACTGACCTCCTTCAATTGTTGGCTCAACTAATAGGTATTACAACAAACTGTCAACAGCATACCCGACCATCGAGAATTTCTTTTTCCTTCCTCCCCCAATTTGTATTTTTTGTTCTTGTGCACCAGTTAGTCAGTGAGAAACTTGCATCGTTTGGTCTCAGGTATCTGAATATACTGCTGTGGGTGAATCATCTGCCACTTTTGCCTCAGTTCCTGTTGGTGACGTTAGGTGAAGCCACCACTCGATATCCACTTAGATGATTCAAGTCTCAACATTGCACCCATATCTAGTTTGATGTAGAAGACAATATTCCTCCTTCAGTGATCGCATTAACTGATCACGTCCTCCCGCCGTGATAGGCGCTATGTAAATGCAATTTGTTGTTAATATTTTAAAAATACTGCAGTGAGATTTACCTTTATTCATCCAATTGAGAAACTTAAACTTAAGTGTCAATCGCCAGAATTAGTCACATAATGGTGGAGGGCAGATGCAATGTTCTGACGTGCATTTCAAAAGTTGCAACGCCAAGTTTCCTCCAGTCCACCAGAGTAAATATTTTCTTCAGGTCTGCACAATATTTTGAATAAAAGGGCCAGTTTTCTGCTACGTTCTGTTTTGTATCCCAACATCTTGGCTGTCCAACACAGTGAAATCAGGAGTTCCAGAAACAGCATAGATTGACAACGATCCTTTGTTTACATGACCATAAAAAAAATGTGGCACACCATTTAATCAATTTATTAGCCAAACCGCTTCCTAATATTTCTCAGTTATTCAAATAAAATTGGTCACCCACTCCACTGGCTGTTTGTGGGACACTGCCGTGCGCAAACTGGCTGTTGTCTTTCACCCACAAAAATACACAACTAATCCACTTTCCATTGTATCCTGTGAATTGCTTTGAGACATCTTGACGTGATAAGGCACTATGTCAAATGCAAGGAATATTGTTGCTCTCACGATTTGCTTCTACGCTTGGCATTCCCCACAATTACCCTTCCTTCTGCACAGCAATTATATCTGAACCATTTGTAATAAGACCTCTTCAAATCTGCTTTTCTCGGATGTGCTCACATCCAGAGGCTTCTGTAGCCTCTCCTTACAACTCACTAAAGCCAGTAATCTGTCTAGCTCCCCCTCACTCTATGTTCAATGCCAAAACACGGTCTCCTCCAGGACAATTAAATTGGAAATGAGATGACTTATTTGCCTAAATGTGGTGCGTTATTCTCGTGTACCTGTGTAAGGTTACGCGTTTCTCTTATAAGACCTGGGCTCACAACAGTAACATAAGCAGTTTCAGCAGTCACTCTACTGAAAGGCTTCAGCCCTATAAACACATGAAAGTTTAGCTGAGTGCTGAACCTGTTGATTTTCTCAGCCAACGAGGAACTACATTTCAGTTTGTAAGTCCCAGCTACAGCCAGGACGGCAGCTTTACAATAAGGGGCTTGAAGTGATAAATTCACAACCCTCTTTGTAATACTCCCTGATACATTTGATAGTGTTTAGACCCCCCGCCCCCTCCCCCAATAAACCATACTCCTGTCTTCCTACAATTAATGTATTTTTTTAATTTGTAAAAAATATTTGTTAGCTCTTTTCAATCATGGAGTGACTACTCAGTTTTGATTTTCTCATGTTATGCGAACTTGGACCGACCGATACGTATAAAATTAAAAAACACAACATACACTTTCTGTTTAAAAAAGTAACAGTATCCCAAATATATTTCAGCCACATTAATGTCTGTAGAATTGTCTGCGTTCCTGTTACTGGAAGAACCAAGTGAACATGTCGCAACATTGAAATTCAAAACTTTGGTCGATTGTGGAGCACGATGTTGAACAATTTACAACAAGCTATTTAATTTACAAATTGTCTGGTAGATCGTGAGGAAAAGAGATGGTTTTAATAACCTTGCATCCAGTAATCAAACCGCACTGAATGTAAAGCAAATTTAAAACTAGAATGAATACCAAACTTAAGTCATTATGCATGTACATCCTTTTGGATTACTAAAGTCTCTATCGCTATTGTGGAAGGCCTATTATTTTATGGTTTTAAACAAGAGGAGGAAGCCTTTCCTAAAATAGATGGCATCATTTGTCATGCTCCATGGTTTTACCGCTGAAGAGGCAAAGTGGCTTCAGGATGGTCTTTCAACACAAGACTGGCGTGTTAGGAGTTTTCAAAAAGAGCGGGGGAATCTCAAAACGTTCGCTGCTGCTGGAGAGTAACTATGCCTGAAGAGTACAGAACTGTTGGAAAACAGCGAGGATGTGGTGGTCGAGCTCAGCTGTGAAGAGCAGGTTTTCCAGCGTGACCATGTACTGCTGGATAATCTGGTGATGCTGTAGTACAGATACAAACGTAAAATGTTAGCATACCTTTGGGATCCAAGCTTCAAGTAGTTTTGCCCTGTCGCAAACGTTTGATCAGTGAAACCCACATAGGCCCCTTGACAATTTAAGTAAATCCATATCATTGTTGCTTCACATTACTTTCGTCATCAATTCAAACCACTCTGAACAATCAACACGATGGAAGTTAAACTAAACAGGCCCTGCTCACCCTAGCTTCCGATTCCCATTAAAACTTTTTATCGTCACTTTTCTCCCTCTTCCACTCCCCCCCCCCACACCCCGTGTGTAGAAGCTCCTGGGAATCACTTCCTCCCACTATTTCCCTTCACCAAATCTGACACACATCCAGCACGGTGCACAAGAAGCAATGAAAGGGGAAAGGAGGGGAGGAAAAAGCATCAGTGAAAGTGAAGGGAAAGAGAGAGAGAGAGAGAGAGAGAGACGAGATGGTGAACGTAAGGGAAACAAGTGTAAGTGGGTGTTAAGCGATTAGAATATAAATAGATCAAACATGGAGAGTCAGTTCTGGTCAGTCACTAACCTGGAGAAAGATCTGCTGCAATCTTTCAATGCAGTTCTTATACCAGGAGGTGTTAAAATCGATCCCACCGGTTTCACACCTGGCGAGATGTTCTGTCAGAATCATTATAAAACGCTGTGAAGAACAAAAAATCTTCAGTATTCGCATGAAGAACTCTATGGGGCAAACGTGAATTTTAATTTTTTTAAAAAAAAAGTAAATCAAGACAAAAGAACCCAACTTGCTACTTTACCTGAAAAACTACAAGGAAAAGGTTCTTTTGTTCACTTTGAGCAGATTCGACCTTCTCCTGCAGACGTTCAATCTGATCTTCCAGAGGGCCGTCTTCCTCATCACTGTTATCGTAGTCTTCATCACTATCTCGCTTTACGAAAATAAGAGACTTTTGTTTACTTTGCAAGCGGTTACAAGTTTAAGACTTGATTTCTCATGCAGTTGCGATGCCTCTGCAGTGAATAGCTGCACAAACACTCACTGTCAAGGCTCACGCAAATATTGGAAGATCGGGAGAGGTACTGGAAGATACCCTACACTGTTGAATTGTATTCCATTGTACACAGGTCCAGGCAGGTCTGTGTGTCTGCCCAGTAAGCCATGATCCTAGCATTCCCTCTCGTGATTGGCACTGAAAATACTCCTGCTCGCCCTTCATCTATGAGTAAATTTTGATAACTCAAACCGCAGAACAAACAGCTTAACGTGAATTATACTCACTCTTTTATGCTGCTTATCTAGTTTATCTTTAGTCTCGTCAAGCTCCTTCTGGACTTTCAACACATGCTTGTTCATTTTCCTTATGGTGGAATGAAGAATTTCCCAGACATACATCCTGTAGAGCAATCACCAGCGGGGTTAGTATTGTGGAATTTTTATTTCCAAATCTTATTGCAAGACACCAGAGCACCTACAGCTGTTACACATTACCTAGTAAAATCGGGAGACATCTCCGAGGAGAAGATCCAGTTTGCTACTGCAGCACAATCGACAATTTGTGTTCGAATCATTTTATCAACTAACATGGCCATCATCTGCAAAATGAAACGGCAGGAGTCTGATCAAATACGAATACACAATATAATAATAATAATCCCTGCATTTGATATAGCGCCTTATCACGTCTTTGAGACGTCTCAAAGCGCTTCACCAAATGCGCTGTTAAGGAACTGACTGGATATTTTGTGGGCGAAAGGCAGCAGCCAATTGCGCACAGCAGCGTCCCACAAACAGTCGTGGATTGAGGCCAAATTTCTTTTTTTTTGTCACAATGCGAACGGTAGCACAGTTCTAAAGCAGAACTAAACCTTAACATTGTTAAAGAGGAGAAAACGCAGAAAGAAGAGGATTTGCCTTTCAAAGACATAGGGATCAGAAGTTTGGCTATTAAGTTATTAATTCTGAATAAGCACAGCTACAGAATCTAACTCTACCCAAGTAGGTAACCCCAGTTATCCTGTTCAGAAAAGTACTTTGTAACCCCACAGCCACAATTTTCTCCAGTGTGGGACAGAGGAGGGCAGAGAAGGGTAAAAGCACACACACAAAAAAACAACTTACCTGAGGATGACACTTCCAGACATCATACATAACTCTTAGAACATGTAACTTGCCGTCATCCCCTTCAGCCAACACCTTAAACACCTCATGAAATCTATGAAGAATGAATAAAAACGGTTAAATATTTACAAGTCGTGGAAAACACGCTCTTTTTTTGTAAGAAAAAAATAAAATGTTGCACATGCAGTAAACCTATTCACCTCCCTCCAATTTTACTCCTGCACTTTTTTAATAATAATAATCCTTGCATTTGATGTGGGGCCTTTTCACCTCTTCGAGATGTCTCAAAGTGCTCCACAGAAAATACTGTGAAGTGAACTGACTGTACATTTTGTGGGTGGAACACAGCAGCAAACAGTCGTGGATTGAGTGATCAAATTATTATTATTTTTTTAAAAATTAAAAGGGATTATTATCTCTAGGAAAGCAGCTGCTATCTGGTAGCACTCCCCAAATCAGGAACTCAGGGAATCAGAAGTCACACCCTCCACAGAAAGATGGGAGCACCAATACACCAACTGAAGCACACGTGTGTTTAAATAATTTATATCAGTCAAGCAATTAATGGGCAACAGTAAAACACGGAGGGAGGAGGAAGAATTAATGGGGTAGATGAGCACAGTACACCTGGCTTTTGGCACTGACGAGTTGACTTCCTGCACTATACAAAATGGTCACTTCCAAGTTGTCAGGTCCCTCACTTCCTGCTGAAGCCACTTTGCAAAGGACGCGATATCAGAAGTACTGCATGTACTTAATGCACATGCCCCAGGGTGCAGACATGACATCGGCCTGACCATTTCCCCCCTGCTCGGGTCATGACCCAACTGTGCAGCGCCTTGGGACGTCCTCCTGACGTGAAAGGCGCTTTATAAATGGAATCTTGTTGTTGTTGTTGTTGTTCCTGTGCATGGCAGGCAACAAGTTACATCGGCATCGATCCGACACATTGGAAGGTGGGAGATTTTTCCATGCTTCGTTTTAGTGCAAGGGTTCGAGTTCTTGGATCCAGACCATTGCAGTAGAACAGTGTCCGATACCATATGTATATTGTCCTCTTATCAAGCAAAATGGTAACTGGGGCATACTGGGTTTTATTTATTTTGTTAATAACGATGAACACACTTACTTTGCCAAAGCACTAAAGGAATGGCTGAAGGACTTGGAGGCCAGGTAAAGTAAAGTCTGCACAAAAACATCAATCTTCAGAGGATTAAAGCTGAACCCTTCATCTGAAATCCAGTGGAAAGAGCATAGTTGTAGCAGGTTAGAATCAACCCGTTACAGTAATTCCACAAGTAAGATGACAAAAGTAATTGTATTACATACTAACTCAGGTCAAACCATAAAACGGTGATCACAAGAGCAGGAAACGGACTGGACATCTTGCAAAACCCAACATTAATGTGAACATGCACTTTATATGCCAATCAAAAAAAATCATTTAATCACAACACATTCATAAATAATGCTTTTGAAGACAATATTGAATAGGATATATATGTAGATCTCCTTCCATTGGTTTTACGATTAGCTTCGATACGCACTGTCATGGTAGTTTTTGGAGATGGAAGATCTATTCAGAAATGAATCTAAAGTATTTTGGAATCCTAAACCAAGGCTGTGGGTTATTCCTCTTAGACATTATTCATCAAAATGGGAAGGTTGTTCATTTCCTACAAAGCTCCTGATTCTACATAGAAATAAACACGAGTGTGTAATATGCAGGTTTATTTCTATATGGCATCAGGAGGTATGTAATGTGTGTAAAAAAACACTGAACAGGACTCTCAATCCTTCAATAAATCAAAAACAATTCCTTACCATCATCATCATCTTGATTAGGATTGGGAAGGTCCTTCAGGAAGCTCACAATTTCATCGATGCCAGCTTTGGTTTTAATAGCAGTGCAAACACTGACAGCCACTTGGTAGCCTGGCAGAGAACCTGGTAGGTAGGGACAAACTTTTATTTCACTTTTTGCAACCGTTTGAATTAGTAACTTCGTTTTTGGTGCCAAAGTGGGCTCCAGACAGGAGGCAGACACATTGCAAGCTGATCCGGACACGTAGGTTGGAAGGGACTGAAAGTAACAAGATGTTCTTTCATGTTGGGATATGCAAAAAAAAAAATGAGTTACATTGATATGGAAGATACTCCCATGTGATACTGTTTGTTCAAACGGCATCTATTCACTCAAGAAAAATGTAGAATGGTTTCTTAAGAGGATCAGCAGCTGAAGTAGGAGCCTAACCCGTGATGTCATGCCATAGGACTGACTGCCTTGCCCCCTCTTTACCAGTCTTCAACCCCCCCACCACCCCACTTCCCCCAGCTCGGCATCAAACTCCACCATTGTTACCGCTCCGAGAAGCTACCCAACACCCCCACCACCCCCTCACGTTGGAGGTGTTCAGCCCTTTTTTTAAAAAAAAGAGCTTACTTACCGCTTATGGAGCTGGAATTTTCTAGGATCCCCCCCCCCCCCCACCCCCAGCTAATATTCTTACCGTGTTCACACAGAAATTAATATATTGTACTTACTGTTGCTCTCATCTCCGTACTTGTAAATACATAAGGATTTGCTGGCAACAAAGCTGCAAAGTTTTCAGGAACAATGTCCACTAATCTTTGATAATACGAGAGTCTATAAACAAGACAACAGAGCCATTAAATGCAAGTAGTTTTCTTTACGGTGTATCTTTTAATTTAAAAATGTACTTACAGAATGTTGACAACGATATAAATCAAATGCAATACAATGCAACTAAGAGCCCTATGAAATGTCTGTTGAGATTTTATGTAATGTGATAATCAGATAGATGTTACAGAGGAAGCTTCTCTAGTTGAAATCCCGCCAATATGCGAGAATGTGTCTCCCACACAGACACACACACCACAATCCCCACCCACACCACACACTCCTCCCCCCCTACTCCCCCATAACCCCAGAAAAAGGCTCTACTCCTTAATATCCGAAGCACCAAAGAAAATGAATGCTGAGGCAAATAGAAACTCGAGTTATTCTGGCTGGCCTGGTGCTCACACTAACAACCAGCGCGTGGAACTCAGGAATTCACTGACCCCTGTAGAAGTGTGAGAGGCAGTGAGAATGGGCATGGATTCAAGAGTGAAAAGTAAAAACCAAATAAAGAAATAAATGCCACTTACCTCATACATTTCTCCAACACTTCACGCACAAATTTTGGTCTGGGCTTGTCAGGGTCCAGAGCCAGACAATCAGACCTGTGGTTTTAACAAGCAATTGATTAGGGGATGCAAAGGAAAGGCATGTGGTTTGTCGACACAGAATGTCAAAGAGCAACTTCAAACAAACCTTCCTCCCCACACACTTAGTTAGATTAGCAATAAAGTCCAATTTAACCTCCACATAAAATATAGTGCCCAGGTTTATTCCCTCAAAAAGACAGGCTCCCTTAATACAAGCAAATAATTCCAAGAACTATTCCCTCACAGGCTCAACCCATGCAGGCTCAGCGAGCTATACCAGCAAGTCCTGCCACTTTGCCAAGATTCCCAGAAACTGAACTCCTTGGAGCTTGCAAAACTATTCATGAGCCTGAAACCAGATCATTAAAAGTAGTTTAAATCACTACTGCTTTACAATTATGTATGAAGTTTGAAGTTTCAGTTCTTTCCCCTTAGCCTCTCTCAAATTCCAATCTGTTTAAAGCCCACACTATGATTTTCAATGTATTTCAACTAAAAAACTATAATCTAATTGAAAAACCCTTCTGGGAAACCGAGATAAAACAATTTAGGCTCAGAATATTGTGACTATTTCTGCAATATTCCTTTAGGTGGTGTTATTAATAACACCAATGCTTTGGGAAGTCCTGCTTGTATTGTAATTTGTACTGTAGAATTTCTCAGTGAATACTGGCCTGCTTCATGTCCCACCGCCCTACCCACTCCAACATTGGCGGGCGGACTATCAGCTATTCTGATCCCGCTCTCAAGAACTGCATTGCAGAATCCTGCAACTCCCTCCCTACCACCGTTCAAAGCCCATCTCAAGACATAATAATAATCCTTGCGTTTGATAGAGCGCCTTGAGACATCCTCCCGACGTGAAAGGCGCTCTATAAATGTCATTTTGCTGTTGTTGTCTCAAAGCACTTCACAGAATATACTGTAAGTGAATTTTGTGGGTGAAACGCGGCAGTCAATTGCGCACAGCAGTGTCCCACAAACAGTTGTGGATTGAGTGACCAAATTATCAATTTTTAATTTTTTTTAAAAAGGGCTATTACCTTTATTAACTTATTTTATTTTTGAAGGGATTATTATCCGCAGAACTCCACATAAATCTCTTTAGCTACGCTTTCAGTCATCTTTCCCGTCTCCACCCCTTTGTCTCCCATCCCCAGCTCGGGTGCCCAATCCAGGAGCGTCAAACTCTTTTGAGTCGTCCTCTCAACACGAAGACGCTATATAAATGTAAATTGTATTGTACTGCAGTGTGTAATCAGTGAATAAATACTCCTTCCTCGGGTGCCTTTCTGCAGACTTCAGTACTATTTTTGAAAGGCTTCCAGTTATTTTTGCTACCCTGAATTACTCGTTTATTCAATTCCAAAGCGTTTATTAATCTTGAAAAAGGTTTCAAGTTATCATTATTAATGTGCTGAAAGTAAACTCGCTGCGATATGGCAAGAAAAAAAAGTTTTGCACATGTGCGTGAAATTTAAGCGTAAAGTTAGCACAGCTGTGAGGGGAGGGTTCATTTTCACAAGTGCACAAAATAAACGGTCAATTCACTTTACAGTATATTCTGTGAAGCGCTTTGAGACGTCTCGAAGACGTGATAAGGCGCTGTATCAAATGCAAGGATTATTATTACAACGTAGAGTTAGAGACTAAACAGACAGAAACAAAGAGAGAGAAAAATAAACTCAGCACAAACAATGGACAGCGAGACAGAAAAAGAACGATCAGGAAGAGAAATCAGGAAGCCGGCTACCTCACCCTCGCCCTTCCCACTCTCGCTTCTCCCTTACCACCCAAAACGTTGCTTCAGTTCAGGCCAACTACCTCAATAGAAAGATTCAAAGCAAGGACTCTACTCTGTATGGCTCAGTGCTCTATGAGCAGCTGCTAGCGAAGCTGCTCTTACAGTTTTAAATCCTAATTCAATAGGATTGCATCATATAAAAATTCTGGAAAATCAACCTACCAGTCATCCCAGCTCCACCGGAATTGAAAGTTACTCAAATGATGGGAAAACCAATTGATAAATCTGAAAGAACAGAAACCACGGTCAAAATCATTATCCAAGTCGACGAATTCAGGCACATTTCAGGTACATTTCAGGTAAAATTCCCAATTGGATGGGGAGCAGCACAGTTAGATTTCAGGCAACCACGTAATAGTAGCCAGGATTGCCCCACACTGAACATGAACTTAAGAAGAGCTGTTCAAGGTGTTGGACTGATCCAAGGCTTGTGCATTGTCTGGAACCCCAAAGTGGCAATGCAGTTCACCAAAACAATCACTACGCCCACAAAACATACAGTCAATTCACTTTACAGTATATTGCGTGAAGCGCTTTGAGACATCTCGAAGACGTGATAAGGGGCTGTATCAAATGCAAGGATTATTATTATGCTTTACCAATTGCCAAATCAGTATAATTGTAAGCGGACGTTGGCTGAGCCTAAACAGAAGAGGGGGGGGGGGCTACGTTGAAGTCAGAGTAAGTCAGGTTGAATCAGAGAGGAAACCAAGGGAAGCCATGCTATTGAGTGAGGCTGTGATTGGGAGGGGCAGAGGGTACCTGGCTGATGCTGCTTGAAACAACACAAGTTGGCTGCCAAATAGCTTCTTGCATTGTGCATGTACAGCGTGATGTGCAATAGCATTTCCTCTACAATTCTGCTCTATACAAGGGCATGGAGCTGAGGTACTGGAACCTCGCTCTGGAGACCGCATGTGGAAGGTGTAGCATCGAGCACAGAGTGCTCCTCACCCTGCAAAAAAGTCATGGGGGTTTAGGACACCCCAGTCTGCGTTCAACTGCTGTACAGTTGTCGAAGCCAGAGAGCACGAGACTAAACCCAGATTGTGCGAGGGCACACACTGCCCTTTTTATGAGTTACAATATTGTGATAAAAGTAGCATAGCATATTATTTTAAAAGAAATTCAGCGACGGAGCACTTGTACTTACAGTCTTATTAGTCTAAGCACGCCTGCTTTAATCTGCAAAGCTGACATACGTTTGACAAGAACATTTTATCAGTTACAAACTTTTTTTGCGGGCGGAAAAAGAAGCAACAATCAAATTACCTGTCTATGCAAATTGTGTTCATAGAATCCAAACGCATATATAACATCTCCGTGGCTTGTGCAAGCTGAGGTTTACATGTTAAGTACAACAGGACGTGAAATGCGATCATGAGGGAGGGGAGAGGAATCTAAAAGTTTCTAACTTTTAAGATAAGGCGTTTATAAGTACATTTGGTATCAGCTAAAGAAAAATAACAGCCAATTATTACTGCCTTTTGACAAGCAACTAAAGGCCCACTTATTCACTTATTCAGCAACTTAGCTGTAGGAACCTTTCCAATATAATCAAACCCCCAATACACTGTGCTTTGGTAGATAATGCGGATGTACTTTGGACCCACAATATAGTAGTGGTAAACTTCCAGCCCTGACTGATCTTGATATTTCTTTTACCAACTGATCAATCGCAAAAGTTTTGACGTGATTTTTGAAGCTGTGTGGGGTAAGTACTTTAAACTGAAAGCTAATAAACAACAACTGAAAGGATACCACTTGAGGCAAAGAGCCAGGTTGCAGTTTACAGAGTTCAATCAACAGTGTTGTGTACATGACTTCAATGTGTGGAGGTACAGGCAATTGGAAGAGCTCTCCAAAGACAACCTACAAAAACAAAACAAAAGCAATATCATTAGTAAAACGTTTTTGTCAAAAATAAGTGCCAAAAGTGAAGAAGCGAAAGTCCGACATTTTGCCTCAGATAACGTTGCCATCATCCTCATCTCATGGCCTTTGAAATTCCAACACCCTAACATAAACACAAAACTATCAACAGCAAACTAAGATAATAGTGCATTCAGCTTTACACACAGAGCACGATGATTGGCTGGTTACAAAGATGCAGCTTAAACTAATGGACCATAGCGTCTCATTCCCTTTCATTCTCTCACTTTGGGATGTCTGTTTCTGAACATTTGGTTAGAATAGTTACAACTCAACTCCTAATACTGTATGTCAAGCAATTAAAAGTGCAAAGATCTGTCCTGAGATTTTTTTTATTTAAGGTTATTTAGATCAAATGTACATACTTTTTTCTGATATATTCTTACTGTATACAGAATATTTTTGATATATTCTTACTACTTTTATATTCCGAACAACTTAAGTTTTCCCCGCTCTAGGCAGCCAATTTTACTGTGTTGAAACAAAGTAAAATTGAATATTAGTTGCTTTGCAATCAAAACAGCCAAGGAAAACGCTGTAATCAAGTCTATCACAAGTATAAAGCGAGTCTGCCAATCAGTATCACTGGCAAAAAGGTACAACATTAAACCATTTTGGAGAATGCATTCAGAAATTTGAACTAGAAATTAAAATTATACTACCTTGAAAAATAAAAGCTAATAACAGTTTACATTATAAAGACGCACGCACCTCCACTATGTGATAATTCAGAGGAATCTTGTTCTTTCCAGGATAGCTGAGTAATTGTGCAGCACTGTAAGGAAAAAGGAGAGAAAAGAAAAAAAAACAAGAAATTCACCCAAGGCAGATTAAAACTATATTTCAGAATATTACCCCTGGATAAATTGCAGAAATTCTACTTAAAGTAATATAGTGGAAGATATGCACTTGTTTGAAAATAAAATGATAAACTCATCATGTCCATAACTGCACTCAGCTGCTCTGTTTTTTTCTTACCTCAAGCATCACAACTTGTACTGTCTGTAATTGCTGGAACTTACCTTTCTGGACCATTTAATGGCAATTGAACAGTGCTCTCTCTACAGTTAGCAGCACCGATCCAGTGTCCTGGCCTCAGCCATCTTTCCTGGTAACCTATTTCGGGTGTTAATTACTCTCAAATACATTTTCCTGCTTGTGTCTGTCCTGAAATTGTCCTTTATAACCCTATTGTTCTTTTACTTCCTCGATACTATCTAAGACCTTATGTATTTATATAATCTACAGGTTGTTTCAATTACTTCTGTATAACTGCAATTTTAGCTTATGCTTAACCCATTTGGCAGGACTGCTGAAAGTCCTGCAAACATAGAAAAGTTTCACTGAACATTACAAGACTCAAAGTTCTGTGAAAAGCTCCCATAAAAAAAAATTGCAGAAAGCTTAACTGTAACACTATAAATAAAACAATCTTTCAGTACAAAATGTAGGCATACCAGTTTTTTCTTTCCTTCCAATGAGATCTGATGATACAGCGCAGATTTTCCTCAATTACAAATCTCTCAACAGAGTGACTGCCAGGCATAACTGGACCCTAAAAGAAATAAAAGGCTCAATAATAATAATAATAATAAAGTGAATTGACTGTGTATTTTGTGGACAAAACGCAGCAGCCAATTGCACACAGCAGTGTCCCACTAACAGTCGTGGATTGAAGTGACCAATTTTTTTTTTTTTTTTAAGGAATTTTTACCCCCAGAAAAGACAAGTGCTTAACCACTGAGCTAGAGAACTCCATCCCCCGGAAAGCAATCCGCCAATCGACTAACAACCAGGTTCCTACTTGCTAGATAAACAGAGGCGTGTGGAGTAAGGAAACTTGCCTTCGGCTTCGCCCTGCCCAGGAATCAAACCCTGGTCCTCTCACTTGCGAGGCGAGTGCGATAACCAATACATTACACAAACTGTGCCCTTTACTACAATTGAATTCCTAGCCTGGGGTTCAAAGGGCTGAATGGTCTCCCTTTGCGGTACGATTCCATGATCACTACTCAATTCCTCTTGGCAGGCAAGTGGGTGGATAGGGGTGTAAACAGGATCAACTTAGCGGTTTGCCCTTCATGAGTAAATAGCTAAACTGCTTCACTGCCAAGGATTGCACATGAAGAATGTCTATCTTGGGAGAGGGACAGGAGAGGCTGCCAGTCAATGCCCATGGAAGTGTACCAGAATAAGACTCAGAGGAGAGCAGAAAAATATAATAACCGTAGGCATCAACCTCCATGGTTGCACACTTCAACTCACCAAGTCAGGAACCCAGGTGTCTTGTTCGACCCTTAACTGTCTTTTTTTCCCCACATCCAAGCCATGACCCGTTCTGATTTCTCTCACCTCCGTAACATCGTCTGACTCCGCCACTACCTCACCCCTCAGGCCGCTGAAACTCTTGTTCATGCCTTCATCACCTCCAGGCTCGACTATGCAAACGCCCTGCTTGTCATCCTTCCCAACTCCTCCCTCCACAGGCTGCAGATAAGCCAGAACTCTGCAGCCCGTGTCCTCTCCCGCACCAAACTCCGTGACCCCATCTCCCCCACTCTTGTCTGACCCCACTGGCTCCCTATCCTTCAGAGGATCCAGTTCAAGATTCTGGTCCTCACACACAAAGCCCTCCATGGCCTCGCCCCACCCTACCTCTGTGACCTCCTAACCCCCTATCAAGCCACCCACTCCCTCCGCTCAGCCGGCTCTGGCTGCTCCACGTCCCCCGACCCACCATTGGCGGGAGAGACTTCAGCCACTCTGCCCCCAACCAGTGGAACTCCACCCCCCAATCACTCCGCCTCGACCCCTCCTTAGCCTCCTTCAAATCCCGCCTCAAATCCCTCATCTTCGACCATGCCATTGGTCACCCCCCACTTCCCCTCCTCCCCCGACTCCAACTCTGGTCTGAAATGCTGTACACTGTCCGGTGCCTTGGGACGTCCTCCCGACGTGAAAGGCGCTATACAAATGTAATCTTGGTGTTGTTCCCTCTCACCATATCATGAAATACATTTGCTTGTCTTAAGAGTGGAGCGATGGAATAAGTGTGGAGAAACAACCCAGAGATTGAGCAATTTAGATGACCAACAATGATAGAGTTGGTAATCATTTTAACTTGAAAACCCAAATGATTACAATTGTAATCATATCTTAAGCTACTCTAGTTAAATTGATTGGGGGGGGGGGGGGGGTGTAGGAAAAGACTGGGTGGAATATCTGTCCAGACTGCGTCTATCTATTGGGTGTCCCGATTCATTATCTTGGCCACTGTATTTATAGAGTGTGATTGACTCAGCAGCCTATAACTTCCTCATGTATCTTTTAAAGACCTGCAGATCAATACTAAATCCTTATCTTAAGCTAATTATCGCTCCCCCCACCAAAAATGTGGTCAACCATTCCCTGACCATTTGTTGGCTACTGTGTTTTGCCCACAAAATACAGTCAATTCACTTTACAATATACTCTGTGAAGTGCTTTGAGAGGTCTGAAAGACGTGATGAGGCGCTATATCAAATGCAAGGATTATTATTATTATAAATCTTGAATGTAATTCAATAATTATTGATGCACCAACAAATTTCAAAGAGTGCTGTCTCATACAGCATATTGTGAAACCCCAACTACCATAGTTTTGCACACCCACTTAATCTTTCTGTCCCCGTTGCAATTTCCTGCTGTCCTCTTCGCAATTTGCATCACCTCACAGCTTTGAGTCACCTGTAAGCATAAAAAATTCTCCCCTCTATTCCTATAGCCAGGTCTTTATATATAGGGTGAAAAGCTGGAGCTCCATCACCAATTCTTTGGGGATACCACTTGTCAGGGGATACAAATCAAAGAATGTCTGATTTTGTCTCTGCCTCTTATCTCTCAACCAATTTCCTAGCCATGTCACAGTATTGCCTTCAATTTCATGTGCCTTCATTTTTAACTGGTAATTTTTGGTGGCATCTTATCAAATGATTTCTGAAAATCCAAATAAATCATGTCCATTGATCCTCCTTAAGCGATCGCTTCTGTGGTTCTGTCAAACAATTCCATTAGGCTTGTGAGACATGATTGATCTTTAACAAACCCAGTTCTGCAAGACTCTATCGCAAGAGCCCCAAGGCCTAGAATTATCCATATCAATACTGTTTGCAATACACCAATAAACCTAGTAAGGTTTGCACAATTGCACACATCATTTATAATGGTAGCATATAGTCCAGATCTTTTGGTTAATGATCAACAATCATACTCAAATCACCACACCTAACACACCCATTTCAAAGTCTATTGAATTCATCCCCGAGTGCAGCCCAAAATAAAATAAACTGCAAACACCCACGACACTGGGACCTCAAGAACAGGTTATAATAATAATAATCCTTGCTTTGATAAAATGCCTTATCATAACATCGATACGTCTCAAGTCACTTCATAGTATATCCTGTAAATTGGATCAACTGTATATTTTATGGGCGAAAGGTTATAATCAGTACATCATATAACAGATATCCCATATCCAAAACAACATTTTTGTTACATTTTATCATTTGCTTTCCCCTCCCTGTCCAACTTCTATTCTACATTTCCTTTTACAATCATTTAAGTCTTCACTTTTCCGCTGCTTTTCTCCAGGAATCCACATCACATTAAGGGCTCAGAAATAATCCTTTCACAAATCATGGGCCACTTACTATAATTCACACAGATTAAGTTACTACTTACTTCAGGAGCATCTGTGTAGTCAAACATTCTGAAAATAATTTTTGGTACAGGGTACACGGAGCCTTCTGTATGAGGAGGTGGCGTAAAAGGTGGCAAGTTATGCTGCAAGGCCTCACACAGTACACTGTCAAAGGCCAAGTATGGTCTCAAGATATGTTTCTCCTGCCAACGATCCTTTTTCATCTTCTGTATCTGTGCCCACAGACAGTCCAAGTACTGTGAAAGAAAGGGAAGATCATCAAAATAATCCAGGAAAACAAGCAGAATTTTCATTTTTGCTGATAGCACCTTCTGGTTTAGAAAGTTGTGGGTTCAAGCCCCCGATCAGGATATCGAGCTTATAGTCTAGTCTACACTGCCATCCTTCAGATGAGACGTAAAAGCAATTGTGAGAATTATTATCTAAGTTCCGTGTGCCTCTAGATAGACTAGACAGACACAGAGACAGACACAGAGACAGACACAGAGACAGACACAGAGACAGACACAGAGACAGACACAGAGACAGACACAGAGACAGACAGACAGATAGTGTGTCTAGATAGACGTTGGCAACAAGCGGGTGAGACTTCAGTTTAACATCTCTGAAATACTCTCTCAACACTGCACTGGACTGGACATGAAGCCACAACCTTCTGATCTAGAGGAGAGAGCGCTACCAACTGAGTGAGGCCGACACCATATTTCTATGCATAGAAATTTCCTTTTGTCCAGAGGATTATAAAATTATAATTAAAATCATAACGCATACGTCTACAAAATTTGGGAAAGTATTAGGCAAAAGCAAAGGCTCGAGCACTCCAGAGGACACGTTGGGGAACTGCTGGAGTTGAACCAGCTAAACGCATACAGCTTTGGTTTTGCAACGAAAAGGCAGGCAATTGCAGATTTGGTTCTATTTTACATTTTCAAAATCAATAAAGTATATGCATGAGTAAACTGTGACAATGATTTTTGCCACAAAATCAGTATAATATATCCAAGTTTTTCCAGCTGGTCTACTGGTTTGCTGAATATTCTTTGGAGCAAATCTAATCACTGGCAGGTCAGTCTGATCTGCAGGACAAGAAATGTATGTACTTTGGTATTGGTGGCTTTGTGTGTCAGCCTGGTTCAGTTGATAGAACTCTTGCTGAGAGGGAGTGGGGGGGGGGGGGTTTCATTGTCAGAGGTCTTTCGGATAAGATGTTAACCGAGATCCTGTCTGCCTGTTCAGATGGATGTTAAAGATCCCACAGTACAACTCGAAACGGAGGGAGTTTCTCCCAGTGTGCCGGCCAACAATACTCCAAATGTAATTGGTTACTTATTTCACGGCTGTTTGTGGGACGTTGCTGTGTGCAATTGGAATGACGCATTGCATTCACTTACAAAAACAGAGATCACTCCATTTCACAATAAATCCTGTGAAGGAAGTTCAAATTGTCCAGCGCCTTGGGGCGGCCTCCCAATGTGAAAGGCGCTATAACCTCATGTAATTTGTTGTTGTGGTTAACCTAATGCATCTTTACCCGCTGCACTATCGGGGGACTTTCACTTATTCTCAACCGCGAGAGCGGCAAAGTATAAACTGAAAGTATGAGATGGTTCAATGCATCTTGTCAATATCACTGATAGAAATAGCATGACTGAGCAGAACTAGTCCAGGACTTCCTTCCACTCCACTCGGATGCAGCATTCAGCTGCCTTACAGTCACAACTAGTAAAACATGGCTAACAAGGGCATTTCAAATGTTGAAAGCTCCAAATAAAAAGGAACACTGGGTCGCATCTTGCAACAGGAAGCCACAATTTCGCCGGCCACTTCAGTCATGACGAGTGCACTTTGCATAATAACTGTTCCATAGGAAAGGCAAGCAAAACATGTCTGCACGTTTTTTTTTAAAAAAAGCTCTCACCTCTTCTTGCACATGAGGCTGTGCACTGTTCCAACATTGCAGCATAGGCATGTGAGCTTTTTGACGTCCCCTGGAACAGGCAAAGCATTTGAGTTACAGGTGTTAGAAGCACAATTTTTACCCAAATCTACATTCTAAGCCAATTCTTATTGCATTGCAATATCTGCATTTGCTTTGACAGATGTAATATTAAACTTCTATATTTCCAGGTCTTGACATTGGTAGACGGTCACATCCCAAGCTTGATCCACAGGAGAGACTATGTTTCCCACTTTCCAATTGCTCCACTTGTTTGTTTGAGTGTCTCCCAATGGTTCAATGAGTAAATTGCACTGCACCAAATATAAAAAAAAATGTCTGAGGTATAAACTTGGGCTGAGTGTGCCAATCTCAGAAATAATTCTCACCTCCAGTTGCTGTCTATTACTCCCCCAACCCCCACCATCCTCTGTGTGAGGTCACTGTGCAAAGACAAGATTGGGCTCTGCTGTGAAGCCTTTGCAGTTTATCAAGCACCTGCTGATATTTATGCTTATGTTCGCATACAACAGCCAAGGGATGAATTATGGAAAGGAATGTCTTATGGCAGGTCGTATACTTCTGTACAAGTCAACACAACACCTTCAGGAGGGAGAATATTAAAATAACATTGCATTTCATGTAAAGGTCAAATTAACCTGCTATAATCAGTTTGCTCAAATGCCCACTGACTGTTTCCATACACTCAAGCACTTCGTCGCCAGTGGTAGTTTTAAAAACCTGCTATATGCAACCCCAGAACAAATCAAGCCACAGATCAGTCGGGAACTAGCTTTGAATCACAATTAACTATGTTTCAGTGATAGTCACATCTTGGAACTCAATAGTAAGGAAGTCCCTCCTAGGCCCTGCACAACCATCCGTCTCATTCCCTGTACCCTGCACAGCCAATCCATCTGATCCCTCCTAAATTCTGCAAATCAATCCATTTATTCTAAACACTGTTTACTCCATCCCTTTTAAACCTGCACCATCCCAAATGGAAAAGGGTTTGTGATATCTGTTGTAATAGGACCACACTGGACACTATCCATCTGCCTGATGTGAACTAGTGTTTATGTTAAAACAAATACAATCTGGTAAACGTGTTATTGAAAAAAGAGGAAAGCGATTGAGCCAAACAACAACAAATTAGATTTGTATAGCACCTTTCACGTCAGGAGGACAATCAGGGCTTTGGACCCAAGCAGGAGCTTGGGATAAGGAAGGGTGGAGGGCAGGAATAGGAGAATGATCGAGCATTGCACCATAGAAAGGTGTCTGAATGAGCTCACCTGTATCTATGGTTTTAAAAAAAATCCCTAAATAAAATTGAAATTTTAAGTTTGTTGAACATAAATACGTGGCTTTAAAATTGAAACGGTACTCACTTCAGATAACCATCAATCACAGATAACATTCGATCCATCTCGACATCCTTTTTCTCATAGAGCTCTTTTCCAACCCAGGGCAGAGAACAGAGCACAGTGTGCACATACCAATCACAACGTACCTAACAGCACAATAACAAAATCAGGATTTGAACAGCAACCAAAGGTGATGGATTTTCATTTCACAAGTTTACTGGGAAAAACTTTTTTGTTGATATAAACAACCCCATAATAAAAGCAGGGAGGGTCTTACCTGTGGCGCATCTTCTTCCTGAGTTACATTGACAAAGTTTTCAAACATTGCCACCATTGAAGGAGCGGCAATAACATGGCAATTAACGAGATCACACAAAAAACGGACCTAGAAAGAGAATATGTGGCCATCTTTAGTTTAACAGGTCTCAACTTTCCCTTGTCACAGGTTACTTTTTTTTTTTAAGTTTTGAAAAATGAACCAAAAAATAACTTATGCGCTGTGATCTGTACCAACTGTTATTATTTAAGTATCTGTTTTCTGGAGAGATGTAATACTTTGCGGTCTGCCTTTCTCAATGGCAATGCCAGAATGCCTCCTTCAGGTTTGTGTGTGAGGTCTCTGGTCTCATTTAAAAAGCAGCTTGATGCTGTGGTGGGTGTTCAGGAGAGATGAGAACAGAATGGCCAAAGGGCCTTCTTGATTCAAATCAATCTTGTGATCCGGTGAACTGTTAAGTTAGTGGGATAAAGGCTATGATGCCTCTGAACAGTTCAGGTCCATCTCAGTCACATCCAGGTACATCTGATGTGAAAAATATTGAACACACTACAAAACTGCAGTGGCTTAGCATGTGTACTTTAATCAGCTACACAAAGATTGTAATACTGCAGTTTGTTTACTTGACAAAATCTACAAAACAGTCCATTTTTTTGGCATTTTCAACTTATTTTAGTTTATACTTAGAACCAAAGGGTATATAAAATTGACCTTTTTAATTATGAAACTGATATCTAATGTTTGGGGTATAAAGTTACAATCATTCGCTAATATAATGGACATTGGATGTAGCCACAATGGTATCACTAATTCTATGCTAAAAGCTTTTGATTTAATTGATGTAAATATTGAGCGACTTGGTATACCGTTTTATCCAATATGTTGAAAAGCACTGCCAGAGAATTACAAAACGATTCACTATTTGTCAATGGTTAACTAAAAAAAACTGAAGTGCATATTAAATACTTATGATCTAAATAAAGGCATATGATCTGTTCTAATATCACTTTGTAAATATCCGTATTAAAGTAGTCCCTCCACAGTAGAGAATCTTATATGTAAGAGACCAGACCAGCTTTACAGAAAGAGGGCCCAATCAACCGGTAACGTATCGTTAAGTTGTATCTGCGGCTCAATCATTAATAAAAAACAAAATGTGAACACTGCACTGAAGGAGATGATGCAATATAGTCTCTTCAGAGCACAACAGAAACAACAACAGGCAATAAATAGTAAACAATAGAAAAAAAGGCAACACTTACAAGAAACACTGCCTCATTATACAAATTATTTTTCAAAGCTTCCTTGAGTTGCCTAATCATGGCTTCGACAAACTCTCCACCAAAGTTATAGTTTCTGGCATTCAGCAGTCCCACCAGCGTTGTGTACACAGTTAGCTTTTCAGGAAGCATACGAGCTCTGGAAGATAAATTGTATTATCAACATCCACAGGTATAACGTCTGGCTGCAATAATACCCACTAATGTGACAGGAGGGAATGATATTTTAACCAATTCGGAATTATATCTAGCATATTCTATCGCCTGAAGCTCTGAATACAGTATGCTAGATAAAATTCCACCTGCCTAAATTATTAAAATGTTGTCATTTTATCCAGATTTGCTATCTCAAAATTGCACAAGATTTTCTGATTAAAAAGAACACGATTAAAAATGTCCTTGCACTGCGTACACTTAATCATTCTGATGACATTTTTTATTTGGGTCATCCCACTGGAAGAAATATTTTACACAAAGATTTGTGTAATCATACCATATCATAGCACATATACCATTGTACAAAGTAATGCTTCATCCAACTTACACGGAGCAAAGTATTCTCAGGATTTTACTTTTATAGTTCGGCAGGTCAGCTTCTAAAACTCCAGCCAGGCCTTCCAGGTTACTTTCCAATGAGGAAGTGCTCTGTAAATCAAAAATTAAAATAAATACCTCGTGGAATATTCAGAACATTGCATGCATAGTACACACTGGAGAATTATGGCGCCACAAATCACTGTCCGACAAATACAATGGTGAACGAAGTACATGATTTACAATCACGATTTATGACCATTATGATACCTCTCAAGATAACCATAGTTTTGAATACCGATTTAAAATGCACAATTTGGAGATTAAATAAAACATAACATTTTTGAATGATACAATCAGAATTAGATGATTAATCTCATTTATAAATCTTAACCTTAAGAGATCTGGACTGCTTGTTAATTAGTGTAAAAACACCACCACATACTAGTTGGACCAAATGGCCTGCTTCAATGCTGTACAGTCTACATACAATCTAAGTAATCTATCCGCATACTTATATTCAATTTGTGGTGCCTTATAGGAAAACAGATAAAGTCATTGAAGGGATACACATTTCAGAAATAGTTCATATGAAACATTGAAAAAAGCTAGCGAAACCTTGGACAATAATGTGGTGCCTTTAATCAGGAGTTAAAGGGCAAACCAAAATATCAATTGCAGAGAAAATTACATTAATGAGGGATAGGACACCTCAGGCGATGTGCTTAAAGAGTTAGAAGAGAGCGGACCCTCTAGAAAAACTCCAGAAGCTGTCAGGAGTAATTTCAGTAACCAAGTCAGATGAACAACAAGCTTACTATGTATTTCACAAAGCTCTGTGCATGAGGGGTCAAAGTATTTTAAAACAAACACTACACAAAAGACGCAATCTCAGTGATGTCAACAGATCAACCACTTTGACAACACATTTAAAGACACTTGCTTGAACTGGGAGGAAGGATGCACAAATAGATTTTACATCAAGAGATTGACAGATTTTGAAGCATTTCTAGATTTGTAAGATTAGCTCCTCAGTAAAAATCAATTGGTACTTTGAAATAAAAGCCACATTCCATCGCTACAGAAGTATGAAAATCACGCTGAAATAAAGTCCTGTACCTTTTCTCCAACACGACATATCAAAGATTCCAGACGGTCTTCGATTTCAATTGGCTCCGATGTCCTTCTCCTCTTGTGAGGTTGCCCTGTTTAAAAAAACACAAATTATTTGCTGCAAAGTCTTTCGAGTCAATCTGCACATCAGTCGGTAAGTGACACATTTCAGATTCTGTATTAGCTATTGCTGTGGTGCCTCTTCTACGAATTCAACTGTAGGCCTCATCATGAATTTAAGAAAACGAGTGAATTAAAAAGTTCAAATGATTGAATAAAAGTTCAAGTAACTTCATAAAATAATTCAGAGAACTCATTCCCTTGACATTTGACCCTCAGGACCTCAAGACTACACCACAAGAGCAAATATTATATCAAATCAATCTGAAAGCATCACTCGGAATTCCCAATCTAATGGATCTTGTCTCTAATTTTAAGGCAATCAATATTCCTTAAGTGGCATTGGTTGGGATAAAATCATGGCAGCACTACATAAATTAAGAACACTCTTTGTTTCAAACTTGTTATAAAATACTCCTGTTATCCTACAAAGTGGGGTAGACAAGTGGAGCAGGCATCTGCTATGCAGTTGTGCTCAGTTTTAATAAGCGATAAAGGCCAGGAAGGAACAAAGTCAATCTCTGATTCATTCTAAATTAGTTCAGCTGGGACAGGAATAGGTGCACTCAAATGATCTTCACGAGTGAATTATTCATTGCGATACAGTGACGTTTGCTGAAACATGCTTTTGTGTAAAGGTTAGGTGTGAACTGGGTTAAGACTTGAAACCCCATATCCATCATATTGGAGACTAAATTGCAGTGTTCTTAATCAGATTAAACGCCCATCCATAACTTTGTCTCTAATCCAATGTTTTCTCTTCTGATCTTCCCATTTCTATTCTTTTACATACTTCAATTGAACCACAGATCCCCATGCTGAGTCCTGTCCCACATTCCCATCACTATGACTTTGCTAAAATACTTTCTTCTGTTCCTCAGCTGATCAATCTGAAGATCCTTTTCCTCAGTTTCAATCCCTTTGTGACTTTACTCTATTATACCTGAGCAATCTTCTCCAGCCCACATCTCCCATTCTCCATCAGAAGATAATAATAATAATCCTTGCATTTGATATAGCGTTTTTCACGTCTTCTCGACGTCTCAAAGCGCTTCACAGAATAGACTGTAAAGTGAATTGACCGTTTATTTGTGGGCGAAACGCCAGATAGTTTAGATGACAGCTTAGGCATCATTTGTCTGTCGACTGAAATATTTAGATCGTATAACAACAACAAAATTACAATCGCCCAAGTCATACATCTACTTAGGTCCCATTGAATTTCTGATCACGTGGAGAGTGAAGGGGACGTGTCTCTGTGTACTATGAATGGGAACTCTGCCCATTCGTGTCTTGACTGGAGCACAGTTTCATGGCTACAAGAGCAGTGCTGTACTGAGGACTGAGGTGCGCATGTTTAATCTGTTCAAAGCAGGCACTGGAAACAAAGTTTTTGACCCGGCAGCTGATAAGTTCCATTGCAGCATTTTGAACTGTGCGACTGTTAATACGGTTTCCTCCAACTGTGTAAAGCATAAGGCTACGCCTAATATAACTTTATAACCGAGGCAATTAAGTGGACTCAACATCAACTCTTAAATAATTCACGCATTTGTATCATTTCCTACTACAAGAAAAATAAAATAAAATCAGGGAAGGTTGCAGGAACATTCAAATATTTACAGATATTTAAACCGGTTGAAAACTACATGAAAATGGCTGTTCTGGAACATGATGGTCTGAAAATTTCCTTTTTGAAACCTTGCCTTAATGTCACTAGCCAATTCAGTACTTGTGTGTTTGTTATGTGCAAATCATATGAAATCTGACTTACACACAACTTTACACAAGCCATATATGAGACGACTTTATGGAAGTTTGACACAACTCATACTTTGCATAAGTCCTATTGGTCCCAACTGATACGACTTATGTGAGGTTCACTATACTTCTCATAATCTCTCTCTGCATTGAAACGTATCTATATGACTACGACTTTTCTTTTTGCCCACAAATATACGGTCAATTCACTTTACAGTATATTCTGTGAAGCGCTTTGAGCCGTCTAGAAGACGTGAAAAGTGCTACATCAAATGCAAGGATTATTATTATTTATGCCTAGTTATCTCTAAAATCAATTCAAATATACATGAACTGTTCCAATTATGCCCTTCAAGATGTTCTTTTATGTGAACAGCGCTACATAAACACAAATGAGTTACTGACTCATACTGTAGTATGAATGCAAAATACCCTGGGTCTTTTCTTCAGAACCAGGCCGGAGATTGTAGCGTTTCTTGAGGCAGTTTCTTAACAGTATCAAATGAAGTTGCCACCCAGCAGCAAACAGTGCATCACATTGACCCTCAGGAACTCGCAGTTTAATGTAATCTACTTCCAGAACAGCGCCACTGACAAAAGTCAGGTGTCGGTACCTAAACTGAGTTTTTTTTCCCTCTCCTCAGCTGAGACATTTTTCGTGCTTCCAATCTCTGCCCTGGCTCCCGATCAGCCAACGGCACAGACGGCAAATCAAACATAGAACCTTCCAGGTTTTTTGCCCGCACAAGTCATATTGTGACCCCCAGCTTTTCCGGGCGTAATAATCCCTTCAAATGTTTTTTTTTAAAATAATAATTTGGTCACTCAATCCCACAGCTGTTTGCGGAGACGTCGCTGCGCGCAACTGCCTGCTGCGAGTCCACCTACAACGTATACAGTCGATTCACTTTACAGTCGATCCTGTGAAGCGTTTTGAGGCGCCTCGAAGGCGTGATAAGGCCCCGTATCAAATGCAAGGATTATTATCGGGGGTCCTGTAGCTCGGTGGACTAGAGCGCGAGAGACCTGGGTTCAATTCCAGGCCTGGCCCAACCTTGGGCAAGTTTCCTCACTCCGCTCGCCTCATAATAATCCCCTCCGAAAAAGAACCACAAAACAATAATAAATTGGTCACTTTCAATCCACGGCTGTCGGCGGGGACGCTGCTGCGAGCGACCGGCTGCCGCGTTACGCCCGCAAGCGACGTGCGGTCAATTCGCTTTGCGGCGTGTGCCGCGACAGCGCGTTGGAGACGTCGAGCAGACGCGAAAAAAGGCGCCGCATCGAATGCCGGGATTATTATCATTATTACCAGCGTGTATTATTATTATTATATTATTATTATATTATTATTATATCATTATTAGGTATCATTAGATATCATCATTACGCGGCCGTTAGAAACCGAGCCACAAGTTTGCTCTCAGTGAAGCCTGAGGGTCTCCCAGGAGCGTTTGCTGCTAACCCCCTCCCCACCGCCCTCACCACCTCCTCCTCCTCCCCGAGCTACAGCAGGTCGGAGTCCCGGGGGAGGAGTGGGGGAGGAGTGGGGGGGAGGGGGGAGGAGTGGGGGAGGAGTGGGGGGAGGGGGAGGAGTGGGGGGGGGGGGAGGAGTGGGGGGGGGTGGGGAGGAGGGGGAGGAGTGGGGGGGGAGGAGTGGGGGGGGGGGAGGAGTGGGGGAGTGGGGGGGAGGGGGGGGGGGAGGGGGAGGAGTGGGGGAGTGGGGGGGGGGTCTGGCTTGGGCCCTGTCCAGCCCCGGCCCCACCGCCTCAATGGCGCCCGCTCGCAGGCCGCGTGCGGCTCGGCTCGGCTCGACGCGACTCGACGCTCGGCTTCTTTACCGTCGTTGTCGTCGCTGTGCCGCCTCCTGGACATGGCTACTGCTGCTGCTGCTGCTCCCGCCCTCGCCCTCGCCGCCGCCCGACAAACACAACGACCCGCCGCCGCTGCTACTGCTACAGCCGTCCGTCCCCCCCCCCGTGTGTGGCCTGAGCCGGAGCCCCGCACCCACCCAACGCCTCTCTCCCGCTCTCTCTCTCTCTCTCACACACACACACACACACTCCGACCCACACACCCACAGCGGCGATGATGGCGCCTCTACTAGCGCTTCCGGGTCACAGTCCCGTCTCGCGCTCTCTCTCTCTCCCCCCCTCCCCCTTACCTCCTTCCGGCACTGCGCCGCCACTTCCGCTTCCGGGGGCACCGCCGGCAGAGCGCGAGCGAGTCAGCGCCGCAGGAGCCGCCGCCGCCGCCGCTCTCACCCCCACACACCCCACCACCGCCACCGCCACTGAGGTGTATATCTCTCTCACTATTACACACTCACACTCTGAGAGTTCGCACATAATAATAATAATAATGACGATGGTAATGATCCTTTGCGCCTGACCCCGCGCCTGACCCCTCCGCGTCTGTCGTCCGGCAGCGGCCCCGCGGGGGGGTGAGGTGGGGGGAGGGGGTGAGGGGGGGAGGACGGGCCCCCGCGTCCCTCCCGCCAACACCGCCCGGTCCTCATTTCGCCCTTCGCGCCGCTCTTCCGTTCCCCGGGCGGCGCTCTCGAGACGGCGGGGAGACCGGGGGGGGGGGACCGGGGGGGGAGGGGGAGAGGGCGCGACGAGGTGAAGGCGAAGGATGGGGAACCGACCGACCGACCGCGCCGCGCGTCCTGCGGGCGAGACCCGGGCGGCCGACCGACGGCGCGCAATCGGCGTATCCCCTCCTACACCCCCCACACACACACCCCACCCCCCCACACACACACCCCCCCACACACACACACACCCCCCACACACACACCCCACCCGCCCCCACACACACACACACACACCCCCACACACACACACACCCCCCACACACACACCCACACCCGCCCCCACACACACACACACACACACCCACACACACACACACCCCCACACACACACCCCCCCTCACCCCCACACACACACACCCTCCCCCCCACACACCCCCACACACACACCCCCCCCCCACACACCCCCCCCCACACACACCCCATCCCCCCACACACACCCCCCACCCCACACACACCCCCACCCACACCCCCCCCCACACACACACACACACACCCCCACACACACCCCCCACACCCACGAACAGTCGAGGGTCACCGAATAATTTTCTATATTTTCTTTCCTTTCGAAGGGGCCGTTGTTGTTTCCGGCCGGAAGAGCGATCCCGCCGCTCGACTATAGACCACCGGCTGGCTGTTTGCCGCGAGGTAAACGGGGGAGAAAGGAGACTTGCCCAGCGTTTCGCCGCCTGCCCGGGAATAGAACCCGGGATCCGCTCGCCTGTGGGGCGAGTGCTCGAACCACTGAGCTACAGAACTCCACAAAGTACTCTGCCTTGCCGACAGAAATATAGGTATATACACATTCACACTGACTCTGAGAGTTTATACTCTGTGAGGTTTTTATGTATATATATATATATACACTGACTATGTAAGAGCCTAATATATATAAAATTTATACCGACTGTGAGAGACTAATTAACTGTATATAAAATATATACTCATTGACTCTGCATGCGTGTGCGTGAGAGAGACCATGAACACACAGAAAGTGACTGACTGAGAAAGAAAGATTACAGAGAGTGTTTGTCTGAAAATGAGTTTCTGAGAGAGTGAGTATCTGTGAGGCTGAGCATTCGGCTGTGGTGAGAGTTATAATAATCTTTGCATTTCAGTTGCTGTGAGTATAATCTATGCCATGGATGTTCAGTTCCACCGGACGGCAGCAGGCAATCACCGACATTTGCAGAGGAAGGACACCCGAGCAGCGATGAGGCGGGTAAGAAACTGCAGGTGGAGGGAATAAGAGGCAAAGATGCGGGTGTGAGTTATAATGAATCTTCACTCACATCATTTACATACCCCGAGATGGGTCCACCAGAGATAACAGCCGAGTTGGACATGGGATAGAGGTGGGGATGTATTGACTCCACAGTGTGGAGCAGTGAGCATGTCTGATGGGGAGGAAAGGGAAAAGTGAGCCCAGGCTTTTAATTTGAAGAGTTATTAAGCATTACTGAGCCCGGCTGCCTGGCAGCATTCATCCAGTTACTAACTATACAAAGGTTGCTTCAGGTTCAACCAGTGAAGATCTTACCAGGTGGTGTAATTCCAGCCGTATGTGGAAAGCATCACTAAATTGCTATGATTGTGGGAGAAAATTGAATTTTTATGAAAACACAAAAGGATCTATGTCTTGTCCAGAGTGAACGAAACAGGCATTTTGATAGGCTGCAGAGCAAACAAGAACAACAACTTGCAAACCAATCTCTTTATCGCTGCCTTTCAAAATCATACAGAACAGAATTATTTTCTGTAACCATAATATGATGTCTTGTCCAGAGGAGAGGAATCAAAGATCCAGAGAAGAAGAACAAAGATAATCAGCAATCTCACAGGAAGCAGCTCTGAGTCTTAAAGGCTCTTCAGTCTTAAAGGAAACGGCTAAGAAGGGAACTTATAGAAATGTTTAATGTTTCAAATGACGTTGTAAAAGTAAATGCAGAACAATAATTTCAGATGCACCAAGACAGTAGAACAACACTAACAGCTTGCAATTATATAGAGCTCTGCCCTGAGGATAGCATTGCAATGCTTAATTAAATAATAATAATAATGTTTAAGGCATACTCTCAGCGCGGACATCAGAAAGTTCTTTTTTTATCCAGAGGATAATAAACAACTAAAACAAGTAGCCAGGTTGAGGCCAGGACCTGGACTAATTTTTTAAAAAAATGGTTAATATTGTGATGCAAAGACAGTAAGATTTTTGGAAAGATGAGATCAAATGGGCTGAAGGGCTTTCTTCATCCAAAACAATCTTGTGAAATCTTTCTGAGCTGCCAGCAGGCTCTGGGGTTAAGAACATGAGATGTTCTCTCCCATATCCTTTGCTCCCATCCCTAGCCCGGCTGCCAGCAGCGTCGAGCGCTTTGAGATGTTCTCCTGGCATGAAAGGCGCTAAATAAATGTAAACTGTATTGTATATTTATCACAGAAATCTTTCTTTCTAGGCATTTTCCCTTTTTATTAAGTCGAGACAAGCACCAGAAGCCAGTGCAGCATCAGCACAAGAACTGGATGTTCAGAAAGTGCACTGGGAGTGCTGTGGTCAGCAGTTTGAAAAAAAGATGGACATCCACAAACATGCAGCAAAGGAACATATGCCAGAGGTTTTACAGCAAACTGAGGCAGTGCTGGAATTGTTGGTCCAGCAGAACAGCAAGCTGACGGCAAATCACAATTTCGGAGAAAACAAAAGCGCATCACTGGAACTCAGTGGAACCAAAGAGGAGTTTGATGTCTGCGCTTGGTTGCCTGACACAAGCCACGTAACGTTTGACGAATTAACCTGGTAAGATTTTTCTATTTATTTTTTTCGGTTTGAATTTTGACGAAGATGAAATGTGTCAGGAAACAGTTCATTCGGTGTTTTCCAACTTTATATTGATTTTCACGCTGAACTTTTGGGGGAAAAAAAGCGCCTTTAAATTTGGATTCACTGAGGTCGTTAAATGGGGTATTTTTTTCCTGGCACTGGCAGGTGTGTAGGACTAAGCCATACAGATCAAGAGATACAGATTTTATACCTGGCTATCTGAGGAACATGTAACAGGAATTCAAAGTGTACTAGTTTTTTGTTAAAGGAATCCATCTACTGACCTGTGAACTCCTAATGGTACTTGATTGCTGATTCATGTTTTTGCACATCTCTAACGTTCAGTTTGTTCATCCAGGAAAAGCCATTACTGATTTGAAATTATTGATCTACGCCCTCCATCTCATTGCTGTGATACCTTTGAAGCCTTCAGAGAAATGGAACTAATCCAATGCCTCATTTATTGAGGGGTGCAATTGTCCCAAATACAGCTTTGAATGGAATTAATCAACAAGTACTAAACAGTAAATGCTGATTTTTTTTAATGACGGGGAATGACTTTCACATGTTTCCAGTTTTGAACTCCTAAACTCCTTTACAGTTCAATGCTGTTCTGGTATTATTGCCCAGAATCAATTTGACAGAACTACAACAAAGTTACACAATAATGGTTTTGTAGTGGTAACACATTAATCACACTGTTTATTGATATTGCAATATATTGATAATTCACTGTGTCCTGCATTGTGGACTAACGTCACAAAATCAGAGATCTCTTGCACTTTCTAAAGGATAAAAGAATGACAAACCAGGGTGGGAAATGGGATTAAACGATTTACCATGATCTAATAACCTGGCAGACAGGCTCAATGGCTGAATGGCCTCCTTTAAATGTTCGTAATCAACATTTTGTAACAACATTGTGATCAGTGTTCTCTCTACCTCCTCGTTCTCCTCAATCTCTCTGCCACCCTCGACACTGTCGACCCACTGTGTCCTTTGCCACCGACTCAACTCTCTGATGCACCTTCAGGTCTGCCCTTTCGTGGTTTCACTCGTACCTATCCCAGCTTCTCCACTTTGTATCTTCAAACGGCTTCTCGGCTTTGGTGAACGGTTGTTTTTCTGACTGGAGGGAAGTGTGCAGTGGTGGCCCCCGGGGGGTCAATATTGGGACCACTGCTGTTTTTGATCTATATAAATGACCTGGACTTGCGTAGAGGGAGTACAGTTTCCAAGTTTGCAGATGATACTAAGCTAGGAAAAGCAGTAAACAGTAAGGAGGATAGCAGCAGACTGCAAATGGGCATAGACAGACTGGTAAAACGGGCAGATGACGTTTAATGTGTGAGAAATACAAAGTGATGCATTTTAGGAGGAAGAATGAGGAGAGGCCATATAAGATAGATGGTAGAATCTTAAAGGGGGTAAATGAACAGAGAGACCTGGGGGTTCATATAAGTCAATTTTTGAATGTGGCAGGACAGATAGATAAAGCTGTGTTTAAAAAAAAAGGCATTCGGGATACTAGACTTTATAAATAGGGGCATAGAATACATAAGTCAGGAAGTTATGATGAACCTTCATAAGGTTCTGGTTAAGTCTCAGAGAGTGTGTTCAGTTCTGGGCCCCACACTTCAGGAAGGATGTCAAGGCATTGGAGAGGGTGCAAATGAGATTTACCAGGAATGAGAGACCAGTAATCAGGAGAGGCAGAGAAGCTGGGATTATTTTCCTTGGAGCAGAGAAGGTTAAGAGGAGACTTTAATAGAAATTTTCAAAATTATGAGGTTATTCAATAAGGTGAACAAAGAGAAACTATTCCCACTGGCGGGTGGGTCGGTAACCTGAAGACACCAATTTAATATAGTTGTTAAAAGAAGCAGAGGGGAGGTGGTGAGAAATTTTTTCACACAGCGAGTTGTTCGGATCTGGAATGCATTGCCTGAAAAGAATGGTGGAAGCCGATTCGATAACAACTTTTAAGAAAGAAGTAGATAATTATTTGGGGAGGACAAGTTTGCAGGGTTATGGGGAGCGAGCAAGTGAGTGGGATTGAATTGGATAGCGCTTTTCAAAGCTACAGACACGAAGGGCCGAATGGCCTCCTTCAGTGCTGTATAATTCGATGATCCTCCTCACCCCCCACACAGTCACGTGCGGCATTCCTCAAGGCTCTGTCCTTGGTCCTCTTCTCTTCATCCTCTAAATCCTCCCACTTGACAGCATCATCAGCAGATACGTGCTTCAGGGAAATAGAGAGAGAAAGCTCTTTGGAGATGGTATGAAATGTTGGTTGAATTTACATTGAGAAGGCAGAATTACACGGGCAGAAGCAGTAATTTTAGGCAGTGGCATTTACAGAGCACTGTGAACACACGTATTGCAATTCATGATTTGGTGATCTGTTTGGAGTAGGTATTTTTATATGTAGCTGTTGACTGTATCGCTGTATATGCTGTCAATTAACACTGCTCGAGTACTGAGTTACCTTAACTTTGAGTGTAATAGTTGTTCGGATCTGTGTAATAGTTGTTCTTGCTACTGAAGGCATATTTTTAAAAATGTTGTTGTCTTTATTATTGGACTATGCTGCCTTGTGAGAGGTGCATATATATACATATATATATATACATGCATATATATATGTATCAGATGTAAAACCGAAGCCCTGTCTGCCTGTTCAGATGAACGTTAAAAGATACCACGACACTGTTCAAAAACCGAAGGGGGTTTCTCCTGGTGTTCTGGCCGCAGTCCCTCCCAAATTAAAAAAAACAATGGTTGTTTGTGGGACGTTGTAGTATGCAAATTGGCTGTCGCGATTGCCCACAAAACATGCAGTCGCAACACTGTTCAGTATAATCCTTCACCCACAAAGTACATTGTCACTACACTTTACAGTAAATCCTGTTTAGAGCTTTGAAAAGTCTCAACGATGTGCTATCAAATGTAAGGATTATTATTACTGATGGCGTTTTTGGTCATCTTTCCCCCAGTGCTCTCCTTTGCTCCCCACCTCCAGTTCAAGCTGCTTTTCAGCTCTGTGAAGTGCTTTGAGACGTCCTGTCGATGTGAAAAGCGCTAACTAAGTGTAAATTGTTGTTGTTATTCCAGTGAAGCCGGAGAAGTCCTACTTTATTACTGTTATTGTGCTATAGAGGAGCCCAGGATGATCTGCACATGGCAAACAGCTCTGTGTCGTCAGCTGCACCTTACAGGGAAGGTAGGATGAGGTTACCTTTTGGCGTTGGCTGTTTTGTTTAAAAAAAATTTTTGTTTCGTTCTCTTATCTTTAAATTTATCAGTTTGGTTCAGTTAGTAGCACTCCTGCTTCTTCGTCAGAGGGTTGCGGGTTCACGCACCACATGGGGGATTTTAATATAGCCTCGACTTTCATTCAGTGAGGTGCTGAAGGAGCTAAAGTACTGTCTCAATACTTATGATTAGATGTTAAACCAGTCCCGTTTGTCTGTTCAGGTGGACATTAATGAACCCGTGATTATTTGAAAAGAGAAGGGAGTTTCTCCCAGGGTCTTGGTCGACAATCCTCCAGATAATTTGGTCATTCGCTTCACATGCACTTTGTGGCTGCTTGTGAGACATTTGTCTACAAATATACAGTCACTGCACTTCACGGTAATTATCGTAAAGTGCTTTGACATGTTTTGATCTTTTTTTGATCTTGTTATAAAATACTCAAGATTTTTTCAGATCACACACACCCTTGTAACCACAGCAGTAAATTATACGTGAATAGAGCTAACTCCTGATAATAAGACCCTGGCTTGTATCATCACATGGCTGATATCATCATTACTGTCAATATATCGGTTGCTTCCCATGTAAAATGTGAATAAGAGACTCTCTTTTATTTCATTACTCGCTTATAACATATAAAGTCGCATTCTATGCAGCACAACAACAACTTGGATTTATTAACAACTTGAAATATTGCACATCATCGGAATGAACTTACCTGCACCCCTCAGCCAGCAGCGCTGCGCTGTGCCAGGGCATCTCAGTGAACTCTCGTGCTGAGCGCCTCGTATCACAGGAAAATCTTGCCCTCGCCCTGCCTCGGCGGCTGTTTTTGTCTGTTGCGGTAAGATCTCTGTCAGCAGAAATGTTAGGCTTTACCTTCTGTGAGGTTCTGCCTGATGGTTAAAGCCTGAGGGATCCAGGTTGTTAAAATGAGCAAAATGAACAAAACCTTTTATAGACACATAAACTTATACTGTGCTTAACTTAAATATGTTTCAACAAATAAACTGACAGTTGTGGGGCCTGCTCTTTCACACTGACAGTCCTCGCTCTGTGGAGGCGCAGTGTGTGTTGGTGTACATCACCCCGGCCACAGCGCCCCCTAGTGTCCACGGAGGACTCGTGCTTTCATAGTCATCCTGGATATAGTCACTGAGCTCTTTTCCCTTCGAATGACAATATATCAGGAGTTCACTGTATATGGTTTTCAGATGCTATTACACTTGTCTGAGTAAAGCAATTCTAAGAAGTGTAGTAATGAATAAAAGAGTATGTTGTTTGATATATATTTGAGGTGGACTTGACAGCCCCTGTGGAGGTATCAGGAATACTATTAATGGACAAATTACTGATACTGATAAGCACTCTCAGATGCTACCGTGTGTGGAGGGCACAAAATAAGTTCAACTTGTTGTGGTTGATAATGTCTCACCATTCACGAATACAGTATTGGCATATTTAGGGTCCAAAATTCCAGCTGGGCTAATAGCTCACGGGCTAACCATTGTTCAAACACATATAGGTGCCCTTAATTACATAGTTAACCAATGAAACCAGATTCTGTAAAACAATTACTGGTTTCCCTTGCAGAGATTTTATTTTACCGTTATTTGCAGAGTTGTGTGAAGGGCTGTAGAAATGCAAATTGTTGTTGTTGTCATCTACCATCTCAATGTGCACTGAGTTGTTCAATCTTTACCGTATTTTTTCTACAGGTGCGTATTGGTACAGAAGGAATTAATGGAACAATTGGTGGATGCAAAACAGCCACTGAGTTATATATTCAGGCTATGATTTCCCATCCACTCTTTCAAAATATGTCCAAGGAGGACTTCAAGGTAAAGGCAAACCTGACGCTATAACATATTGGAAATAGTATAATACAGAATATAAAATATATAAAATTCAGTAAAATAGTTACATTGCTGAAGTTGTTCAGACTGAAGAAGACTAAATGATTACAACATACAACATGAAAAGGGGGAAGCAGTTGAAGAGACTGAATGCTGGCCCTAGCCAGAGCGACATGATGGACTGAATGGTATTCTTTTGTAAGTTTCTATGGTTCTTCCTATATTTGTCTATTGTCTAGATTGTGCAGTGAGTTAGCGCACTGTTTTACTTAAGACTTGGGTTTCAATCTAAAGATCAGACTATTGGAATGAAAGTTTCCTCTCTACCAGCTGCATCTGCCAATCTCCCTTCATGCCCTGGCACCTCACTACCCCTCCAATCTGCTTAACCCCCAACTCACAGCCTGCTGCGTCCGCTCGACTGGCATGTCCCTCGTGCCCTCTGTTCCAACATTGGTAGCCGCGCTTTCAGCCACCACACCCCAAAACTCTGGAAAACTCTTCCTCTATCCCTCCGCCTTGACTCTTCCTTCACCATCTTCAGGTCGCATCTGAAGACCATCCTCTTCGACCGAGCCTACGGTCAACTCCCCCTGCCGTCGGCTCAGTGTTGTGCTGCACCACTGTCAAGTGCTCAGGGACGCTATATAAATGCAAGTTGTTGTTGTTGCCAGTCATTTCAACCCAGTTCCTAATAGAATGGGACAGTTTATAGTTAATTTGTGCCAAGTTATATATGGCACAGAAATCTGCATAGTTTGCTGCTTCCACTTCGGAGATCAACAACAAAAAATACATTTATATGGCAGACATCCCAAGGCGCTGGGCGGTCAAAGGTTTGCAACTGAGCTGTGGGTTAGATTCAAGAGGGCTGGGGGGCTAAGGGGGTGTGAAGATAGCCAAAGGCATGATTAAAGAGGAAGGTCTTGAGATAGACCTTGAAGAACACAAGGTAAAACCCTGTGGGATGGAGTTCTAGAGAGTGGGGGCAAGAAAGGCTGAAGGCCTGACCGCTGATGGTGGTTCGGGCAGAGTGGGGGACATTGTTTTTTGACTGGGAATGATAATTGATCTTTGATCATCCATTGAGATAATAGAACAGAACATTTGGGTTTTATTTATAAAACAAATCACGTGCTTTTTAAACATTGTTGCTGTTTAATATCGCTCGAGTTTACAGTGCTCTAGATTCCAATCCCATTCATATGTACACAATGCATTTTCCAAAATGAATCTTCAATGTCAAAGCTTTGGAAAATGTTGAATTACTTCTGGTCTTTGCAGCATCGGGAGAGAACTAGTTAAGTCATATCCCAGCCAGCACTATTTCTCAACAGTTCTGCTCGAGAATTCACACTGAACGAGCACCAGGCAATCCATTTATGGCAGAGTTATACTAAATGTCAGGAACACAAAGCAAACTCCATATTTGAATCTAAGCAGCTGATTTAAATAGAGCTGCCCTAATTATGCTGTTGGCTCTAAATTGACCAGTGATATGAGATTAAAAAATTACCTTTGCTGCACATAGATACACATTGTCAATTTTTTTAAGGGAGTGAGTGGGGGAAACTGGGGCCTGAGGGTGTATAAAATTAGGCAGGTATGGTATAGGGCAGGGAGAAAGACCAATAGAGCGATTTGCTTGTGAGTGTGCTGCCAGATTGTATTGGTATGTGAGCAAATTGGCAGTCACAAGCTGGCCCTGAGAAGCTCCCAGCAGTGATTCTTCGCAGAAAATATGCCTTGCACTTTCCCAAGTTGTTTACTGGGTTTCATCTGTTCTGTTTTTCACATGCAGCTGTGCAAGCCTATGACCCACAAACCCTCCAGCATGTATTGAAATTGCATACATTGTTCCCCAGATTATCCATAGGTTCATACAACCCAAGGTCCAATCTTTCATACACTGTAGTTTCTTGCTTGAGTTCCTCAAATATCTCTCATGTTTTTTAATGCAGAAATATAAAGGCACTGCCAAAATTATTTAAATGGGATAGGGTCAAAATTGCTGTAGTACTAAACACATTCCATTCCTTATTTAAAGAACATAATTTAGTAGGAATTGACTTGGATTCCCACTTAGTGCAAATTATTTTTGAGGGCTGAAAATAGCCTTTCTGAACCTTTCTATTCAGGGAATGATGAACTAATTCAGTCTGCTGGGCATGGATAACTCTGGTTATTGAAATTCACTAATCAAAAAGAGAAGAAGGCATCCAGCACGTGTTTGACTCCTCAGAGTGTATTTTCTGGTTCCACTCTCTTGAGAGTCATGTAAAGGCCACTTTGATTCACCGTAAATTACCCTGATAGTAAATAGTATTAAAAGTCCAGTAATTTCAAAATGAAGTTTATGAGTAGAATAGTTCACAGAATCTAAAAAGTTCTGTTGCAGACTTAAAAATAAATCAATTCCTGCATCTGATTAAGCTCATATCATGTCAAATAGTTTCTGAAGTCCAGATACGTGTATAAAGGCATCAAAAACTGACTTGTATTTGAATGGAGTTGTGAATATTGCTAACACAGAATAAATGGCTCCTGTCAGTACTTTTAGCTCATAACTCTAGACTAGGAAGAACTGCGTTTTCGGAGGTGCTGTCTTTCGGGTGATGTGTTAAAGCAAACTTTCATTTCTACCAGTTAAGTTTAAAGGTCCCACGGTACTATTCAAAACCAGATTCCTCCAGATAAAATTGGTCATTTACTTTATGGCTGTGGGACACTGCAGTGCACATATTGACTACTATGAATACAATCACTTATGCTTTACAGTAAATCCTATGAACTGCTTTGAGACATTGAGATATTTTGACAATATGATAAGGCATTATATCAAATGTAAGGATTTATATCAAATATTATTAATAAATATGACAAAACAGAAATTAAAATTCTGCATAAATGTTTCTAACCTTATCAAATCATTTTATAATTTTAAACATCTCTATTAGGGCTCTTCTTAAATATCTCTTCTCCAGTGAAGAAAGGCCTAACCAACAAGTCTATCCTGATAGCAATAACCTGCCAGTCCTGGGATCATCCTAGTAAACTTATGCTCTACTCTTTCCATCACTATTATATATTTCTTACAGTGTGGCAAGTAGAATTGCACACAGTACTCCAGCTGTGGTCTAACTAGGGTTTTATATCAATTCAATGTTACCATCTCACTTATAAAATAAATAATAATCCTTGCATTTAATATAGTCCCTTACCACGTCTCAAATTGAGGTGTCTCAAAGCGCTTCACAGGATATACTGTAAAGTGGATTGACTGTATTTTGTTAGGTTCTTACTCTTCTCTTAGGTTCTTACCCTCTAAGCTGTAGATGGGTTCTTACTTCTCATTTTTTTATGTAAAACGTCATTTGCCATCTGTCTGCCCATTCTGCTAGGCCTGTTCAGGTCATCCTGCATTCTTCATTCAGCACTGTTTACCATTCCCCCAAGTTTGCTGTCATCTACAAATTTTGACACCACACCTCCTATATCATGTTTTCACTTTCTATTCTAATTTATTAGTATTGATCAGTGCCAAAAAAAATGCTTAGTTATTAAAGTTGCTGTAAATTTATTGAGAATTGGTTTACAGTTGATCACTAGGTAGTTTTATAGTGATAGTCAGAATGTTTTCTGTTTGTGTGTGTGTAATAGCTACAGTAAATGTTTTTTTTTAAGAGAAGTGCTGGTGGAGTCAACTGTTTTGCAGACCTGCGAGTTGGAGTTTTCAAAGAGATTGTTCCCATGGGTGTGGATCCTGAGAAAGTTTCCTATAAAGATGCAGGTGACTGACGCAGCTTCACAGAGCAGTCCAGTGGTATATTCAAACCTATTCAGTTCATAAATAAAACTGCTGTTTTCCTGCAACTTGAGTAAAATAATGTCAAGTCCTCTGGAGTCCTGCAGCTCAGTGTCGAGAGCGCTCGCCTCGCATGCGAGAGACCTGGGTTTGATTCCCGACAGGGTGAAATGTTGGGCCAGCAGAGTGGGGAGAGAGTGCACATTCTATTCCAAACACAGGGAAATTCCCATGCGTAGCTGGCATGCATGTTTTGGATATCTCTTAATGAAGTAAATTTTGCAATTGTCAGACACCTGGTTGACAAAACATGTGGGGGGAATGCTTAACTTATCACATCAGAATCTTTAATTGATACAAGTTTATTAATACGAAAAGGATTGGATCAATAAATCTATTTGACCCGTTTTACAGAATCCTTATTCACTTGTATTTTGATGTTGTTTATGTGTAAATAAAACATTTACAAGTATGTATGTATCTAATATTTTAAGTACTGTTGCCTGGAATTGTAGGAACTCATTTGACTCCGGAAGAATTCCACATGAAAGTGGAAGCATTGTCTCAGGATCTGGAGATTGACAAAAAAACCATTCTCTTAGATTGCAGGAACTTCTACGAGAGCAAAATAGTGAGTTTTATGTTTTTTAGTTTGTGTTTGTGGTGCAGTTTCACACTCCCGTGCATGTTTTATGTTTTATTAGATGGTTATTGATGGCAGCAGTTGAAGATGACATCAACAAGGGCAGATGCCTCAATCATGCTCAGATTGCCAAAAGACCAGAATAATTCTTGAGTTATTTTTGGCAGCATACCTTAAAATCAAACTGATACCCCTGTTCAGATTTATATTACACTATATGTAGCATTGATTCAATGCGGTAAATGCATTAAATTACGGTACAGTATAGTTGGGAATGAATAAACTGACAATTGTCACGTTGTTTCAGTGCTAAAATAGCAGTGGGTTAATTCAGGACAGTCGAACAAAATATAAGATTCAGTTCTGTTTTCTCCATATCATAACGACTTGAATGGTCGGTGGAACACCAAAATAGTCCTCCACCTTGTTGCCTTATTGGGTTAGAGTCTTGGATAGGTCCAGATATTTATGTGTTCATGCCATGTAAAATCACAGTTGTGATGTACTGAGAAGAAAAATGAAATGAATATGTAGCTCCCCAATACAATCTGTTGGTTTCCACTAGGAGATTATTGAATAAAATATTCTCGTGTTCAATTTTCGCAAAAGTTTTGTTATAAAAGAGGGAATTCAGATTTATGCTCCAATTCCTGTTTTTAATCAGGATTTTTTTCTCCCAGAATTAATATCTAACTATCTGCATTCCACAGGGAAATTTTCAACACAGCCTTGCTCCAAATATCCGGAAATTCAGCTACTTTCCAGACTATGTGGATAGAAATCTGGAATTTTTCAGGGGCAAACAGATCCTTATGTATTGTACTGGTGGAATCCGCTGTGAAAGAGGGTCAGCCTATCTGAGGTCAAAAGTGAGAAAATATTTGTATTACTAGTTTGGAGCAATTTAAGAGCAGAATCTTTTGTATTTAATTACAGCATTTTCTATGATGCTTTTCTCATCAGAGGTCATCCAAGTGCTTGACAGGATTCACTGTAAAGAATACAGTCTGCATACAGTGTATTTTGTAGGTGAATGCAGATGCCAATTTGCATATAGCAATGACCCACAAACAGCCAGAAAGTGAATGAGTAATTTTATTTGGAGGATTGTTGGCCAGGACATGGAGAGAACCTCTCTTCTTTTCTCGAAAACAGCCATGGGATCTTTACTGTCCAGGTAAATAGGAACACGTTCTCTTCAACCGTGCCTTCAGCTCCCCTCTCGACTCTCTACCCCCTCCTCGCTCCCTCCCTTCCCTCCCCCTGACCATTTCCCCCCTGCTCGGGTCCCAACCCAACTGTCCAGCGCCTTGGGACGTCCTCCGACGTGAAAGGCGCTCTATAAATGAAATCCTGTTGTTGTTGTAAAGAGGCAGAGGGCACCTCGGTTTAAAATCTCATCGGAAAAATGCAGCAATGCAGTGCACTCGCAGCATCGAATATCAGTCAAGGCAATGTGAATTCAAAGTCCCATCGGTGGGGTTTGAACCAAAAACCTTCTGACTTAAGAGGCGAGAGTGCCACCAACTGAGTCAGACTGACACAGAGAGTCAAAAACAAAGTATAAATTATTATATAATCAGATTTGAGGTGCAAGATCACAAAAGCGTTTGCACTAGAGCCACTTGCTGAAACCATAATTAAGACCACCTGTAATTCCCTCTCGACACCTGTTCAAATGAGTTGCCTGGTAAGAATCATTTTGGCCCACACGTGTTCATGGCTGCTTGGGCAACATTGCTATGTGCAAATTAGCTGCCGTGTTTGGCCACAAAGCACAGTCACTGCATTTTACAGTATATACTGTGAGGCACACTCGGACATCCTCCTGACTTGAAAGGCGTATACCAAATATATGGACACATTATTAATAAGTATACAGTATAAATATACAAACTATACAGTCAGTTCACTTTATAATATATTCTGTGAAGGACTTTGCGACGTCTTGAATATGTGGTAAGGTGCCATATCAAATGCAAGGATTATTATATGTACGCACAAATGGCATTAGTGATTCTGACTGAAGGCGATTTCTTTTTGTTGCATTCTCCAGTATTGAGTGTTTTTTCGTAGATAAAGTTTCAATACATTTTTGGCATGATTCGTGATATTTGTTCAGTTAACGTTTATAACACCAGCATTAGAGATTTAACACGAAGCAGGTTCTGTAACTTCCTCCTGTTTGCACACTAGGGTGTTTGTAAAGAGGTCTACCAGCTCAAGGGTGGAATTCACAAATACCTTGAGCAATTTCCAAGTGGTTTCTACAAGGGGAAGCTTTTTGTATTTGATGATCGCTACACCATTCCTGCAAGTAATGGCATCATTTCAGGTAAGTAGCTCTACAGCAAGTACTGTATTTTAAGTATCACCTAGGCTTGGGTCAGAAGAGGAATTTAGGAACAGGAGACAAAGCTGTTCAACATACAGACCACTTAAAAATAAATATATACGTGCATGTGCCTATGTGTGTGCATGCAATATAGGTTAGTTTAGGTGGGAAGTGTCCCCAATGAGATTCATAACCCTGTAGTCATCTGTAACAGAAGTCTGGTTGAAAATAAGGCATTACTTTACACAGGTTCAAACGCAGTGAGCGAAGCATCTTTCACAGGTGCACAGATTGTGCCGCCATCTTCAGCACAACCATTGGGAAGAGAGACACTATGAATAAAGCGTTCGTGTTACATTATGTGGCAGGTGGATGTTTCCTAATCTAACTTTGTGTTCCTTCTTTCCAGAGTGCAGTTACTGTGGAATCCGGTGGGATCAATACAGACTTTGCAGTACCTCTTACTGCTGTCAACTTGTTTTGTCCTGCCTTCGCTGTCGAGAAAAGGGTCTTGTTGCCTGCTGTCTTATATGCCAAGAAAAAGGGAAAAGTGCATCTGAATCGCACTCAGGAGCCCCAGTAAAGGAGGAATGTGACTGTACAGAAAAACGGATGAAAATTCCTGTGGAACATATTTAATTTCATTGACATTTATTCGGAGTTTAGCAGTATTTTTTAAATGAATCAAATAAGTAAGAATAAGGCGAGCGTGTTTAAATTGAAGTCACATTTTCTTAGCAAAGATGTCTTTTCGCTGCACTACATCTTACAACGGTGTAAAAAAAACCACACACATGAATCGGTTTTAATTCAATACGCTTCCAATTAAACTATTTGAAAAGGTTATGTTACCTGTCCTTTCTGGTACAAATTGTGGTAGCGCATTCAGTAAACACTGCACATCAACCACATGCACGTGTTTTCATATCCGCAATGGGTCACAAACGGTTCAGATGAAGGGGCTCTTCTGCCTTAGCGCAATTGCCTGAAAATATCTTTCTACAAATGTACTGCAATGCGGGAATAAAATACAAAATGATATCCTGTTTCAGCCACACTGTATATACTGTCTTTACATTTAATCAAAATACTGTAATGTTAAGTGGTGTTAAATGCAGGACAAAGAGGCAACACAACAATATTAAAAAAGGCCCATTTTCCCTCCCTCTACAGAGGTGGTGGTGGCGGCATAATTAGTATTTTTCACGTACAGGTTATAAAAGAAAACGTTACTATCAATACTTTGGAAAAGATGCAGCGGTGACAGAAATGAAAGCCATTGCATTGGGATCAAATCCTGCACAAGTTGAAAGATGTTTGAAAAAATGAAATCGCTGTTCTCCTTTGGTAGTATAATAGGAAGTTTTTATTGACTTTGTCAAAGCACGTGAAGCTACAAAATGCCCCAAATTGTAACCATTTTGCTTGCCCTAAAGTGCAACGATTAACACATTCTACCTTTTGAAACCATAAGAGTAGATTTAAAACCAATCTTGTAATTTAGTTATTGCTTCAACCAGAGCCTGCTCTGTACGTTAACGGCTTTTTCCACCTGCCAAAACCAATTCAGTGACGTGAGTTGCTTACGAAGGTTCGTGTCTGGTTCCGAGAGTGGTTCGGCGCTTCGATAAAAGTGGCCCGGCTTTAGAAATACAACATCAAATTTCACGGGGGAAAAAAAGGAATTGAAAATGAACATGGTCTTAAAACCTGGTCCAGACTGATTTTCTTTTGATGACTTGTTCAAAATTCGGACAGGTTTATTTTCAAACGTAGAGCAGACTCTGAATGGTTTATTCTTTCTTAAAAATTGTTTTGAAAAACATGGGCTGTGGATTCTCAAAATACCTGCTTTGTTTACAGAGCGCAACGAAACAAATACGGCCAAAAAAATAAATAATTTCAATTATTGCTTGCTCTGCACTTTCTCACCTGCGGAGAAAAACTTTTTCAGTGACGGACTCCAAACAGCGGCCGTATCCCATCACACCGACTTTACTCAAACTCAAAAACGAAGGCTAGTATTTGTATACCATTCCCATTAGCTTTTAAATCCACCCGCGTTAAAACATTTTCACTTAAAACAACAACAAGTTTGGGATATATTCCGAATTTCTTTTTCATAAGCAACACGCGTCAGTGTAGGTATTAGTTTATGTGCAAACTCTCAAAAGACGGCTTACAGTAAGTGATGCGCACAATTTTCAGGCAGTGCGTGACTTCAATGTTTTCTCACAAAGTCAGCTAAAGAACTCTGTGCTCTTACAGTACGTTGCAGCAGCTCACACACAATGAGGAAATTCCCTGGTATCAAGTTGTATAAATAAAGCAATCTCTATGTTTCTACAGTAGGTTTGATCATGCACAACATACTACAGTTTCACCCCAAATCCACGTAGAAATGTACGCATCAACTGAATGGTGGATCGATAGCTGATGTTCATTCAGACTTCACATTTTCTAGTGGTGTATGGCCCTAATCGGATTTAAACACAGATTTATGCTACACGTAGTGCTATTTTCTACAAGACAAAATGCACATCAAACTGTAAAGACTACTGTTGCACAAACTGCCACTGTACTTCTCACTAAATTTCTACGAGTTACCTTGTCCCATCACAAAACACGACAAAAATGGCGCCAACAACAGAGAATTTGGAAGGCACTTTTGACTGCAGGTATGCTCCTTAAAAAGTATAAACCGTCAGTGTAAGGTGTGCTCTGTAAAGGCATGAAGTCGTCACAAACAGTAATTAGACAGTCATCCGGCACCTGGGGAAGATGGGGCCGTTGAGACCCTCAAGTCTCATCTTCCTCACTAGAAAAAAAAAGATTATTTTTACATCAGTTTACATTTTAAATAGAAATATTCATGAGCCACTGCAGGCACCATGTTAAACTTACACCCTCTTACCAGAATCATTTTGGCATTAATGCTTCTCTTGACCATTGGTAAATGACCCTAACTTTGAAACTTATGACAGATTCCAGACTATAACTCTGCCAATTAATGCTGAAATGCCATTTGCCTTAAACTTGTGTCCTGGATAAACCTTTTCCACTATTTAAAATATATTGTACCTTTTCTTATTAACACGTGCTTTCCTTTTTGTCAGAAATATAAAAAATGTACAAAAAATATAAAATGTACAATTTCCGAAACAGGAAGGAAATACCCCTCTCGAAATTCAAATGGGAAAACATTCAACTGTGAGCGCAATTCTCCACTGTTAAAATGACTCGTGGCCTTGAATATTTTAACCTAGCATTCTCTTTTAAATACTGTCTGGGTATACTAGCCTTAGAGGGTGTCCAGTGATGGACTGGATTAACACCCGAGTTGAAAGGGTTTAGCTATGACGAGAGTGAAAGGCTGGAGTAATGTTCCTGAGAACAGAGTAGATTAAGCGTGATTTGATTGAAGAATTGTTTAAATAATCAAAGCTATCGACAGGTTAGTAATGGATGATTCTCCGCTAAGGTAGAGAGCTCCAATACGAAGGGGCTTAGCTTTAAATCAGAACCCAGATAATTAGAACTGAGGTCAGAAACCCCTTCTTCACACAATAGAAATATTAAAGGGTACGGCCAAAGGCATTAGGAATGAAAGATCTGTCAAGACCTAACAAACCGGGGGCACAGGCTTGATGGGCTGAATGGCCTTCTTCAGCTCGGATCCATAACTCTGCATGTCCAGCGCCGTGGGACGTCCTCCTGACGTGAAAGGCGCTATACAAATGTTGTTGTTGTTGTTGCTGCAGGAATTGTGAGTAGCCAAACGGTAAAACGCAAGGGGCTTACGTTTGGTCATGGATTTTAATGACATGGCAAATAATGTGACGCACGTAATATGGAACGGCGTTCAGTGTTGTGACAAAACCTTCTCTCCGCAACGTTGTTTGTTCGCGAGCCTCTCCCTCCTCCGTACAATGTGAAAAATCTTTCAAGATGGCTTTCTGTGTGAGGCACCTCACGTTCTAAATGATTGGTTATAAAGCTTGGTTCATAAAACAACACACTTGTTATCCACGGAGTTTGTGAAACTGTAATAAATTTCACCTACAAAGTACACAGTCACTTGACATTACAGCACATCCCGTGAAGCACTTTTAAGACATCCTCCTGACGCGAAAGGCACTATACGAAATGTAAGGATAAGTAAAGATCAACGAATGCACAAATGGAGTGGATAAAGTGAAAAAAATAAGGAATGAAACAGAAAGAGACACTCGTGTAGGAAACAGTCCAGATTTGACATTTAGAAGCGTTTCTACAAACCAGCCTCGGTGTCGTGGTTTCACATGCCAATCATTGCAACGCCTTACATTCTCTTGCCTGCTTAATGATGCACTGAGCGTGTGAAATTCCTTCAATGTGGATAATTCACAGGTGATTTAAAAAGCTGACACACAAAACCACGAGCGGATCAGGGGGAAAAGATTGCCCGGGGAACGGACGAGGCAATGCAGAGCGTCAAGTGGAGGGACTCCCCCAAACAGTTTTAAATCGTTGTTCGAAAAAAAGTGACACATCCAGAATGAAGCAAAATCCGTTGCGTCGGCAAAGAAGCAGCGAAAAGCAGTGGAGTACGGAGGGAGCAATAGGGAACTGCACGAGAAGGAGAGTGGTGGAGAGAGAGGAAAAAAAACAAGTCTGAACGTAGTAGAGAGGCAGTGTAAAGCACTGCAAAATTTAGTGGAGGGAGACTAGGACCAAAAAATACTATATACTGTACTTATATCTGTTGCAATTCCAAAGCTGAGTAGTTAGGCCAGGAACCATCTGCTCTGCTAATGCGAGCTGTAACAAAAATTCAATCAATGAGACCATATATAAATTGCATTACAGTTGCTTCAGATTGCGTCTGAGGACCCCCTCTTCGGTCACCTCTCCCTGGCCTCAAGTTCCCCCGCTTGTCAGGCGCTCTGAGAACCTACCCTGCGTGGAGGGCGCTATCTCCATACAAGCTGTCGCTGTACGTTTATTACAAACCAAGGGATTTAAGCAAAAACATACTCGAATGCAGGGGGTTTTCGTGGCCCCCAAACAAACCCTAAAAGCTAAAGTCACAACACAATACTCAGCGCCTCACCTCCAAATGTCTCCGTTCGCTCCACGTAATGAGTTACATTTGCAGTGTCCGGGCAGTGACTTTTTGATCGCACGGAAAAATTAGATAAATACTTAGAAAACGCATCGAACGAAACGTTTCTGGCACTTAAGTGAATTTGGATGAGGGGTTGACATCGGTGCGAACTTCGCCTACACGGTATCGTTCCTTAACCGTGAAACAAATTCACCCACAAAAGTGACAGTAATTTTCTGCTCCATACTTGACGTTGTGTTTGTTGCAATTTCTTTGTAACCTGCCCCCCACGATTTGGGTTTTGATTTCTTTTTTTAAAAAAAGCACAGGCGACAGGAAGGGCATATTTGATGCAGTCCTGTTAAAACTAGAACACTCTCCCTCAATCCTCAATCCCTCCGCCTTGCCCCTTCTCCCCCCCTTTTCAAATCCCCGCCTGAAAACCTTCCCCTTCGACCGTGCTTACGGCCACCTGCCCCCCACGCACCCCACGGCTCGGAGTCAGGCTCCGCCACTGTTAAGCGCTCTGAGACGCCACCCTTGCGTGGAGGGCGCTGTACAAGTGCAAGCGGCTGTCGTTAGGACGTACGCAAGTCGGCTGCTACAACAGGGATTACTAAGAGTGCTTTTGAGATGTTTCAAGTGCAAGTTCTTTCTCAACGTGTGGCGTTTCATATTCAAGGTGCTTGACGTGGTCTTGGATTGCTGGAGCTTTAGGTCAGGCTCCGCTTCCGAACAGTCTAAGTCGAAGCATAGTTTTGTTGCAGAAATAAAATAAAATGCAAAACTACAAAGGCTGGAACTCGGATGTAAAACGGTGTTGCTAGAAATAAATGCACAGCGGGTTGATTAATATCTGAAAGAGAAACTTTGATTTGATATTTTTTTTTACTGACCCAGGGTCCTCCCTCGTAAGAGAGGTTTAGATTAAAAATGTCCTACCGCCCATTTGATCTCGTTTCTAACAGAATATTAACCGACAAGCTTCCCATTACAGCATCAAGTTGTTTCTGGCCTCTACCAAGGGAATCTGGTTCCTCCACACAAACAGTTTTAGTTGAATCTTTTAGAGATGCGCATTAAAAGTATTTTTTTTAAAAAAAACAACCTGCTGCATACATATTACTATGTTATCAGACCGTTCGTTCACTGCTGCTACGAAAGCATTACGTCCATATCTCAATCCAATTTTTTAAAACTAGCAAAAGTTATTGGAAAAGCCACTTTGAATTGCACTCTATTGGTGGTAAATAGTAAACGTGATCATTTATTAAAACTACTGAAATATTAAATTGAAAGTGCAAGGATCAATATTGCAACTAAAACGTTTACAACGTCAACGGTCCCGAACCCACTGGTCACAAATACCAATGGTGCAAATGTGTGCCTCTGCTTACCGAGATCATTATTATTCATCATTGCATTGGATGCCCGAAGCCTTGGGCCCTGTTGAGTGAAGTGATAGCCAAACTTAAGAAGTGTCGTATTTTGTTCTAACATATTAGCGATCTCCATTTCCACTTTGTTGCCCAGCTGCTGACACTGTTAAAAACAGGAGAGGAAGGAGTTACAAGACGACAAATTTCTTCTACAGCGTAGGCAATCGGCTGAGTTTTTAAGCAGTATCTACCAGGACATGTCTTTAAGACTGGCTGAGTTTGCTCTGTCCCTCAGACGACCAAATTTGAGCTTCAATTTGACCTAAACGGAAATGTTAGCTGAGATTGTGATTTGTTCATCGGTCTTCTATGTGGGAGACTGACTCTTGGATCATCTGTTTGTCGTTGTTTTGTCGTTAAAGCGTTGGAGAGACGTAGAGAGAGAGGGAAAAAAAAACACAAGGGTTGATTTGTGTTTTCGGGGGCATATGTTAAAAGAAGGGAAGCTTACAAGAGTGCTCAACTCGTTTTCATCAGAGAAAAGGTTAAGGGGATCGTAATCCAGGCCTTGAACATGCTGAGATCCTGGTCCTCACATACAAAGCCCTCCATGGCCTCGCCCCGCTCTACCTCTGTGACCTTCTAACCCCCTACCGACCCACCCGCTCCCTCCGCTCAGCCGGCTCTGACCTGCTCCACGTCCCCCAACCCACCCGCCCCACCATTGGCGGGAGAGCCTTCATCCACTCTGCCCCCAACCTCTGGAATTCCATCCCCCAATCACTCCGCATCGCCCCCTCCTTAGCCTCCTTCAAGTCCCCGCCTCAAGACCCTCCTCTTCGACTATGCCATCGGTCACCCCCCTTCCCTTCCCCTCCCTTCAACCCCAACCCGGGTCTGAAATGCTGTACTCTGTGCAGCGCCTTGGGACGTCCTCCCGACGTGAAAGGCGCTATACAAATGTAACCTTGTTGTTGTGTTGTTGTTGAGATACCTGGACAATGCAGATGTAAGCAGCCTATTCAACGTGGCATCATCAGTAGAACTAAGAAACACAAGACTTTTGTGTTTTAATCAAGCCTTAATCAAGAATTGAGGCCACGCCACTCAAAGCGTTAAATGCCCAAAGTCTTGGGCTTTGTTGAGTGCAGTGATAGCTAATCTGAAGAGGTGTTGTATTTTGCTCAAACAGCGGAGATCACCAAGACACCCAACAAAAGCAGCTCATCGAGTTTTACATACCCCCAATCCTTCAAAAAGTGCTGAATTAATTCATGCTCAGAAATGGAATGAAGGTTTATAGGGATCAGTGTATATTCCATGTTTTTTTTCCGATGTTGTGATCGAGTAAATGTCTTGCGGGGAAAGCAAGCAGTGAGAACTGAATAACCCACATAGCATGGATATTCTGGAGCTCTACAGGATTATCAGAGATTCAAAATGACAACAGCCATGTTACAGCTTTGATATTACTGCTCCATAAACAGCATCGGCATTCTAAAGGCCAATCATTTACCCACCTGTCCCGATTATCGGACCAAACTGACTACCTTAGTATTGCAAACCTATCTTCGTTTCAGCATTTTTTTTTATAAGCAGTTAAATAAAGAGCTCACAGCACTCTTCCCTTTATCTTTCATCATTGGAAAAACATACATTGCGTCTCCCCTCAGATTTCTTTTCTCCAACACACTACATGTTTCAGGAGTTGGGATATTATACAGTTCCATCAGTTCTTATAATAATAATAATAATAATAATCCTTGCATCTGATACAGCGCCTTATATCACATTGCTGAGACGTCTCAAAGTGTTTCACAGGATATACTGTAAAGTGGATTGACTGTGTATTTCGCGGGACTTGTTGGCCAGAGCACCGGTTGAAACTTCCCTTCTCTTTTCAAATAGTGCTATGGGATCTTTAACATCCACCTCTGTTTAACATTATGCTAAAAAGCAATGACACCTCCAACAACATGCCATTAAATTGCATATGCCTTAAGGGAACCTGAGTATTTTTCAGTATGTTATTTTGCAGCGCAAAACTGTAACCCACTGTTCATATCATACAGGGTGAATATACAGGAATATGTCACGTTAATAATGAGATATAATGAATACATCACCATTAATATTCATCTTACTTACTTGGTTGTCAATTTTAAGTTCCATCAATGAGGTATTATACTGGAGAGCTTTCACTAGTGCCATGATGCCATTACCAGTAATGAAGTTCGATTCCATGTTCAAACTCTTCAATGTTTTGTTAACCTTCAACATTTCTGCAAAAGACTTCAAAAGGAGGAAGGGGCACAGTCTCAAATCAAACTTGGAAGGGATTACACTGAGGGGTAGCCATGCACCAAACACACGTTTAACTGCCTTCGACATTGCCTTCACTAAGAGAGAAATCCCCTATAATGCTGTCCTCTGGATCCAATATCTCTGAAGCACGTACGAGGAGAGCGTGTAAAAATGACAAGAAATGAGGGTGGAGGGGAGGCTTATAATTGGGTTGCCCTGTACTTTAATCAAAAGATTATTTGTACCTCTGTAAGGAGGCCAAATAGCAATTAAACTACCTGTCCGCTCCCCTCCGCTCAGCAAGCTCCAGCCTGTGGACATCCCCCGCCCGGCCTGCCCCACCATCGGCGCTCAGGTCTTCAGCCTTTCTGCCCCCTACCCTTTGAAACTTCATCCCACAGTCCCTTCACCTCGCTCCCTCCCTCCCTCGCCTCCTTCAAAGCACGTCTCAAGACGCTCCTCTTCAACCGTGCCTTCCCCCACCCTCCTACTCCTTACCCCCTTGCCCTACACCCCTTCTGAGTCCAACCGCTAGCTCGGGTTTAAATCCCCGACTGTCCAGCGCCTTGGGGCATCCTCCCGATGTGAAAGGCCCTCTACAAATGTAATTCGATGTTGTCGTTGCTGTTATTATATCTTATACAATATATATCTATGTATGTGTCTTTGAATCCTGTGTAAAAACAACTTACGACAGCCACAGGATCATTACTTCGTGTTGCGACTAGACTGAACTTCGTCACGTAGGTGTTATCCTTCAAAGCGTCTGCGTATGCTTTTAAAGTTGATACGGGAATGTTCTGAGAATCACACAGTCGTTCACGTTTTAAAACAAAATAGATTTTGCGATAAAAAAAAATTCTCGTCCCACAATTAAGAACAATGTCCTATCGCTTCTCTACGCCGATCATGAGTAAAGGCATCGTTCACTGATCAAAAGGGCTCGCACACAGGTGCTTCTTGACCTCTTGACATGAAACAATTCCTGTCTTTAATTTTACAATGTGGTTGCTCAAACAGCGGCTCAAACTTATAATAATAATCATAATAATCCCTGCATAATCCTTCGCGACGTCTCAAAGCGCTTCACGGAATATACTGTCAAGTGAATTCACTGTATATTTTGTGGACGAAACGTGGCAGCCAATTGAGCACAACAGCGTCCCCTACAAACAGTCGTCGATTGCGTGACCAATGTTTGTTTTAAGCGATAAAGTAAATAGGACGTACTGACAGCTGACCCCGAGCCCTACTCAAAGAGGCATTTTCCACCAGCGCCTCCTGAGGGGTGGCTGTGGGGGTGGAGATGCCCTGAAACCAATATAAACACTGTCTCTGGAAGCTGCAGTGAACATGCTTTCTGGTTGCTAGTTTACAGAGGCGTACTGACTGCTCTGTACAGCGATCGAGAGGATCTGGCACACAGGAATTACATTGTCAAACATGATCCGCAAATAATCCAGGGCAGCCTTTGAATTGTAACTGTCGATTCAAATCACAGTCCTTCAACACTTATTAAAGTGACTCATTGCTATAAAGTAGGTGTAAGACATCAATCACAACCGCATGAAACAGTTACTGCATCTTAAAAGCCCCTGTGGGTGTATTGTATTTTTAACAGTAGCGTTTGACATTACAGGCTGCCAAGCAATTTGCTTAAATCAAAACATTCCCTGTTCGGAAATTCACCGTCTCTGCTCCCATTTCTTTACCAGCAGAAAGGATATTTTGGAAGACAGGGAGAAATCTTCTTCTCACTAACACAATCGATTCTCAAACCAAATTGAAATTCGAATAAAACCTCACTTTAGGCAATAACAAAGTATCAAAATTATTTTGTGGGTGAAAGAGGGAAATGAACTTTTTTTTTAGCAGTTAAAACAGTTAATGAATACCAGAAGTAAGGAGGCGATAGATAAGAATGCTTATCCTTTCTGTGTATTTGTTTCTTTGGAACGAGAGTAAAATTGACCTTCAGGCTTCTAGGAAATACTTTTTATTTTTAAAACACTGCTGTAGTACATCCTTGACTCAGCTGTTTTCATAGATTAGTTAAGGGAAGTGGGATAATAGGATCTTATAATATCTATCACATGATTGACTGTAAAGTACAATGACGGTATATTTTGCAAATGAACATGCAGACAATTTGCATGCAGAAATGTCCCCCACACAGCCATGGTATGACAGAACAACCTTATTTCAGGGACTGATGGCCAGAACACTAGGAGAAATGTTCTTTCTTTGCAAATAGTGTCATGGGATCTTGAAATCCACCTGATCATGAAGGCTCAGGCTGCGGACTTGCAACATAAAACTATCCATAATTCAAAACTATTTGGCACTAAAAAAAATAGTTTCACTCATACGATAGCTGTTGTGGAAAATTAACACAACTAAATCACACCGTCATTGCAGGGGTACACAACAAGCGTTTGAGTTACGATATGTCTGGCTCGCTGACTGTGAACGTGTGTACTTACAATGGAAGCTGAAGCTGACTATCAATAGCAAACTAGTCACCAAGCTAAACAACATTTTAGAACATATTCGATACGTATTTATATTCCAGGAGAAGATATAGATATATCAATAAGATATAGATATATATAGATATATATAGATATAGATATATCAATATATCAATAAGATATATCAATATCAATCAATATTGCAATATCTTATCAATAATAAGATATTGCAAAAGCTGCAAGTGTCTTGTCACGATTCGGTTACCTTTATATTATTAAGGTTAATCTCCTCGAGCTCAGGGTCGTTTTCCATCACTTGCTTTAAAGTCTCTTCCACGTCTGTTGAGTTCGGCAATTCATCAGGCACCGGCTTGTACTGCGTCGGTTGGATGATGCCTGTCGGAGGCAACAACAACAACAACAACAAGTTGCATTTATATAGTGCCCCTCATGCCGGGGATCATCCCGGAGGCAGACAAGCTGAGCGACAACAGCAGTTTCAAAATGGTTAGATCATAATTTCAACAAGATTAGTTTGGTTAAACAAGGCCCTTGGGTCCATTCAATCTCGTCCTTCCAGACTACCCAGATTCCTGGCCTCAATCACCCTTTCTGGTAACCTGTTCAAGTTGACAATTATTGCCCTTTCCAAACCTAAACCTGGGTCCTCTTGTTCTGCTGTTTCAGTACACCCAGTGCACAGGTGTCAGCCTGGCTCAGTTTGGTAGCACTCTCGCCTCTGAGTCAGAAGGTTGTGGGTTCAAGCCGCATGTTGGAACTTTGAACTCACAGTCTGGGTTGACACTCTGGGGCTGTGCTTTGTTGTTGGGAGTGCCGTCCTTCAGATGAGATGTTATACTGAGGTCCTCTCTGCCTTCTCCGGTGGACATTAAAGATCCCACGGCACTATTCGAAAAGAGAAGGGAGTTTCTCCTGGCCAACAATCCCCAAACCAAACTGGTCGATCACTTCATGACTGTTGTGGAACATTGCTGTGTGCTGATTGGCTGTCGTATTTGCCGACAAAATACGCAGTCACTACATTTTACAGTATATCCTTTGAAGCACTGCAAGACGTCCTCCTGACATAAAAGGCACTATATTAAATGCAAGGATTATTTATTTGATCCAAAAGGATTGTTCTGGTTTCAATTTCGCAATCCCATTTACAACCTTAGAAACCTCCAGGAGATCCTCTCTGAGATGTCTCCTTTCAAGCCTGAAGAGCCCGAGCTTGTCGAATTATTACTTATGGCTCATTCCTCTAACATTGAAGGTTATCCTTATCTAGTTTTTCTCTTATCTTACTCCTCGATACTTATGATCTTCATTAGTCTCATCGGCACTATGTCTAGAGCTGTGCAATCCCCTTTATGTGAGAACCATAGTAGTTTACAGCACAGAAAAAAAAAGCAATTCGGCCGATTCAGAGCTTGAGATTATTTCTCGTTAGATGTGTATCTAGTTTCTTCTTGAAAGTCAATATAGATTCTGCCTCAACCAACACACCTGAAGGACAATCCACATCGTAACAATTTTTTGCTCCCTTGCTAACTAGTGCCAGTGAGGAGGTCAGTGATTAATAAGCTAAATCCTATCAATTCTCTGGGTAAAAAATAAATAACCGGCGAGCTGAGGGCATCTGGGTTTTTAAAAAGATGTTTGACATCATTTTTTTAAAAATCTATTGACTGAAGATTTCGGTGACCAACAGAAGCTGTTATAATATGAATCCACACGGAAGTCATGCCCCAAACACACTAAGCCACGATGTGAAAAAATAACACTGTAAATCCAATAAAAATGGCACAAATCGGTGCCTCTGAATGAAAGATCTGGCGTGAGACAATAATAATCCTTGCAGTTGATACAGCACGATCCAAAGCGCTTTACAGGATGCCCGCGCGTGCGTGCGTGCGTGTGTGTTGTGGATAAGTTGCACTTTACCCTTTACCGCAGGTGCTCTACACTTGCTTCTGTTCTACTCACTGTTCAGGCCTTCCTTGTTGACGATGGTGCTGCTCGCAAGAGCTTCGTAATACTGCTGGTTGCTCATCAGTGTGTGCATCCCGAGGATGGCTGCAAAGTTTAAGGAATTGAAATGAATTGAAATGAATGCAACAGAAAGCAATTGGCCCGTGGACTCTTGACGTAGAAGCAAAGTGAGGGCACTGGAATTACCCTGAAACACATACAATCATGTCAAAGCAACGTTCGCGAGGGCTGATGGCCTTTTCATGCGCCTTCAATTGCTGGAAGTGACTATTAAGTTTGCTTGCCATCAAAATAATATTTTTTTTAAAAATGCTGCATCTCCCATGTGTCACAGGGGCTATCGCACAGTATTCTGACCCCACTATGTATAGTTCGTAGTTACCGGTTAAGTATTAAAGTTGTAAAAATAAAGATGAATGGAAGCCCCGGTGAGGAAGATTTATTTGTGTAACTGTTTAAACCATTTTTCTTTGCCAATACCTGTAGTAGTGATGAAAAAGTATTGATGGAAATCACTACCGCACCTCATTTGCGTCACTGGTTGAAGTAATGCTACGGATCACACAAACCCTCGGGTTAATATTTGGCTCCTGGTTCCTCATTGCAAACTAAATCATTATTGTGTGGTCTGAAGTTGGTTGTCCTTTGCCCTCTCCCCGCTCTCTTCAATGAGATGGAGACAGGTGGCATTTCCAAGTACAGGAATGCAGACACCTTGTTGACATCAGTTCAATCAGAAGTGCATAAACACATCAGGATAAACGCTGTTCATCAACAGTTTTAGTTGTTTAATGAGTACAGCTGGTTAATTGTTGGGCGCACGGTAATAATAAAATTTCAAAGCTTTGTCGCTGGGTGCATCGTTTTAGATGATTTTAGAATTTTCTTGGTGTGTCAGGTGTTTAAATTTTTATATTTTTTTAAAAAAGCCATAATTACATTCATTTCCCTCCGAGTTATTCATAAACAGTTCCGTTATTAAAGTGTACGTTGAACACCCTGAGACGACATATATTTTGCTGCACGCAGACAAATGGTAATGACTGTACTACTCGTGATTTCAACCCCCAAAAAAAGTACTTCGTGCAATTGTCAACAACAGCCAAGACCTTGATCTATCCGCTGCTGGAGTTTCTGCTGAGGCAACGGCAAACTATCCCACAGTATTAGCAGAATGTGAATGATTCAGAGGCATGTAATGGAAAATTTGTCAGCTCCACAAAACTCTTTGTATAGTCATTGGCCTGATATTGACATGAGATTGCATCTGCTATAGGGGGAGCTGTTGTCAGCTGCGTTTACAATGAGTAAAAAAGTTTCACTTCAACAGAAACAAAAACAGAAGTCGCTGGGAAGACTCAGCAGGTCAGGCAGCATCTATGGAGAGAGGAAAGCGAGTCAATGTTTCGGGTCCACGACCCTTTGTCAGATCGCTCTCATGGATCGGCATCTGAACACCAAGTTTCCGCCCCGCAAAGTATACAGTCAATTCACTTTACGGTATATTCTGTGAAGAGCTTTGAGCCAATTGCGCACAGCGGTGTCCCACAAACAGTCGTGGAGTGGGAGTGAGTGACCAGATTATTATTATTCGCTTATTTCATTTCTTGCATATTTAATTCTTTTTGGAGGGATCGTTACCCCCAGAAAGCGATCCGCCAATCGGCTTAACAACCAGGTGCTTACTAGGTAAACAGAGGAGTGAGGAAACTCGTTCAACGCTTCACCCTGCTCGAGAATCGGACCCGCTTCTTCCCGCTAAATAAATAATTCTTTTGTTAAATAAATGCCAGTTGTTGTTGTACAGTTTTTCTTAGCAAGGGGGTGGGGGTGGGGGTGATGGGGAGAAAGCAAAGAAAAACCACAGCCAGGGCTGTTGCTTCTGACTGCTATCGAGTGACCCGCTGCTCAATCACAGTGCACAGTAACAAGCCATATAGCTTATCCGTTTTGTGCTGGTGTTTTGCTTCACATGATTCAATCCCACTGTCCAGCTCCCAGATATGCGGAGATTATGGAAAGGTTGAAGCCGTGAAGGAATTTGAAGCCAGTCAACCAGGGGAATGGCAGCGTGGTGCATTAATTGACAATCTCTGCCAAAACTCATGGATTTCAGCAATATTCACAAGAAAAATGAACATTGTTTCTAAACCTTTTGTAATAAACTGTTAAATATTTCCTGGTACAGAGATTACGTATCGGGAGTGGGAATACAGTGTGTTTACGTGTGGCAAAGTAAGAAATAAATCACAAGTTACATTTGTAAAGTGAAACAAGTTACTGCATGTGGAAAAAAAACCATAGAGTCATCATAAGTCACCACTCTCATTGAAAGGCTTACAATTACAGTGGTCAAGAGTGTATTACAATACAGATATGAAACGAAAACCGCTTGATCCAACAGCAGTAAACAAAGAGGGCACCAGCAGCACTTAACCGTCCCAGCCAAGAAACGTTTGGTTAAGCTCCAGCTAAGCCTGGCACACAGCCTCGCAATCCCGAATCAAGAACATCACACCAGAGCGTAAAGAGTTTGAGTGGTACAATGAGGATCTTACAGAACACACAACCCTCTTAATCAAATGAACAGTGATATGGATTTGTCAATGAACAGAATGAAGGCTGGAAAATAAACGATGGAAGAACAGTTCCGATAAATACGCATCTCCAATTATAGTTTACTTTTAGCCCCTCGATTGTCAACTCATGTTTTGAAATTAAAAGTTCAAGGAAACCAACTGTGTTTTTCTGCTCACTAAGTGGGTTTATCATGTAAGCAATTGAGCCATACAGACCAAGGTCATCCCAGCTTCAGTGTCTGGTCTGTGCTGGGTTAGCTGATCTCGCTGTGGTCAGAAATAGGAGCGAGTCAATTGGCGTCAGCTCCAGGAGGGAGAAAGGATAATTATCCCTGTTGGAGCTGTCAGTATGGATGCAGATAAGGCAATGGTAGGACCAAGGTTGGCTGTGATGCCTCCCACAGTCAAACAGCCTGCCGATACTCAATGTCAAGGATGGCGTGTGAATAATAGCCATGGGGGCAAGAGACCAGAGGGACTGCAACCCAGGAGAAGCAAATGCGTAAGTGTCTTCAGAGGAATTTGTAAAAAAAAAATTATTATACAGAACGATTGGTGGAGAGAAACTAATGAAGGAAATAAAGTCTACAGTATATGGGTTTGAGTGACGGGAATATCTATTAAATCACATCTATTAAACTCATTGATATCGTCTAATTCTAGTTCCTGATCATGCCAGCTTTGGGAGATGGTCAGTGGTAAAGCATCTGCCGGCAATACAATGTAGGGTCTAAGCTAACATGGGCTATTTATTCAGCGTTAGTGGGCCCCTGTGAAGTTCAAAGGACAGTGGTAATGAAGCCAGGAAAAGTGGTGTGATTTTAGTGTGACCTGGTAGTGGAGACTGGCTTAGTAAAGAATCCTTAGGGAAAGGCTAGACGATCACTATGCCAGTCTCAGCCAACTCCAAGCAGCCAGGTCAACAACACATCACTGGGCTGGGATCAAGCTGTTAGTCAGGGATAACTGTGTGGCTCGGGAGGAATGTTTAAACAGAGAAAAAATACAAGAAGGACCAATGCCTTCCACACAAATTTAACAGTATATCAAAATGTTGATCAAGAAAAAGAAACGTTTCATCACTGGATGACCTGACGTTCCAATAAGATTAACGTTTCTCACCTGCAATGTCACAAAGTTCAGCATCGGTGGCATTCGCCAGGGCTTCCTCCAGCTCCGGCTCCAGAGTAACGCTCTCAAGCACCGCCTGGACTGGCTGCTCTTTAGCAACCCAAGGCTTTCCTGCAACAAGAGAAGCACAAAATGCATTTTAGTACATTATTTAGTCGATAATAAATTACTGAACCGACCTGAAGATGGGGAAGGAAGGGACAAGATGGAGGGATTGAGGAAGAATGTTTCAGAAGGTCGGAGGCAGTTAAGCCGTGGTAGTTCAGAAGCCTAATAATATATAATAATAATAATATATAAGAATAATATATAATAAAAAGAATAATCCTTGCATTTGATATTGCACTTTTCACATCAGGAGGACTTCTCAAAGTGCTACACATGAGTTGAGTAGTGTAGTGACTGTGTATTTTGTAAACAAACGTGTTACCCAATTGGAACACAGCAATGTCCCCAAAACAACCATAAAGTGAATGACTAATTTTATTTGGGGGATTGTTTTCCAAAACCCTGTAAGAATCATCCTTCTCTTTGTGAACAGTGGCATAAGATCTTTAATGTCCACTTGAACAGGCAAGTGGGATCTTGGTTTAACATCTCAACCGAAGGACGGCACCTATGGTAACGTGAGCCTGAATATATGAGGCTCAACCTTGTGAAGGTAGGGTAGGGGCAGGACCATGGAGGGATTTAAAAGGGAGGACGAGGATCTTGGGGTGAGGAGCCAATGCAAGACGCACACGAAGGGGAGATGACAGGCTCACGGAGTCAAGTGTCAGAGAAGACATGAGCTGCAGAGTCCTAGATGGTCTGTAGCTTCTCGAGAGAAGACTTGGGAAGTCTGGTGAGCAGAGAGCTGGCATAGTCAAGCCTTAGACATGATAAAAGCAGAAAAGGATCTCAGCAGCCCGAGGGGAGACATAATGGGGGTAGTGGGCAATGTTGCAGAGGTGGGGGTAAGCTGAACGGGTCATGGCACGGATGTGGCGTTTAAAGGACAGTTGAGAGTCAAACAAGTCATTGGGTTCCACCCTGACCCTGTGAGGTGGAGTGTCCATGGAGATACTGATGCTGTCAGCTCCTGAGGTGAGAAGGTGCTAACAGGAGCCAAGCAGGAAAGGCAGTGAGGAATAGAATGGTCGACAGTGTCAAATAAATCAGGAAATTTCCAAATTGCCCCCATGAATGGCTCCCAACGCTTAGCACCCAGTGTAGCCTTGTTCTGAAGCTCCACTTAAGCCCGACAAAAGTTTTTAAACGTACGGATGTTTTATGCTTTTTGGTGCCCCCTGTTTTACCCAACGTCACAATCCTGAAGCCTTTCGGGGGAGTCAGTCTGCCACTGAGTGCAGGGAGAAGACAGAGCAAAACCGGGAAGCGACGAGTCATTTGAGAGGAAAGGGAGGTTGCAGATAGGATGGCAAGTTATGGAACAGGGATGGGTCGAGGGAAGGTTTTTTGAGGATGCAGGTGATGACAGCTGTTTTGAATGGGGTAAGAACTGTGCCGGTGTACAGAGAGAGGTTGATGACGTCTGTTTGCAGGGCAAGGAGGTGGGGTGTCCTGCACCAAGCTCGGTGACCTTATCACCCCCAAGTTTTGCGACAAGTATATTTTTATAACACGTGAGACAAGTATATAGTTTATGGAGCTGTGCGGCTTTTTCTGCTGGTCTGGTACCTGGGGAGCACGTTGTAACTACTAATATGGCTGCACTTCCTTCAAACCACTGGCCTGGAGCCCTGCCAGCTCTATATAAAGAAAAAAAGTCTCCAGCCACCACTCTAAATAGCCACTAGACGTACCACCAGAAACATGTGATACCAACCTCCAGAGAACAATGTGTTCACAAAGTTTGCCAACAGAATAGTCGCTGCATTTTGCAGTAATTGCTTATGAGAACAGTAATGGAGCTGAGAAGAGAACATGAAGCTGGATCTCTATAACATGAAATAAAACAGAAAAAGGAGGAGAAAACTGATGCACTGAGCGTGGAACAAGGCAAAGGGGACATGAGGAGAATCTGCTAATGTTAATGACTGAAGAATCAGTAAGAGGGAGCAGTGACCATTTCAATGTGTGCTATGATTGGGAAATCCCATCATAAGTGGACATTAAGTGATCACCACACAAACTAAATGGGTAGGACAACACCCTACAGGTACTAAAGGAGTCAAAGGAACAAAGTAAAGGAAGGAGTGTGACTGAGAAGAACTTAACGGAAATCAGAAGACTAAATTCTATACAAGTCAAATTGACGTAAGGTTCATATGAGACCTTATCAACCTTCAGTTTTCCTCTAAACTTTGGGATAACTCTGCAATGTAGTGGCAATGAGGTCATTCAGCCACAGTTCAGTGAAGCAAAAAATGTATCTAAATGTTCACAAGGATTACAGGACTTTGTTGGCATAAACGGTTGCTGCGTTTGTCGATAAAACAGCTGCTGCATTTTGAGGTCATGATCTGTGAAGTGGTCTGAGACAGGTCATAAGATGTTATTAAACTGTGAATTCTTTCTTTCCTCTATGATGATGATCACAGAGCACCAGGAGTACACTGCTTGCAACACGCAGAGGTCTACAGCCCAGTGACGGAGGGATCGATTTCAATAATAATCCTTGCATTTGATGTCCCGACTTATCATTTGGAAACGTCTCAAATCACTCACCTTCACGGAAATTTCTGTAAAGTGTACGGACAGCGTATTTAGGGGTAACATTTGATGGGTTTTTTTTGAAAAAAAACCTTAAGAAATTTCATCACTGAGTCTTCGCTAAGTCATCACGTCTCAGCCACAGGAGCAGTGAGAAACACCAAGACTTTTGCTTCATTGCTATCACTGACACAGAGGGGGAAAAAAAATTAGCTAAGGTTTCTGCTCCTGATTGTCATCCAGTGATCCTTATTCACAAGTGTGCGCATGTGGACAACGGAGAAAGGAAACGAAAGGCAAAATACTGCAGATGCTGGAACTCTGAAATAAAAATAAAAGTCGCTGAGAGCACGCAGCAGGTCAGGCAGCATCTGCGGAGAGTGGGAGTCGGTTCAGCTCACGCTGAAATAGCCTCCCGACCCTCGCTGTTCAATTCCGCAGATGGAAATAGGCACTTGGGAGCAGTGGCAAGGGCCGTTAGCTGCCACGGAACTAAACCACTCACTAACTTCAGTAAAGGTGGGGAGAAAATTGGGAAAAAGTTCAGCTACCTTTATTGGATGAGGCATTTTCATTCCCGTGAACAAGCTACAAGAACTCAAATGCGATCATGCAACAGCCTAATGCTGAGACTAAATTTAACCTGACAATCTCCTCAGGAATTTGAGAATAGAAGGCAGGGCGTTGGGTGGGTAAAATGTGTAAGCTGGAGCACACAGCAATGTGCGAAATAACACCTTTGTTCAACATTTAATGATGAAGCAACTCCATTTTCAATGGATTCCTCTTCCCTAAATCTGTCTTTCTTCACAGGAGCAACATTGCCTGGATTAGAGAGGCTCGGAGTACCAGGAGCTACAGTCAGACTCAGAGGGCCATTGAACAGGGGAGTATCTGCATCTCAAAATAATCTAATGAATAGTCAAGGTGGTTTAAAGCAAAGGTAGCCAAAACTTTTCAAATAAAATATTCTTCTCTAACCATTTTTGTGAAGGACAAAGTTATTATGTCTACAGTTATTATGCCACATAAGTCATATCAGTTGGGATCATCACATTTAATACGACGTATGCAAAGTATGAGTTATGGCAAACTTGCATAAGTCATATCATAGGAAGGACGGGATTGTGGAGGTTCTGGAGGAATGAGATTGGATGGGCTGAAGGGCCTTCTTCATTCGAATCTCTTCTAATCCTGCGAGACAATTTATGCTTCTGTATTCGTAGAGTTATAGAATAAATTGGCGAAGAAACCTTTTGATGGTACATGGTAGAGCCCCAATCCCCAGAGAATTATTAAAAAATACCTACATAACATAAGTTCAATTCATGGTATAGTATCATAGACAACAACAACAACTTGCACTTACATAGCACCCTCCATGCAGGGTAGTGTCTCAGAGCGCTTAACAGTAGAGGTACCTAACTCCGAGCCGGCGGGGAGGGGGGAGGTGGGACCCAAATTGACCTGCAACAATGCTTTCCAGGACTTTAGCAAAGAAGGGTAGGGTTGGAGATGGGATGGCAGTGTGTGAGATAAGAGGGATCGAGGATGGGTTTTTGAGGAGAGGTGTGATAACAGTGTTTTTCAGGGGGAGTGAAACGAAGCCTGAGGAGAGAGACTGGTGTTGGCCGTGTTGGCCAGCAGGAGGGAGAGAAGGGGGAGTTGACTGACCAGCAGCTGGGTGGGGAGGGGGGTCAAGGTAGCAGGGGGTGAACTTTATCCGGGTGATTGTGGTTGAGAGGGAGGAGGGAAAAATGGGGGCAAAGGAGTGTAAGGAGGGAGGAGTGGCAGGAGCTGTGGTATGGCAGCTCATAAGAAAATCCTTGCTCCACTCTCTATATCTAACTTTGACTTTTATCCTCCAATCCCACAAATAATAATATTTGCATTTGATAGAGTGCTTTATCACGTCATCAAAACGCTTCAGTGTTCCACAGGATTTCCTGTAATGGGTAGTGATTGTATTTATAAGTAAACGAATATGGCAGCCAATTTGCGCACACAAGTGGTCGTGAAATAAATGATCAATTTTATCTAGAACCTGGTTGAGGGGCCACCGAATATTGATGCATGGAAAATGGAGGGAAATTACTAAAGGTTCATGGTTTTGCAGACAATAGTACTTGGCTACCACACCAATTCAAGCCAAGATACCAGAAATTCACTGTGAGTCACTATATAGCCCTTTTGATAATCCAGGCGTTGAACCATGGATACGAGTCAAAATAAGTGTATTCTGAGCATAACAATCAGAAGTATGGCATTTACTGGCACTCTTCCAACAGAAGGTGCTCCAGATGATACTCTCATCATGGAAGAATTTTAGTTTGCTTTGTGACTGCAATGAATTATAAATCCCGATGCCGAGGCATTAGGGCGTGTCCGATTAATTAATCAAAAACAGTCTTTAAATCAACCAAATCGGTACAGTCGGTCTAAAGTTTAGATTTCTGTATTCTTAAATTATTTATTTGCCGAGAATGCCAAAGTAGCAATTCATTGCGAAACAAACATCCTTAGACTTGTCCTATTCCACAACCACAATACTGTACTTAAACTTTGTTAAGTCTGGGAAGATCAATGCGCCTCCTTCAAATGTTCCAGTAATTTACAATTAAATCCACTCAAGCATTTGAAGGTCAGCTGTTGGCAGATTTTGGTGGCTGTTGGAGCAGAGTTGGTTGGGGGGAATTTAAAACAAAATTGGATAAACCAAAAACAGAGGAAGGATATTTGACGATACAGGAAAAGAGAAGTGAAATAAGATCAGGATGGATAGCAAACACCAACACAAAAATGCCGTATATTTCTCTGGTTCGATAGGTATAAATATAGAATGATTTATTGTAAAAGGTACTTTTACTACACTATTTTTGAGTGCCAGTTTGCTTAGAACAATACTTTGGAAAGCAATTTTAAGTCCTTTAACAAATGTGCCAGTAATGTTCCTAGTTCCAGGATGCAAAACCAGTTCCATTCCTCCCTTTTCAGTCTATCTCCCACTTCATCAGCCTCTAGTTGTGTCTCGTGAGGAATGTTGTGGGAACAATCATTACCCAGCTCTGTTATCTCTGCCCTATTTTCTTTCTAATTTCTATTCTTGGCTCCGAGGCAAGATAAACCCTTCAATCTGCAAGAACGCCTAATGGTTTCATTTACTACAGATGTGTAAGTGTTTATAATCTTTTTGACTCAGAGCAACTGCACAAACAATGGCCTTGCTGCAGCGCTCTAAAAGAGACTGGTAGATCTATTTCTAATTCTAGTTATAATCTCTACAGCTCAATTTCTCCTGTGTGGATGTTTTCTTGCTGACTACTCCTGGTATTTGGAGGATATGTGATGAGCAAAACCATCTATCCTCCAGGACAATCTGTCAAACTCCAATGAGCCTTTCGCACTACATCACTACACCATGCTCGATAAAAGGGCACAGATTCTGATCAGCGGTAATTAGAAAACTCCCAAGATAAGAAACGCAAACCATGAAGACATATGAACCTAAAAAAAACAACTCAGAACAAATCAGTGGCACTCACTTGTCTAACAAACAAGAAAGCAATCAGTTACCAAGCACATGAAAGTACCAAGCCTATGATATAACAACGACGACAAAGTTATATGTATATCGCGCCTTTCCCATCGGGAGGACGTCCCAAGGTGCTGGAACGGACAGAGTTACGGACCCGAGCTGGGGGTCGGGGTAGGGCAGGGGGGAGGGCAGGGAGGGAAAGCACAGTCGAAGAGGAGGGTCTTGAAGGTGGCGAGGGATCGGGGGGTCGAGACGGAGGGACTGCAGGATGGAATTCCAGAGGGTGGGCGCAGAGTAGTGGAAGGCCCCCCTGCCCGCTGATAGTGGGGCGAGTGAGGCGGGGGACGTGAAGCAGGCCGGAGCCCGCTGAGCGGAGGGAGCGAACAGGATGGAAGGGGTTTAGGAGGTCGGAGAGGTAGGGGAGATATACGAGCCAATCTGAAGAGTGCGGAGGGGAGGGAGCAATTCTCTCCTGTGCTGATTGATAAAAGCAGCAATCTTTCCACTATATTTTAAGAATTAGTGGAAGCTGGAACCCAAGGACTGCAAAACTGCCAATTGTAAAGAATTTAAAAAATAAATAAATAAACTTAGATGACTCAGTTGTTAGCACTTTCACCCGCGGGTCAGAAATATGGGTTCAAACCTTCTCACCTCAGGCAGCAACAACAGCAAATTGCATTTATATAGCGCAAAATTTTTGAAGGAATTATTACCCCCGAAAAGCGATCCGCCAATCGACTAACAACCGGGTTCCTACTTACTGTTAGGTAAACAGAGCCGTGTGGAGTAAGGAAACTGGCCCAAGGTTTCGCTCTGCCGGGAATCGAACCCAGATCTCTCACTTGCGAGGCGAGTGCTCTGACCACTGAGCTACAGGACTCCACAGTCCTGTGTGTACCGACAATTGAGAATAAAAAAAATCATTGCGACCTCCATAAAAACTGTTCCTACAAAGACCATGTACATACCTCTCTTTTCTCCTGTATAAGGAACCAGGTCTTCTCTGTCCTTGTGCTCTTTCGCTTCTTTCTCCAGGTGATCGAGAAGCTGATCTCTATTCAGAGGACCTGTGGGTTCCTTTTTTGTCTGATCTTTCTGCCTTAGTCCTGCAGGTAGGAGGTCATTCTGGTGAAGCAATGAAATACAATTTAAATATGTTGCTATGATACGTAAATAGACAGTGCTTTCCAATTACTTAGCCTTGAGACAGACCTCGAGTGAAGACAGTGGTGCATGACGTTATAATTTTGTTTCTTCTCAATTCCTTCAGTAAGGGAGCTGGTGGAGAACTTTCTCAGAAGCCACAACAGTGCTGGCGTCTTCTTAGATACCCAATGTAGAGGATGGGGCAAACCCCACTCCTGTCCCATGTGCCAGAGGGTGTTACCGTGTTGTATTATTTCTTCTGTTTTCAATTTATGTTTCAATTTAATTACTGTAACGGAAAGGTGGGAAATCCGAACAGAGAAGCTGCCAGCAAGGCTCATATTAGTGCGAGCAAAGTGGCGGAAATCTCTTCCGCTGACGGAGGGACAGCAGGGGTGGATGATATGAAGCAGGAACCAATTGCCTAGATAGCAGTCCTGATACCTGGTAAACTCTGAACGCTGGAAGTTCAGCATATGTGAACAACAGGTGAGAACAGGATTGGGCTACAATGTGTGGCTCCCCTCTCCCAGACTGAATAGCCTGCCAAGGCTCAGAACATTAACTGTCTTTTTGGGTAAAGCATTTAGCAGGTTGTAGACACCTGTGGAATGATACACTCAGCGTCAGGATAGGGATGAATTAAAAAAGAATACACACACACACAAGAAATATTCCCCCCCCCAAAAAAAGCCAAGGTTGAATATTGAATATTAAATATTATCACCAATAATAGAAATAATAAATGAATGTGAAATAAAAACAACTCCACTGTAACAGGAAGAAAATGTATTAGCCCAAATCTGCACCAAATATTCACACACGTAAAACGAATAGACTTTAACACACGTGGGCCATAACAAAAGTAACAATGATAAATTATACTTTCTACCACGTATACCAATGTTTCCACCTCCGTCTGCACCTCACAACCGAAACCCTTGTCCACGCCTTCGTCACTTCCCGGCTGAACTATCCCAACACCCTCCTCGCTGGTCTCCCCAGCTCCACCCTACACAAAATTCAATGAATCCAAAACTCCGCCGTCCAGATACTTGTCTGCACAAAACTCCGTACCCCCATCACACCAGAGTCCTTGCCCGGCTCCACTGGCTCCCGATTACCGAACAGATCGATTTCCAGATCACGTCACTCGTTTTCAAATCCCTCGATGCCCTGGCACCTCCCTGCCTCTCCCATCTGCTTTACCCCCTACTGCACCACACTCTGCCTCCGCTCGGCTGGCTCCGGTCTCCTGTTTGTCACTCGTCCCCTCCACTCCACCATCAGTGGCCGCTACCCCCCGAAACTGTGGAAATCTCACCCTCAATCCCTCCGCCTTCCCCCTCTCCCCCCACCTTCAAATCCCACCTAAACACCTTCCTTTTTAAATCGTGCTTACGGTCAACTCCCTCTCCCCACCCCCCCCCCCCCCCCGGCTCGGTGTCAGACTCCGGGACTCTACACTGTGCGAAGGGCGCTATATAAATGCAAGTTGTTGTTGATACCGTAACATTAATGAATGATTTGAATCCATTCGGTAGAATTTTGAAAACGTGCATTTCTGAAACTTCACGCGTCGTCTATTAATAAAAATAATCTGAGGTTCGTTCACTGAGATTCATTCCACATGTGCTCTCTCATGTGTAGTGAGTACAGCACCAGTTCATATAAAACATTCACCATAGATAAACAATGAAAAAGGACAGAACTGTTTGATTTAGAGCCAATCAATTAAGACACAACATTTTACTCCCTTTTTTGTACAAATCAAGTCTCGCAGTCTTATGTAACCCAAATATAGTAAAACAAATTAGGAACACATTAGCCTTTTATTTCTATTTAACTGTATCCCAGATAGCGAACGATAGTGAATTGTTTAGAGTTGTGTGAGTGTGATATAAATAAATCACCGTGCCATATATCCTTCTTGGGGATATTGAGGGTTTAGATCATTAATTCTGTAAATGTACTGACTTGTGAAGAGATTACAAGCACAGTTTGGGTTTTAAACTTTTAAGTTCAATCACTCAATTAAATTCATGTTGGAATTATGCAAATTGATGGGTTTAATCAGCCCAGGGCAGCAAGAAAGTTGGCAGCAAGAAAACCATATTTCCCATAAAGTTTCCACCAGAAAACTCCTGCTCTTAATGCAAAACTTCATCAAGATGTACTTCATGTTATTCTAGTATTTGTAACAAACTGGATGTTTTAGAAAGAGTTATAATTGTAGAAGGGTTAAAAGGTAATTGGGTCTTTCCACATAGAGCATTTAGGAATCCTGGAGATCACCAACTCTGCAACTATTTTAACACACTATGTCAATTAACACTATGTCAATTATCATGGTTCACTGGGCATATTCAAGAGAAAACAGCCCATCAAGTGGAATTCAATATAGCCCTGACCAGTTAGTTATTCTTTCCACAAACTTTCACCCACAAAATATACAGTCACTTCACTTTACAGTATATTCTGTGAAGCGCTTTGAGACATCTCGAAGACGTGATAAGGCGTTGTGTCAAAAGCAAGGATTATTATTTTATTATACGATCTACCTATTCAGGGAGTCTTTAAAGATACCAGGACACTATTCTGAAAGAGAAGAAAGTTTCTCCTGAAGTCCTGGCCAACGGTCTTCCAATTGATCCAATTGATCATTCAGTTCATGACTGTTTGTGGGAACTCGCCATGAGCAAAACATTTTTATCTTCAAAAGAATAACATCAAGGGTTTGAGATGTAAAAACATAATAAGATATACAAATCTATTCTTGTTTGGGTAAACCTGCAACAGCAGAAGTGTCATTGCCAGCTGGCCCCATCCTAAATCTGGCAGCGTACTGCAGTGATTTTACTAAACAAAGTCAAAAATCCAGTCAAGGTTATTCTGATCAATAATCAGAAATTATAAATACTTTTATTCGTGACTGAGCCAATTAGCTTTGCTTGCAGGTGTACTTATTCCATCTCATATCTGTCTGTGTTGCCTACTCCATTATGTTGCTCTCTTCCACAACGAGTTGAACAAAGCTAAGTTAGACTGATGGTTTTATCACATTGTGTTGTCAACCTGATGGTCTATTATTTGTAAGTGTTGATAGTGCTTTAGAAGTAAAGAAAGGGTGTGTGTGCGAGAGGGCGTGTGTGCGCACGCGATAGTGTGCGTGCCCGTGCGAGAGGGTGTGTGTGTGTGTGTGTGTATATACACGAGAGGGTGTGTTTGTATATGGACGCTGGTCTATACTTACATCTGGATCTAATTCCTCCAACTCATCCTCCAGCTGCCTGATCTCCTCTTCTGATAATTTTGTGAGAAGCTCATCTTCATCAACATCTCGATATTTCTCTAACTCCTTTGTAAATGGCGTAGACATGTTCAGCCGCTCTTGGATTGTGCTCCGCAGGGCTGAAGGGCACCTGCAAATACGAACAACCAAAATGATGAAAAAATAAAGCTGGCAAACACGAAACTCATTTCTCCTAGAAATTAATTGTGACTGTACCCATACAAAATATTCACTTCTCCACACTGGAGAAGCATCTTCTGATCTAGCCATGCGAACCAGTGAAATGACTGGTGCTATCCTAACTGTACGATGACAACAAATTACATTTGCACAGCGCCTTTCACGTCAGGAGGACATCCCAAGGCACTGGACAGTCAGTGTTTCGGACCTGAGCTGGGGGTCGGGATCAGGGAGGGTGGGGGGCATAAGGGGGGGCGGGGAAGGAGGGCACGGTCGAAAAGGAGGGTCTAGAGACAGATCTTGAAGGAGGAAAGGGAAGGGGTGAGGGGGAGAACCTGAGGGATGGAGCTTCAGAGGATGGGGGCAGAGTGGCTGAAGGCCCGCCCGCCGATGGTGGGGCGAGTGAAGCGGGGCATGTGAAGCAGGCGAGAGCCGCTGAGCGGAGGGAGCGGGCACGATGGTAGGGGGTTAGGAGGTCGCAGAGTAGGGGGAGAGCAAAACCATGGATGGCTTTGAAAGTGAGGACCAGGAGCTTCAACTGTATCCTCTGTGTGATGGGAAGCCAGTGGAGTCGAGTGAGGATGGGGGTGATGGGGTCGTGGAGCCTGGTGCGGGAGAGGACACGACGGGCTGCAGAGTTCTGGATGATCTGCAGTCTGTGGAGGGTGGAGTTGGGGTGGCTGTTTACACAGCAGTAAGTAGGAACGTGGTTGCTAATCAATTGGCGGATCGCTTTTCTGGAGATAATAATCCTTTAAAAAAGCCCCAAAAAACCAATAATAATTTGGTCACTCAATCCACGACTGTTTGTGGGGACGCTGCTGTGCGTAATTGGCCGCCGCGTTTCGCCCACAAAAATATACAGTCAATTCACTTTACAGTATATTCTGTGAAGCGCTTTGAGACGTCTCGAAGACGTGATAAGGCGCTGTATCAAATGCAAGGATTATTATTATTATTATTATTATTAAGTCGAGATTTGCTGAAAACTTGCACACTGCTCCTATATCAGGACGGCTCTTTTAGCAGCTCTCCTCGACAACCCACAATAAAAGGTTTGTCATATGTCAGGTGTGTACTGTTTCTAACAACTCTCTCTCGAATCTGTTAACGCTACTTTACCTCGAAACAAACGTTGTTCCTCCCAAGTAACAAATAAAATGAACTCTGATAACTCGTCACTCCGAGGGAAAGGGGCTCAGTGACAAGTTATCGGCGAGTTTGGCAGATGTATAATTACAAATACACGCGTCTGGAATATTGACAGCGTGATGATTTAAGTAGTAATGACAAGTTAAGCCAGGGTTGAGTTATCAGAAGGTTCATGAATGCAGTTTGACATTCTGCCCACTCCCTGAAATCAAAAGTCTTCACACCGTCTGCCACTCTAACTTAATAATTTTCAGGATTGTACTTCAACGACAACTTGACGTTATGCAGCATTCGTTTTTTTGGTCTCGTTTTAAACAGAAAATGTCTCAAGATGCTTCAGAAACGGAAAGAGCGAGAAGGAAGGAGATGGCCGAAGGCATAAAGAAGTAGACAAAAGAGCAAAATACCGCAGATGCTGGAAATCTGAAATAAAAACAAAGTATTTCAGGTCGATCACCTTTCGTCAGAGCTGAAACATTAACTCACTTTCCTCTCTCCATAGATGCTGCCTGACCTGCTGTGTGTTCCCAGAGACTTCTGTTTTTATTGCGTAAAGAAATAGGCTTTTTGATGGATTTTGAAAGCAGACAGGGGAGGATGTGAGGTGCAGTGATTTAAGGAGAGAATCCCAGAGAGTGGGGCCAAAGTGACATTAACATTTTTGGGTTCTTCACCCCCCGCCCCCCCCTCCACCCTCATTTTACATGAAAGCAACCAAATGCTACCTCTTTTCCCATTTTATTCCTTTACCGCTCTTCTCAACTCCTGTGGTGCACTGAATAGCTCTGAACTATAGAAACATGATCCTTTATTTATATATTAATTTTAAGTATATCTACGAGGCTAATGTCAAAGTTCTGGCAAAAGGCCTACTTTGCTTTCTCAGAAATGCAGTTCCATTAAATTGAATGACATTTATTGGGGTCTCAATATATAATAACACTAAAACTTGCAATTGATCACGTTGCATTTGATCAAAGAATTTTCTGTAAAGTTCACTGACGTATTTGTAAGCGAAGACAGCAGGCAATTTGCGCAAAGCAATGTCCCACAAATAGCCATGAAGTAAATGACCAACAAATTATCTTAGTGATTGTTGGCAAGGGCATGGGATCTTTAACATCCACCTGATTACGCAGATAGGATCTTAGTTTAATATCTCATTCCGCAAGACAAGTTTAATATCTCTGATAATGCAGCAGTCTTCCAGCACTACACTGCATTGTCAGCTCAGACTGTGAGCTCCAAGTGCCAACATGGGGCAAATTCCACCTTCTGAGGCACGCTGACCCCTGAAAACATGGTCAGAAAGGCAGCCAAACTAATTTCTCCATGGTATCAAATTATATCCTTGAACACCTAAAATTAACCATTGGATACTCAGCCAATTGCAACTGCAGCCAATTCCGCACAGCAGCGTCCCACGGACAGTCGTGGATCGAGTGACCAATTTATTATTTCTTTTTTGGAAGGAATTATTACCCCCGGAAAAGCGATCCACCAATCGCCTAACGACTGGGTTCCTAGTTATTGCTAGGTAAACAGACCCAAGATTTCGCCCTGCCGGGAATTGAACCCAGTTCTCTCGCTTGCAAGGCAGTGCTCCAACCACTTTTGCATTAAAACAGCAATATCACAAAGAAGGTATTTTTTAAAACAAAATTAGAAGGTAACTTTCCTATCCATCTGGTTCAATCCGGCATTGATGTGTCGAACTATGAAGAGCAAAAGTCATTTTTGTTATCAAAAAAAGCCACGCTATGACTCCAGTAGTGTGTGTATATATACATATATATATATATGTGTATATATATATTTTCAGTCAAAAAGCATAGCTCTGAGAAAAAAAAAAGCTTTCATTTAGGGGTCAGTCTGGATCAGTTGTAGCATTTATGCCTCCAAGTCAGAAGGTCAAACCCCACTTCAAAACTTTGAGCAACTTCTCCAGGCTGTTACTCTAATGCAATGCAATATATTGCACTGTCGGAGTTTGTCACCCTTTGGATGAGGTGCTAAATCACGGTTCCAACTTCCTGTTCAAGTAGATCTTAAAGATCCCAAGGCCAAATTCAAAACGAGGAGTTTCTCCCCGCGTCCTGGCCAACAATCTTTGCAGAAAAGAAACTGTAGTAAACATAGTCAGACTGTAGCGTTTCAAACAAGCTTTGGGTTATCAAATGCATGCTTCACTAAAACATTATTCGGACATCGGAACCCATAAATAAATGCCAAGAACTGTAGCTGTCCCAGTCAAAACATTTTTAAAAATAAAACATTTTGACCAAAAAACACATGGCTGTTTGTAAGACTTCGCTGTGCGCAAATTGCTGTCGTATTTGCCTCCAAACAGGTAAATTTACAGTAAATTTACAGTAAATTCTGTGAAGCGCTCTGAAACGTTGTCGGCAAATGGTAAGGCGAGAGATCAAACGCACATATTATTACTATTATAAATAATAATCTGATCAACGATTTCTTTCAAAAATCTAGCTATACCTTCGACAAGGATTGCCAAAAAACTTCAACTTAGCTTTCTCCCTCGTGCTATCAACGCTGAATGGTTTGTTGAACCTTGTTATCAAATGATTTACTGCTCCTAACACAGTGTAAATAAATGCGGTGGAGACAGTCCCTCGGGGGCTTGATGAGGCTTATTTTAGTGGACGCTTATTTCAGTTCCCTCAAACTGCGTCGGGCTCAACGGTGTCTTTGAGCGAGAGCCAGTTTCCCCAATGCCGTCACGAGCACGCAATATAAAAACAAAATAAAATCCTAAAAAGAGCCAATACTACAAGGCCAAAAAAAGATGGTTTGATTACTATTAATCTAATGTTTAAACCGAGTTGTTGACGGTGAGATTTTTCTCCCCTAATTCAACGTTATTGTTGGTTAACTTAGTCCGACTGTAGTCTTCTGACCAATTTAGGTTTCCTTATTTTCCAGATTCCCTGAGATATTTTTTTCATTTACAATAACTATGAGATACTTGTCAGAATGAAATAAACTGGAAGATAATATATTATTGTCCACATCAGGTTGATTATAAACATGCACTGAAAATAAACAAAATTACAATACATGTTTTGTCGATACAGTAAAATAATCCAATGTACACATGTCCAAGTGTTATTCATTAACATTATGAATAGTGGTAATTGTAGACAACTAATTTTGCTTCAATTTCAAACCTATCGAGTTCAAGATCGATATATTTTGTAACGTAACTGAATTAGAGTCAATATCTCTCATTATATTCTTTAAAAAAAAACCCTCTTCCTCAAAGAGGGAATAATCAGGATTTTGGGTTGCTCAACTGGTTGACTCCTGGATGTTCTGAGGCACTAACCTGCGTGATGGGTGCTACATAAATGCAAGTTGTTACTGTTGTTAGGAAACAGAGCTTCGGAGTTAAATCCCAGTGAGTGAACACAGTTTTTCACCCTTTTAAAGTTGATAAAACGGGAGGGGAAGGAAGAGTGGGCGTCATCGACTCGCGGAATCATTTCTGGAGAGACATACTCAGGCAGCTCTGTACTCCGTGTAGACTGACCAACACGAGTGGCTCACCAATGAAAACCTTGGAAGGCGAGAACGTGTTCTCAAACCTGAAAACAACCAATAGGCAGAGCAGTCCTTCCTGGCCGAGTACGGTGAAACCTTATGCTTGACCAGTCAATACTGGATTGACTCTCAAACGGTCATCGTCACAGAGCACAGCGGCCTGAGCTCATTCAACCCCCTTTGACTCTGGGAAAGTCACTGTTGCTATAGACATACTAGGCAACCATGATTCAACCCAATTGACGCACAGCAGGTTAAAGATATCTGGAGTACATTTTTTTCGAGGCAAAATGTACTTGCGCTGGTGTAAGTGATGATCGCGAAGAGATCGAGGCTGTGGTCATACTAGTGTTATAAAGCAGAAAGTGATTCCAAGCAGTGCCGTCTGTTATGCGAATTGTGTAAATCACGTGCATTACTTGAGTTGCTTGAGTTGTGTACGGGTTCGCAGTATTCCAGGGCCCGGCTGATGACAGCACTACCCAGCTCGGCTCATCGGCAGGACCTGGAAGGACAGACCAGTCACTGGGGGCAGGGAGTCATCCCACTCAGCTCCTGTTCACCCTGCACGCCAAAGCCCTAACGGAAAGGTGGTCCTAGCTGGACAAGCAGCGGGAAAGCTTGCCGGATAGCGATATTGATGGCAAGCTGTGCGGTGTTAGCTGGATAGACTCCAGCAGTTACCCCAACGCAGACTCAGGGGTCCCCAAGCCTTGGCTCTTGCCAACCTGCGCCTACTACTTTCCGGAATTAGGTAAACAGGATGTGTCCCTCCAGGGAGAGAGAAAGAGAGCGCATTCCATTCCAACCATCTATCTCTGGGATTTCCATGTGTAAGTGAGATGCGTGGAATTCTCAGTTTGATTTGGATACTCTTAAGCAACGGTGATGGGTTTCCACATGTGTCAGACACCGGCTGACCCCAAAAACATTGTGTAAACATACATGTTCAAAAAGAATTACAGATGTCCGCGTTAAGAACCAATGAAAAGGATTACAGATGGTAATAATAGTAATAATCCTTGCATTTGATATAATGTCTCATCACGACATTGAGATGTCTCAAAGCTCTTCACAGAATATATTGTAAAGTGTAGTGATTGTATATCTTGGCAGCCAATTGCGCACGGCAGTGTCCCACAAACAGTCGTGGATTGAGTGACCAAATTATTGCTTTTTCCTAGAATTCTTTTCACTGTTATCTATTAAGTAATTAACAACACCTGTAATTTCCTCTGCACCCCCACAAAATACAGTCCATGTCCTGCGCCCAACAATTTGGTGAGATTTTCACTTAATCCGACTACCTCCTCATTTTCTCCAAGAAACCATTTGGCTTCATCTATCTCCTTTCAACAAAGAAAGCCACCTGAGAGCTTAAAAGCTTTTCCACGACCACTAAGTCAAATAGCGTCAGCGCAAACTACTTGAGTGTCTCCAACCCAACGTGACACTTGATTTCTGCCAAGCAGCGTTTGCTTTAAAAACAACGGCACTGTATTTTTTTTGAATACAAACGAGCATCGACAGGTCTGGTACAAAACAACTTTGCCTCTCTCTCACGAACGGCCAAGTCTAGAACAATTTTAAACTGAGACAAAACACGAATTTCCCTGATTTAAGTAGAACCAGTGGTGTGTGTGTCTCTTTTAACCACTCGCTTCATAGCAGCTGTCAAAACTCCCTGGTCTGTGTGACACAGTGAGCCACTAGGTGCTAACGTGACACTGAACAGTACGGGTGACAGCCACTTTCTTTCGGTCTGATCCCAACGGTAACAACTATTCCTATTCAATCTGCAGTTTTCATTCCAACCCCATCGAACCCGGACGTTCGTCAAGTTGGGTGTTAATTCCTGACACGTCACAGCAAACGTTTTAGCAAGTCAAAATATTAAACACTCATAAACATTTCCTTCTGCACTTTTCCAGTAATCCATTCCACGACACGTATTTTTGTTTCATTTCACGAATGAACGATTAAAACTACCACTTCGTACTGTCCGGCTGCGGTCAATCAAGGCTGAGAGGGACACCAGAAAAGGCGGCATAGACTTCGTGAGCGACGTGAGTGAGTGAGTGAGTGTGAGAGTGCGGGAATGTGAGCGTGAGTAAGCGTGTGAGCGTGAGTGAGTTCGAGTGAGTTTGAGAGTGAACGAGTGAGCGCGAGTGTGTGAGAGTGAGTGTGGGAGAGAGTGAGCGAGTGTGAGCGTGAGAGTGTGAGCGCCAGATCTGATACATATGGTTGTCTCTGTGTTTTTTTTAGCCATTTAAAGAAACCGACATGTATACCACTTCCAGGTTGTTGGAAGCTGACTTCACTGGGCTATTTTTAATCGCGTTCACCCAAGTTACATTGCAAAAGAAAGAAAGCAACACCCTCCGAAGACAGCTCGTCTTTAAATTACACGCATACATCTGACAAATAAAAACATTTCGAAACAAAGGAAAACCTCACGGCTTCTATCCCAACGAAGCGAAAGGAAAAAAAGAAACACAACACAGGGGTGTCCGAGAAGCAATGAGTTGCTCTCAGATTAGGTTTTTTTTTTTCCTCCTCTCTTCTCTTCTCTTGAGTCTATTTTTAGAGCTGAGCTTGTGTTGTGCTCATTCCCACTTTGTGACAGCTGAAATATTTTGACCAGATATGGCTTTGCAGAATAGAAGAGACAGAAGTCAATAAGAAAAAGAAGCAGAGAGAGAGAGAGAGAGAAAGAAAGAAAGAAAGAAAGAGAAGAGAAGAGAGAGGGAAGGAGGGAGGGAGGGAGGGAGAGAGAGAGAGAGAGAGGTGGCTTACCTTTGTTGGTGTTGGTTTGCAGGGTGTGTGGGTGACTGGTTGGGGTCAGGGATGGCAGTGGGTACCCCCCTGGCCAGGACTCTGAGAGAGGCTGTGAACTTGCTCTCCTCTCTCTCTCTCTCTCTCTCCTTCCTTCCCTCCCTCTCTCTCTCTCTCTCTCCCTCCCACAGCTTCTCTCCTTGTGGTTCACAACCTTCACACGTTACAAAGCACAGGCGCGCCCCCTACACCCACAGCACAGAGAGAGAGAGAGAGAGAGCATCCAATTTAGGTACCCAATTCCTCCCTCCCATCCTCCATCCCTCCATCCCACCCCAACCCCCCACCAATTTGCCCATCAACACTCAACTTCCAGCCACTTATCTGCTTTGCACTTTAAAGCAACAACTTTAAAGTGCAATCTTAGGGACTTATAATGCAGGAAAATGTAATGTAGTTAGTTTATTGATTGATTGATTGATTGATTGATTAATTGATTGATTTATTGATGTATTTGTGCATTGATGCATTTGCGTATTTATGTGTCTGTGTGTTTCTATATTGATGTGTTTGTGTATTTATACATTTGTGTATTTATATATTTGTGTATTTGTGTATGTATTGCAAAGTGACTTTCATCAGAAATAACAACCCACAGATTCTAACTTCCGACGAGTCTCCAGAAGGCAAAAGCATCTTTTTTTATTAAATTTATTTTATTTTTTATTATTTATTATTCTTTTTTTTTGGGGGGGGGGGGGGGAGATGCAAAAAGAGTTTCTCTTGATTCATTTAGAACTTTTGTAAGCACTCGAAGATATTGCAGTGAGTGTTGTATGAATTGCAAGATGTCAAAGATAAACCCCCCCCAAAAAAAAAAATCTGGAAAGTTTTACCAGGGGGAATTGGATGGTGTCTGGTGAGTGAGCAGAAGAAATGGGCTGGTGAAAGAACTTCTCAATTATTGTCAATTGGCATGTAACTTACACTATAAAATAATAAAAATCATTCTTCACTTAGCAACTCGAAATATTAATAATACCAACAAAAAAAAACTGCAAATAAAACCAAAAAATGTTTCAAAAATTCAAAAAAAACCTTTCAAAACACAAATGTTTCATCATCCTATCTATTGTGCCCTTTTCCATCTTTCCCTGCTTTTATTTTTATTGCTGGACTGTTACTCTACTATTTTTAACGTTAGGCACCCCGCGTCCCTAATTCTGGAGAGGTATTTGGCACAGGTTGGCAAGGTTTAGGGACCTCGGAGTCCGCACTGAGAAACTTCTGGAAATTCTACACTCTGCCCAGTTAAAACTGCATAGCTTGGCACTAAGAGCACTGCCTTGGCAAGCTTCCCACTCCGTGTCCGGCTCGGACCACTCTATCCCTTAGGGGCTTAAGGCTATTGCTCGCATGGTTAACAGAAGCCAAGCGGGAAGAATTTGTGGTCCCAGTCTACCCCTCCGAGCCCTGCTGGTGACCCAAACTGGCTGATCTGTCATCGTCAATGGCCTGGAGTATTTATTGTGAACCCGTCTGGCTTAGGAACCACCGCAGAGGGTTTGACATTCCATTGCCATGTTGTCACTTTGGAATTAGCTCAGCTCCAAAAACGACTACACTTTTTCCTCTCCTTCCAAAGGGGATAGTCACTACACTGCGCTATAATACATGCTCTTTGTGCCTCCTTGGTCCCACCGCTATATGTTGGAGATGGGGAGATAGATTCAATTGTCCACAGATAGTTCCCGGGATCTCTCAAAACACACCACGTACTGCAGGCAGATTTATACCAGTCCAGCAACACCCATGGATACAGCCAACAAAATAACAGCATAACATTTGCTATGGTATCTATCAGCACTGAAAGGGTCAAAGCCCAGCTATGAGCATAGGGTGCTTTCCACAAACTTCTTAACTACCACAAATACCGGGCGATATATATAATACTATAATGATATAGATATTGTGTCCTTTCACTAATTCACCCTTTCTTTTGGGAATCCCATCATCTTTATTAAAATGCCCCATTCCCCATCAGGACAACACGAGCAGTAACAGGCTCTCGTTGTACGGGGAGCTGTGAGTACATACCCACCCACAACTTAGCTCACTGGTTAGCGTACGAACATGGTGTTCAGAGAAAAGTTCATTTACATCGTGTAATTCAATGACCCACCGGCAGCTTTACGGAACGAGATTGCTGATCATCAGATATAGTATTACTGTGTAGAAAAAAAAAGTTTTACAATTGAGCGGCAGCTGTTTTTCGCTGGAAGGAGAATCTCAAACAACCCTTCCACACTTGACACCAGGTTCTTGAAAACTGCCGGCAACTGGTGAAATGTTTGACATGGTTTATGCTAAAGATAACGCTTAAAACATATAGACGCAACAGGTGGATTTCGACGTGGAATAACATGCATTTGTGACATTCTATATTTAGAAAACAAACAAACAAGAAGCCGCCTATATATCACAGATACCATCTCACAAGTCCGTCGCAGCTAAATGGTCAAAATAAACCATCATGAGCCCAAACTTTCCAATTCCTTGTTACCAAAAATATTTTCCATAATAAGATAAGAACATATTTTTAAAAAAGGGCTTTAGAAATGATATGCTTAAATATCCTTGAATATTTAAAGATAATGAATTGCATTGGTTCCAAGCAGAATACTTACAGAGGGATGATTGCATGGTACAATTAAACGACGTTCTCAGTAGTAAACGAAGGAATTTGTAATGCTGTGAGAGCCAACAACAACATTGATGCAAGCTTCTCTAGAATCTGGCCATCGATAATAACTATCTATTAAAGTATTCTTCATTTCGTCTTCACCATATCACAAGAATGAGCCAAAAATATCACTGGGAGGCATTTTAAGCACCAGACTGCCTGTCCATGACTCTACAGCATTGTGTTGTATCAAAAACATGCTTGACATCACTAACTCTTTTCCAGGAGAAGTACTACTACTAATAATAATCCTTGCATTTGATACAGTGCTTTATCACATCGTCGAGACGTCTCAAAGCACTTCACAAGATGCACTTTAAAGTGAGTTCACTGTGTATTTTGTGGGCGAAACGCGGCAGCCAATTGCGTAGAGGAGTGTCCCAAAAACAGTCATGGATTGAGTGACCAATTATTATTTTTTTGAAGGGATTAATACCCCTGGGAAGCGATCCAACAATTAAGTACTGTAAGTACCTAATTAAATTAAATTTCAATTAAAGCAATGTAAGTACAATGCCAATGTTCATTTGGGGGTTACTTGTTGGCAAACTCCAGTGTAAATTTTCACTGGAAAAAGTGTCTTGGGATGTAAAGGGTGTCTTCTACATCACACCATCTCACAGGAACTTAGCTCCGACCCAAGATCTTGTTGGAGATCTTCAGAGGATCAGTTGAAGAAGTCTCTACAGCCCATTTGATCTCATCCTTGCAGAATACCCGCCCTATCTGATGGACTCTGTCAGCCGGCTAGCTCTATCCGTAGGCGTAATTTCTGCTTCGGTAGAGCAAAGCACAGCTCTCCTGATCACCAGAAAAGCACTCAACACAGTACCACTAACATTTCACACATAAGTGACTTACTTATTGTGAAGGTTTAAGAGTCGATTCAAGCAGCTTTCCAGGTGCTTTCAAATGCTTTCAATTATTTTAAGAAAGGCAAGAGGTTTAGTTAACAAAAATGCACAAATTAAAGTGTAGAATTTTGTTTAGAAATAATGTAAAATCAAATATGAAGTAGTAACACTAAGAGTGGGAAAGTAAGAGTAAAAAAATGGAAAAACATTTTAAAATTTTATTTTAAACATTGCTGTGTGTATATTTCAATAGTGTAATATCAGTACATTTGGGTAACATTATCATTATAAGATTCGGGAAGACTTCAACATCAGGGGGATTAATGTGTTAAAAAATAACACTGGCTTAGGAATGCAGAACTCCTTGGGACTCCTGCCAGTACCCTAAGGGTTAAGAAACTTCAGCCACTCTGTAAAACAGTTATATATAGAACTGGCAGTGAATCTATATTTGTAACTGAGCAGAGATTCTGATACAAAAAAATCATGAGAGCAAAGCTCAAGCAGGTTATGAATCCAATCAGACTGAACTGCAGCCTTTACCTCATCAGTAGTTTTTAGTACATAAAATACTGAATCCAAACCATATTGTATAACGAACCATAGATCTGAGGTGGTGTTATCCATCTGCATGAAGTTCTGTTTGAGTAGCATAAAGACTGGCAGGTCATTTGTTGTGTAATTATGAACTAGATTTTGAGGACAGGACAGTCCTGTATTTTGTGGTGTTGTATTTCTTAACAGATTTCTCAATAAAATATGTGCAATTATTGAATTGCTAAACCATTGCTTTGCTTAAGGATCCATTAGGGCAATACCTTGAGTCATTTAAAGCGGTGGTGTGAGTCAGAGCAGGGAGGCTGGAGGGTTAGGGGGACGAGAAGGGAGATGACCTTAGATGTGGTTGAAGTGGTAGGTTTTCAGCACAATTTTAAACCAATTGAAGGGGACAAGGTGGCCAGATTTAAGGAGGGCGTTCCATAGTGGCTGAAGGCTCGACTTTCTGATGGTGGGGCAGAGAATTCAACAAACACACCCCTAGGTTTGTTGAGCAGAGGGGGAGCGCAGCAGACTGAAAGGCGAAAGAAAGGATTTTCTTTAGGCGAGAGTGAGTTGTTAGTTAGAAGGCAAGAAGGACATTGGAGAAGTTAAGTTTGGAGATATTCAAGGTGTGGATAAGGGTTTGGGCTGCCAACAAGAAATGCCGCAATTCGACTCTCATTAAGAGGAAAAGAAAAATCGGTGAAGATGCTTAGATTTTTTAAAAAAAACACTGCATCACATCATTTGTTTTATTAACATGAATTTATAATAGTACAGCAGCACATAATATAAATGGTTTCACTCCCTTTCCACTGAGTCTTTGTTGATTAATGTCGCTGTTGCAGTACTTCCAAACAGATGGTAATGCTCGACGAAGTGGGCTGCTGCCAGACAAGCGAAATCGAATTGAAATATATACCATTACTCACCATGGTACACTTATTTGGCTTTGCAGCTTCCTCCAAAACAGAGCACTATTCTGCAATATGTTGCCACCCTGCCTGACCGTTGAGTTCCACGTTAGAAACGAAACTAGAGCTGCTCCAGGTTTAGAAGGAAGTAATATGCTTCTGGGGCAGGTGCCGATGGTGGGACAAGGGATGATCTTAGAGAGCTTAGAGAGGGAATTGAATTCAAGTTGAGGATCTTGAAGTAGGTCCACAGGGGGATTAGGGAGCTGGACTGCTGACGCGAATGGGGCATACAGGGCCTAATATGGGAGAAAATGGGCCACCCTACACAATGTTGTTTAGGGAGCAACAACGTGTTGGAAAGAGGTGGACATGCTGAGTTTATGTTGCAAGTTGAACGGAAAAATCTGCTGAACCACTTTGTGCACGGAAGTTCTGGGCATTTGTACCGGTTGTGATAATAATACGCCTTGCGTTTGATACAGCGCCTTATCACGTCTTCGAGACGTCGCAAAGCGCTTCACAGAATATACTGTAAAGCGAATCGGATTGTATATTTTGTGGGTAAAACGCGGCAGCCAATTGTGCACAAACAGACGTGGGATTGATTGACTAATTTTTTTTTTTGAAGGGGTTATTACCCCCAGGGCTTGTGGGCTACATCCATCCCCAGGGCCAGCAGTTGGACTACCTGTACTGTAAAGCACTGAGGGAAAGGAAGCTCAAAATCCACATTTATCACAATAAAAACCTAGCTATTTAATATTCCTGTCTAGAATTACTGAACATGTTTTTAATAAATGCAACTCAGGTCATATATTCATCATATATTGAAATAGGCTAACATATTAAGTGATGAATACTTTAGAGGTGGTTGAGAATAACGTTCAATTCCTGATGAGATTAAAACATTTGTGTGGTATTAATTTCCTACAAGCAGGAGGATGTCACTATTATAATTCATGTTAAAATGCACGTTACTATTATTTATACGATATACTCTGTAAGTTGGCAATGTCCCATTTTTTTTTTTAAGTTCGGTAATTTTTTGTCCCTAAAATAGAAACCTTCTAGATGGGAACACTGCGTGACTATCCTGAGAAATAAGTCTTTGAAACGGAAAAGTAACTTACCCGGCAAGTCTCACTTAACAACTGACAAAACAAACTCTTGCTCAGCTGAGATGTGCAAGATGTTGCCTACCTTTCACCGAAGGACTGATGGACGGATGACAAATGCTCATCACTGCTGAGCTCTGAAAGTGGGATTACCAGCCAGAGTAGCATTTCCATCATCTTCATTCTAGTATCCCAATATGTCTCACTAGGGTGGATATCTGAGCCGTAAATTGTGATAACCTCTCACAGTTGAATCCTTTGCTGGAACTCAACCCTTCTGGCTGGTGGATGAGCCACAGATACTTGGACGAGGTACAGGGGATAAAATATAGGAAAGCTGTATGTGCCCATGGAATCGAACCCGAAACGTTTCATTGCCTCCAGAAGAGGGAAACAAACCCAAGAGGTAATGGGGTTGGAGGGTAGGGTAAGAGGTTCACACTCAATGTACAAAATCAGTGCCTTGGGACGTCCTCCCGACATGAAAGGTGCTATGCATACGTGATTTTGTATTGTACCTTATCTACTTATAAACTGACTTAATCATATTTCTTAGATGTTTGAGTTACTAGTTGAATTAGAGGTTTGCAGGACAGGAGGGGTTTTTTTCAGACAATTTGAGGTTGCAGGGCGCAGCTATCAACTCTGATCTCATTCTCCTGAACTTTTCCCTTTATTCCTTTTATATTATTTTTCTTCATGCATTCCCAGGCAAAGCAAAACCCTAAGCAAGTTTCCTTACTCCACACATCTGTTTACCTAGCAGTAAGTAGAAAACCTGGTTGTGGTCAATTGACGGATCGCTTTCCGGGAATAATAACCTTTCCAAAAAAAGAGTTTACTCAATCCACAACTGTATGTCGGACACTGCTGTGCACAATTGGCTGCCGCGTTTCGCCCATAAGATATACAGTCAATTCACATTACAGTACATTCTGTGAAGCACTTTGATACGTCTCAATTACCTGATATATCAAATGAAAGTATTATGTTATCCAATTCCCTTTTAAATATTATTACAAATTCATCTTTGAGTTTAGATATGGATTTGTATTCACAGTTTATATTTTGGTGGATCTTTAAACAAACTTCCACTACTTTAATCCTAACCTTTTCTGAGACATTTCTCTTTCAAACTTGGATCACTGAATTTTACATGAATATGCTGTTGGTGTAAACGGATAACCTCGTGGGATGGTAGATCACACTTTGCAATGTTACCTCATATGCATTTTCAACATGGACAGCTCAAGTAGCCATCCAATCTATTAGTAGTCATTAACCCAGATAGATATTTCAGCTCAAGCTGCCCTCTGTGTTTTGTACTCGACAGCAAACTCTCTTGGTATGAAATTATCCAATTCTCAATCTGGGAAAAAAAAACGTACATGGAGAAATGGTAAAATTAGTGAAATAAGTCATTCGGGAGCCTAGAGACCTTGTCCATTTGGATGGACAGGTGGTTATTTCTTGCTTGCAGTCTCAAACCTATTTGTTAGTCTTTCCAAACTTGGGAGGAAGCTAATGGTATCAAGTTCTGATCGAGCTTCGTTGGATCTCTGTGAAACTTAGAATTGTATCTTAAAATTGGCTTAAAATGGCATCAACAACAAATTGCATTTGTCTGGCGCCTTTCACGTCAGGAGAACATCCCAAGATGCTGGTCATCCGTCTTCTTGCGTGTGGGGAGGGTAGCGGGGGGGGGGGGCGCGGAGGAAGGGATGGAAGAGACCTGTGATCCATGGATTTTTTAAAGGATTTCTTTTTAATAGCTGGAAATATATGACCCACTGGCTGATCTTTGAAAAATGATCAGTTATCTGTGCTGTACTGCTTGGTAGGTTCTGATAATTACATCATAGTTGGCTTCAGGGGGATCATCATGCATAAAACACGCAGACACCGTTGCACATTTCTCTTGGATTAGACGCTGTTGTGGGTCAGCCTGGCTCAGTCTGTACCACTCTCACCTCTGAATCAGAAGGTCGGGTCATGGAACTCGTATAGTTTTAAGCTGACACTGCAATGCAGTGCTGGGGATGCGCTGAATTATTGGAGGCGTCATCCTTCTGATGAAATGTTAAACCTCGGTCCCTATTGCCTGCTCAGGCGGACGTTAAAAGATCCAATGGCACTATTCGAAAAGTTTCTCCTGGTGCTCAGGCCAACAATCCCCCAAAATAAAATGTTGTTCACTTCATGGCTGTTTGTGGGAAGTTGTGTGGACACTGGCTGCCACATTTGCCCACCAAACAGTCACTCCTTTACAGTATATCTTTGAAGTGAAAAACATAATGTCTTATCCTTTAAAATCTTAAAGTTTGAAAGCTGGAAGTTTGGAAGAGTCCTTGAATTGCATCTCTTGTTCAGCCTTGCAATAAATACTATACAAAAGAACTAAATTGATGATTTAATTAGTTTATTACTCCTACATAACCCTTCAGTTTTAGTGTGTGGCCAATGTTCTGCAAGTCGCAAACCAATAGCAAATTTTCAATAAACACATTTCACCAGTAATCCAAACATTGGTAAATGAACAAACAAAAAATCATTCTGTTAAGTACTTTTTACAGAAACAAAGCACAAAGCTTCCAACTCTATACCCTCGCTAAAATACCATTGTCAAATTGTCTCACAACCTTGTAAACAGCAAACTAGATTATATTGTGCTCTCAAATCAGTTATTGTAAATGGTCAGAAACTCAAGTTTAATTTGAAGATGTCGAGATGAACCTTGATTACGCAACTTTTGACAGTTCTACTAGATACTCTGTCAATAGATCATGTATCCACACGTCTGTATCTGGAAGGGATGTATCCACCAAGTACGTCACTACTTTTCGATCCCAGGAGTACATGCTCTCGTGAACTGCCTGTATTTGGGCCACTAGAGGTTTTCTCTCAACATGGTTACGGAAAACTATTGAAGTTTCCTCCGACCACTGCTCACATTTCACTCCTGTAAGATAAACATTCACTCTTATTATGAATTCATGTTTGACATATCCCAGAAGAAGCTATTTGGGTTGTCAGAAATGTACACGTAGATGAATGCAAACTGGATGCACGCGGTAACAATACTGCAATAATGTGTTTCTCTTGTAGACATCATTCTTTTCAAATTATAGTTAATTAGAAGTAATTGTTAATGTTATGCTTCCTCCCTTTGGTTCACTTTTTAACTTGCTCTTTTCCCCAAAATCAATACTTCATGTCCAATGATCCCAAGTGATTTACAGTGATAACAACTTGTGGCAAGTTTAGTGCGCTTGAACTTTGTAAGAAAGTGCTTGAATAGCTGAGAAGAAAATAGAAATCAACACCTAAATATCAAAGTGTGGCGGGGGGGGGGGGGGGGAGAAAAAAAATCAAGGAAATATCTGATAATTACTGAATGCTTATGAAATGCTGAATTTTCAAACCTATCATATAAATGATATTATGCCACGAATTCCTTATAGTCCAGCATTAAAAACATTAAAGCAATTTTTGTATGGAGTTTAATATTCCCCTCCGGCCCCCAAAAATCAAGGAAACATCTGATAATTACTGAATGCTGATGAAATGTTGGATTTTCAAATCCATCATATAAATTGATTATCTTGTGTATCCTTAGCCCCATCTCCCCCACTCTCGCCCGACTCCACTGGCTCCCTATCCTTCAGAGGATCCAGTTCAAGATCCAGGTCCTCACCTACAAAGCCCTCCATGGCCTCGCCCCACCCTACCTCCACGATCTCCTGACCCCCTACCAACCCGCCCGTTCCCTCCGCTCAGCCGGCTCTGGCTGCTCCACGTCCCCCAACCCACCCGCCCCACCATTGGTGGGAGAACCTTCAGCCACTCTGCCCCCAACCTCTGGAACTCCATCCCCCAATCACTCTGCCTCGCCCCCTCCTTAGCCTCCTTCAAGTACTGCCTCAAAACCCTCCTCTTCGACCATGCCATTGGTCACCCCCTTCCCCTCCGCTCCCTTCTCCCCCCTGACCCCAGCTCGGGTCTGAAATGCTGTACTCTGTCCAGCGCCTTGGGACGTCCTCCCGACGTGAAAGGCGCTATACAAATGTAATCTTGTTATTGTTGAGAACTACCAATGAGTATGAATTAGCGACACTGGGCTAACTCACCTGCTAGCTGTGCTGTGACAGCCTGGAAAGGCAACTGCCGGAATTGCTGCACCAGAGTCTGCACTTTCCGACAGCTCACCAACTCGTGTCGACCGTAGTCCAGTTGGTACACGGACACCAAACCGTTTGTAAGAATCCCTTTCACCAACACTCGATACCACCTAGAGTTACAGAGAAAAAGATCTTTCTGTGACCAACAGCATACTTACAAAACACAAACCAAAATTTACGACCACAGATTTTTTTTTAAAAACATCTAAAAAAAAATCGCACAAAGTAGCCCTATCGTTACCGCTTTGTGATTTGAAATTAACAATCAAAAGATAAGTAGCCATTTAAAAAGAATTACAAGCAATTTAAATTTACCAGAAGTAGTACATCGACTTGCTTCAATTGGCATTTAACAAAAGTCTTAATATTCCTAGCACCGCCTGCTGGATGAGAACAATAATTGCTTAGAAAGGTGCAGTCTATTAAATGCTCGTAAGCTCTCTGAGACCTGTTGTTTGTTTGTGGGTCTTCATACGAGTCAATAGTTATATGCACAACCAACATTTTGAACGTTTTGGGTTGTGCAGTGAGCAATACAGACCTGGTCAGCAAAACAATTTTTTTTTAAAACTAACAGAATTTAAAAAATATATTATAGCTCTGTTATAAAATTAACCAAAATATTACAGTTAATTTTCACTGAGATGGATTTCAATAACTAATATTTTAAGCACTAAATTAAAAAGATATATAATCCCAAGACAGATGTTATGTCACAAATTGCAATAGGTCCAGCATTAAAAACATTAAAGCAATTGCAGTATGGAGTTTAATATTCCCAATAATGGTTTAGAAACCCACTGAATTGTATAGGTATAAACATATAGTTTAGTAATATAGATTAAAATTGAAATTCTACATACACAGGAAGAAACAGAGGTACTGGTCTGATAACACAACAGTAACAGCACTGATCAGGTCTGTGTTGCTGAAGGTAGTAAAAAGGTTCCACAATGCCATAACTCATGCTATCACTATTACTAATAATAATGATCTAAAAGCTGATGTCCAATATATCTATATACCAAGGAAGGAAGGAAAGAAGCCGACAACCCGGGAATTTGTGAAGTCTGAATGTTATGAAAGCATGTATGAGGGTCTCGGCGACCTGCGGTGTGAGACAGTGGCGGAGATGGGCGATGTTGCGGAGGTGGGGGAAGGCAGAGCGGGTCATGGCACGGATGTGGGGTACAAAGGATAGTTGAGGGTCAAACAAGACGCCAAGGTTCCCGACTGGCTCAGTGAGGTGGAGGGTGCATCCGTGGATGGTGATGCTGTCAGCGCCTGAGGTGTGGAGGCGTTGACAGGAGCCAATCCAGAGAGCCTAAGGAAAGCCATACTCCAAGATTTATTTTGGGGTAGAATGAAATAGACGTTCCTGCTCACAGGCCGAGAGCAGATACAGTATTGCTCGAGAAGCTCAGAGGAGGACTGCAAAACTGCTGCCATTGTTAACAAGTCACCAAACAGAGCTGTAAACACAAACCATTCAGCTGCCTAATGGAAAGGGACAACCCATTTTGCAAGCGTGTAATAGGACTGAATCTACAGCTATATGAAGAACAGGAGTGAGTAATCTACGGAATTTCCTTTGATGGCTCCTACTAAAACCACACCACCCTGTCTGCTACCGCCATTCAGCCGGCACTGGCCTGCTCCATGTCCCCCACTCTTCCTGCTCCAACCTCGGTGTCAGCGTTTAGCCTTTCTGCCCCCGCCCTCTGGAATCCATCCTGGAATCCCTTTGCCTCGCCCACCTTTCTTGTCTCCTTCAAAGCCCATCCATGCTTTCGATCATCCTCCCACCTCCCTTGTCCTCCACCCCTTTTGATTCCAACCCCAAACCCTTGATTGTCCTGAACCTGGGACATCCTCCCGACGTGAAGGGCACTATTTAATGCAATTTGTTATTGATCTACCAGAAAAAAAAGCAAGCCAGAGGATACAGAAGTGTATAATCCAATTGATGTGAATAGTGTTCACAGGCACAGATGTGCACATGTTAGTTCTGTTGCTATCAGACGCCTGATCAGCTATTACAGCTGTTGTACAATAGTTCCACCAAATAAGCTCCAGACTTTGTTTTCATTGCCTAGTATTCTACCCTTCATCTCAGCTGGTACATATTACATAGAATATACAGCACAGAAACAGGCCATCCTGCCCAACTGGTCTATGCCGGTGTTTATGCTCCACATAAGCCTCCTGCCCTTTCTCAGCTAAGCCTTCAAACATAATCTTCTACTCCTTTCTCCGTCGTGTACTTATCTAGCTTCCCCTTAAATGCATCTATGCTATTCACCTCAGCTACTGCTTGTGGTAGCAAATTCCACGTTCCGCAAACTCTCTGAGTAAAGAAGATTCTTTAGCTTCCCCATCTGATTTATTGCCTGACTTCCCTATTTGATTTATTGTTTATTTGATTTCAATATTATTTGACACAGGGATCCAGAAACTCAAGACTTGCTTAGAATGGTGTCCTATTGGGTCTCGCTAAAACATGCATCTGAAAGCCATCAAGACGCCATTCATAAATTTTGCATTATATGTCCTTAAACCTTCTAAAAGATTCATAATAATGTGTTTTAATTCTAAAACTTGAACTCAAAATGCTTACTTATTATCGAGCTGGGCCGCAAATATCTTGTTCTTCTCTATGGGCACAGATTGCCAATCTGTACGATTGTAATAGAGGATCATTTCTTCCATTAGCACCTCCAGTTTGTACAGCTCCTGCCAAGGCTGGAAGACAAAGTGCCCTGGATGACAAGCGACTGAAATGAAGACGTCCAAGTGTTCGCCAGGCTGCGGTAAAACTAGTCGGGTTGGAAGCTCACTGTGCACAAATAGTGGTACAACAGGTTTGATTGGAGCAAAGCCGTGGTCCTTACTTGGGCTTTTTATTTCAAACTCCGAGGTGATGTTGGCATCACCTTTGTTGCTGGGAGAGCTATGGGTACCACTGCTCAGGTAAACATCTTTCTGGTGTTTCCACAAGTCCGCGTTGGTTATCTTATGATTGATGCTCCGCTCCGGATTGGGGAAATTTTTCGACGTAAACAAATAAATATGGACTAGTCCCTTGGAATCATCAACTTTTACAATCTAGAAGAGATAACAAGACAATTATAAACGTGTGCTTTCCGGGCTATCGATATCACAACTTAAATCATCATTGAAAATCTACGCCTTCAATGGAGTACACATGCATCCTATTTTTATAACCCAAATAACAGGTTCCCAATGATATTAATATTATCATTATTATTAGTATTATCGGTTCATTAACCTGATCAAATGCAGATGGAACTCTACCCTCATGTTAAATCCTTCACTGAGTTACGATGCAGAACCGTTTCAGCAGTGTCCCCCACCCCCTCCCCCCCAGAAACTTCACCGTTGCTCACAAGATTGTACGCAGTGGACACCATGTTATCACATCAGAGAGCATGGATTCTGATCACTGTACCTTAATGCTGCAATCAGAGCAATTTAATACAGTGTCCCTCAGCCAAAGTACTGCATCCGGAGTCCACATTCCAATGTTAAATGTCAGGTCTGCCAAGCAGCATTTTATCGCCTGGTAAATAAAAAAAATGCAGTCAGTTACCGGTAAAAGAATTATTAAGTGATAGAGAGATAGATTTCCAGTTCATGAATGTGGCTGTTCTCCTACAGAATCACGAGTATTTTTTGGAACATAAACACCACTTGAGGAAACTCATTTGACCGTTGTGTCAAAAACTACGACACTAGGCCATTGCATCAGCAATGTAAACCGAAAGCACAATTTGGATTCAGGCACTCCAATGGAAACAACAACAACAACTTGGATTTATATAGCGCCCTCCACCCCGGACGGCGTCTCAGAGCGCTTAAGAAACACAGGTATACTTCACAGACAATGACCATTTCCACTGTGTTCTTTGGTGTGATCTATCTCTCCGTTCCAAAAGCGGTCTTGAGGAAAAATAGCATCGAAGACAACAACAACTTGTATTTCACTTCACACGAGTAGGGTCTTGGGAGACGGAACGACACACAAACTGTAACCTTACCACATCATAACCAGAACGATCAGCGTGAAGGAAAACATTAAAAGCACTTTCAGATCCTTTCAAGAGCATTCTATTACATTATAAAATTCATTGAAGTGATTTGAAAACAAAAAGCAAATCACAGAAAACAAAATCTAAATTCTTACATTTATTTTGGGCCATAAACACAACTGAAGTGCTTTCCAGCTTCAGTTTGTTTAGAAATTAAATGAATGCATTATTGAGACAAACACATCAGCTATATAAATGCAAGCTGTTGAAATCTGCACCAACAATGTCCTACAAACAACAACGAGAAGATTAGCTAATGTTTTCAAATTTCAGGATGAGTTCAAATGAGGGACTTTTCCTCAGGATAACTGAGGAAAACTATTCTCTGGAACACCCCTGAAATTCCATCCTAATTCACAGGCAGATGGGATCTAAATTAATAACTCATTTAAAAATAAAATAATCTGGAAATAATAATAATCCTTGTATTTGATATAGGTCTTATCACGTCTTCAAGACGTCTCAAAGCGCTTCACAGAATATATTGTAAAGTGAATTGACTGTATATTTTGTAACAATACATTTGCATTTAGCATAGAATATTATGAAGCAGCACAGCAGGCCATCTGCACCAGCAAAGTCTCACACACAATGAGATGATTTCAATTAAATTTACATTTTGGGGGTGAATTTGGATTAGGTTGGAATACTGGCAAGGACACATTAAATGCAAATCAAATCCAAGGATTATCATTATGATTATTATCAAATAATACCGTAAGGATTAATTACAGTATTATTAATGAGTAATTAATGATTACTGGAGTCTTGTAGCTCAGTGGTTGGAGCACTCGCCTCGCAAGTGAGAGATCTGGGTTCGATTCCCGGCAGGGCGAAACTTTGGGCAAGTTTCCTTACTCCATACACCTGATAATAATCCCTCAAGAAAAAGAAAACAATAAATTGGTCACTTCAATCCACGACTGTTTGTGGGACGCCGCTGTGCGCAATTGGCTACGTTTTTCTCACAAATATACAGTCAATTCACTTTACAGTCTATTCTGTGAAGCGCTTTGAGACGTCGAGAAGGCGTGAAAAGCGCTATATCAAATGCAAGGATTATTATTATTAAAGAATTATTATTATCACAGCAGCAATAACAGAGGAAGGTTTGGTATAAGGATGGTTACCTGTGGTGGTATAGATACTGACTCCTGAAGAAACGGAGAAGGGATTTCTCTGAGTTCTGATACTGCGACAGATGCAACTGTCCCAGTGTCTAAGAACATGACATCCACAACTCGGGTACCGTGCACATTGGTAATCTATGAAACAAAACCATTAGCATTAACTTCCATTTTTAATCTATTAAAATACAATACACAGAGGCAGTGACCAAGACTGTAAATCCTGCTGTGACACTTAGAAAACGTGTCTGTTTTTTTTTACAGCATAATAGTTTGTAGCTCAATAGTATGAAGCGCTGGTAAGATATACAGCACTTGTCCAACACCCCCCACCAAAATACTGTGTAGACTTGGATTTGCAGGATTAAGGAGATGTTTGCAACAGGAACACTCATTACAAATAATAGAGACTTGTCCACCATCAACAGTATTTTGCAATGCAGTTAACTTGACTGGAACTAGTTCAAACCAATGAAATCAAGTTAGCTTTTTAATGGCTTCTCTCTCTATTGGGGAGGGGAGAATAAAACAAGGTCTTTGGTTCCTCTCAGTGGTGGCACAACTGAAATCAGGAACATCCTACACGGAGGAGTCGGGTTTAAAACTATGCCCCGTCAAGGTGAACCTCATGCACACAATTATTGATCCTTTAGGTATTCATTGACTAAAAACTCAGCGACTCATGACAATTTTGAGACAATAAAGGTCATTTTTTTTAAAAGTGCTCCCATCTTAGAATAGAATCGTAGAATTATACCGCGCAGAAGAAGGCTATTCCACTCCCCTCAAAAGAAGTTCGCAGTAGCTGAAAGAAAGCCTAAAGGTAAATTATAGGTTTAAAGCTGCAAATAGCTGGAGAAAAGACTTGCAAAGCCTTGAAATCAGATAGAGAGCTAAGGCGCCGAAAATGGGGTGAGACCATGCATTGTGTTAGAATTTATTTCGGTAGGTTTGATTTAATGCTACAATAATACTCTCCACAGGTCTACTGCGTAGCGATTGATGGCATCCTGAAGGTGTGCGGTGACCCTTACTAAATAAAAGTGCAGGACCAAGCTTAACTGCGATTCCTCTCGTATTCAAAGCGCTTGCTGCTGCTGTTGTCGTGTGAAGCTCCTCCAATGGCCCTTCTCTGCTCCGCAGAAAAGCAACAACAACTTGCACTTATATAGCGCCCTCCACGAGAGTAGAGTCTCAGAGCGTTTAACAGTGGCAGAGCCTGACTCCGAGCCGGGGGAGTGGGGGCGGGGGGAAAAAGTGGCCGTAAGCATGGTCGAAGAGGAAGGTTTTCAGGCATGACTTGAAAAGGGGAAGAGGGGGCAAGACGGGGGGATTGAGGGAGAGCGTTCCAGTGTTTCGGGGCGTAGTGACTGAAAGCGCAACCTCCGATGGTGGGGCAGAGGGTGTGAAGGACAAGCAGGAGCCGGTGTCAGTTGAGCGGAGGCACCGGTTGGTGGATTGGGCAGTGAGGAGGTCGGAGAGGTAGGGAGGTGACAAGGAGTGAAGGGATTTGAACACGAGTGTGAGGATCTTGAAGTCGATCAGTTCGGTGATGGGGAGCCAGTGGAGCCTGGGCCAGAACTGGTGTGATGAGGTTACAGAGTTTGGTTCGGGGTCAGTATGCGGGCGGCAGAGTTTTGAATGAGCTGATCTTGTGAATGTTGGAGCTGGGGAGACCGACGAGGAGTGGGTTGGAGTAATCCAAGCGGGAGGTGACAAACACATGCACGAGGGTTTCGGCTGCATTTGGGGTAAAGTACAGTCGGAGGCAGGCAATGTGGCGGAGGTGGAAGAAGGCGGTCTCGGTCAGGGACCGGATGTGGGGGGGGGAAGGAAGGACAGCTGGGGGTCGAACTGGACATCCAGATTGTGCAATGGTTCGGTGAGTCTGAGGGAGAGCCTAGGGAGGTTGAGGAGTTGAGAACCGCAGGATTAGTTTAAGACACTAGCTTGAGTCACTACCTTCAGGAAGGGACAACATAGGGTAACATATAACATGGGGGTGGACGTGAATACAACATTTCCATTTCCAGCGAAAGCAGATAAAAACATGCCACAAAAAAAGAACATGCAATATGGCATTTCTCCTCAGGTCATTCTAATTCACATACGTACCTCTACTCGTGCCCATTTCCCTCTGCTTCGAGCCAAGCACCGCTTGCCACAGAAAGGCAATGAAACAAAGTATTCTGATGTAATTTGCTGGAATGGAAAAACAAAGGGTAATGGGTTTATCTGGCGTCCGGCAAAAGCGGATTCCACTGTAATTTTGACACTTATCTGCAGATGAAACTTACCCGGGAGTTAAAGTAATATTCAACTTTATCCAGTAAGGCGTTAAGCCTATTCCACCCCTTTGAGGGGACCTGACAATAAATGGTCCCATCCGAACACACGTTTGTAACCACCACGTTCAGGTAAACACCATTTTCCTGCAGGAAAAAGAAATGCACATTGAGATACTTTGTAAAAATGTCAGTCCACAAAGCAGATTTTGAAGTCTGAACTTAATTTCTCGGCACATTTATCAAATTGCTCATATCAAGCAGCTTCTCATTAGAATGCCCATTATATTAAATGACTGTACATAGAGGAAACGTCTGAGATCGACTAGTTTTGAGTTGAGGCATTTATTTTCCCCATTTTGTTTACAATTTACGCTATCAGGAATCTTTTTTCACCAGCTACATTTTTAAGTCAGAAATTCGAGAAACCGTAGTCTCGTTGCAGCAAACGCTGAACCAACACTTCCAATGAGTCAATAGATTAAATCATTGCTTCATGTTGCACAGTGGCATACACAGCTGCTCCAATGGCTCAACAACTTTAATTCAATGAGTATCTGAATTATATATGTGCGATGCCTCATCTTTGCTGAGTTAGTTGATCTCAGTTGGAATGACACGAGAGGAAACCTGAACTGACAAGAACCTCACTCTTGAACACCAGTGCCATCTGCTGGAGCTGGACATGTGTGGATGTCGTGTGATGACCGGCTTGTTCTCAGCTGTGGAGCCCCTACGGTTAAGTTACCCACTTGTGCATCATCACCTGGGTAAAATACCGGAGGTTATTCATGGAACCCTAACTGCAACAGATTTACATTGATATACCGGCCTTCACATTGGGAGGATGTCCCACAGCGCTGAAACTGTACCCCGTAGAAGGAAGAAAGCAAATAACGTCAGGAGAGAGAAACCCTCCTCTCTCTCCGCCCCCCTCCCCACCCACCAATCCCCCACCCCACTGCCGCCCATAAAACCGAAACTATAACCAGTTCAGGTTCAGTCCGTGGTCTGTCTTGAGTTAATCACAATCATGCAGTGGTCCCAGGCAAGGGAGAGGCGAAAATACACACCAACCCCAGTATAATGTGAGTATAGCGCAGCTGCAGTGGACCAGAAATACACTGCACTTCCAGTCATGCCTGCCTGGCTTCCTGCACACACGGGAAGTGCCGCTGACATATCCTGCGTGTTGCACATGCACGCCACTTTGCGCAGGAAGTGACATCGGCAATGTTTCCCCGGTATAGGATTCTAACAGGGCCACCTTTATCAGACACTGGATAAAAAAAAAACATTTCAGATAAAAAAAAATTCCAGAAAAATGTATTGGAAAGAGTCACTGAGAAACTACATGAGAATTAAAGGGGGAATCTGGAAAGGCTACGATCAATGGGTTAAAAAGAACATGCAGTGATTAAGCTTCCCCAGTTGACTACACTGGCTTTGGATCACTGATTTTCTGGCATACCTTAGCCTTTGAGAACTGGTACTGAGCTTTCTCTCTCTCTAAAAAAAAATTACCTTCAAATTCAGTTCAAGTGTCTTGTAATGCAAGGCCTTCAGACATGCAGTGTTGATGTTAAAATCATCATCTCCTGAAGTGTCATATAGAAGAACAAGTGGGACCTCCCTCCTTTCTAAAATTTCCATGAGCAGTATCTTTCCGCAGGCCAGAGTTTCAAAGGATTCTAACACACATGGCTCTTTGCAGAACGGCTCAAGACCTAAAACACAAACAGCTCCATCTTAAACAACCAATGTTGCTCACATTCTCCAGTTGTGTCAACTGTATAAAGAGGTGAGATCGATATCACTATTATACAGTCTATTGCAATTACATAACATTTGGTAAGGATGAATAAATGCTTGAGAATGGGCTGTTGATGTAAGGGATGAATACTCCAATTTCACTTTGTGCCTCTCTCCCAATCACTAAAATAGTTGTTTTTGTTTAACATTGATTATATTAATATTTGAGGAATAGTGTAGAAGAAAAAGACAGTTATATAAAAATAGGGATATAAGCAGTTCTGGCAAAATGTATTGGCTAGATGACTAAACCGTCAGATTAGCTTCAATTATAACTTTCATATATTATTGATAGTATAATTACACTATCATTTAATGCAATAGTGTTCACCCAGTAAAGTGAGGTTAAAACAATACATATCAAATTATTAAATAACTGCACATCTTTAATAGTATCAATTTTGCCAGATTGTTTCTATTTTAGTTTTTCAGGTCCAGTGATGTTAGAAATATTAGTTCTGACGTGCAACAATTATTACTTTGAGTTGAAAGTAAAGTCTTAAAATGTAAAGTATCAGCTTGTTATCTCATATGGATGACGGTCTAATATTTGTGCAGTTAGATTGAGCCTTCAGGGAGAACGATTTTCCCATCCTCACTTAAAGGGCAAGTTTTGTTATAAATAAATTCATTCCAATTTTAGTAGCAATTAATTACAACACTGAGCTCAGCCAAACAGAAACTTCTTTTTTTTCTGTTTCCTGAACGCACAAAGTATACAGTTAGCATTTAGCAAAGTAATTGAATTTGAACCTTTCAATTACTATTTTATTAATGTACATGATAAGACAGGAAAAAGTGCTGGCGTTCACACCACTATTTGGTGGGCATGCAAACTGTACTTGGGTGAAAAGTTGAAAGCTATTTTAGCATTTCACCAGAAGGTACACAGAATCACACAGAGTAGTAAAGTAACCAGTTATCCTTTACAACAGTATGACCTGGTTCCACTTACCTGCCAGTTTACATTTTGCAGCTTGAAAGGGCAAGGAGCAAAATTTTCCATCCAACTTGTGAAGCTTCATCCTGTCAACAATTTCATTAAATCCATGATCTACAAAAAACACCTGAAATGACATTTCAATGTATTTATACGGCTAGAAATCAGGTTGCAGGTACCAAAAAAACACTTCAGCGATAATTTTAGCAATTGTAAAAAAAAACGACAAGTATGCACATAATTGTAAACATCATCATGCAAAAGGCAGTTGAGTTCTTAAAAAGGTCATTTTAATTATTTTCAAAACTCATACATGAAGGAATTATGGATAAGAGATTGAACGTGGAAACTGGATAGTGAATGTTCAGTTTTTCATACTTTACAAAATGAGCCAGATATGGGAATAAAGAGGAGTATTTTTAATGTTTGCTGATGATGTAAAGCAGAGGCTGTTGTAAATTGTAAAAACAGTGGAAACTTACAAAGCGACAGGTAGATTAAGTAAGTAGATTGATCTACAGTAGACTGAATTTAACCTCGAGTTAGAGAGAGTAGACTTTGGAACAGGAACAGTAGATTGGTTTACGTTTTAATTTGGGGAAGCAGTAATAGGTATAATAATTATTAGGTATAATAAAACGCCACCAAAATGACATTTGTATTGTGTCTTTCACGTCGGGAGGATGTCCCAAGGCGCTGGACAATCAGGGTTTCGGACCCGAGCTGAGGGTCGGGAAGGATGGAGGGGTGGGGGGGCGCGGGTAGAAGGGTGACCAAAGGTACAGTCGAAGAGGAGGGTCTTAATACACGTCTTGAAGGATGCAAGGGAGGGGAGCGGTGGAGGGACTGCGGGATGGAGTTCCAGAAGGTGGGGGCAGAGCGGCTGAAAAGGCCCGCCCGCCAATGGTGGTGCGGACGAGGCGGGGGACGTGAAGCAGGCCAGAGCCCGCTAAGCGGAGGGAACGGGCAGGTTGGTAGGGGGATTGGAGGTTGCAGAGGTAATAATAATCCTCGCATTTGATATAGCGCCTTATCACGTCTTTGAGTCGTCTCAAAGCGCTTCACAGAATATACTGTAAAGTGAATCGATTGTGAAAGGTAGACATCAACAAAGAGCTTTAGGGGTCTAAATCCATAAATGGATAAAACCTAAGTTGCAGGTCTGTAAAGGAATTAATACAGCAAATGGGATGCGGGAATTCCTAACCAGGTGTTTGGACTGTAAAAGCAGAGAAATGCTGTTTCAGTTATTCAGAATGCTGTTCGGAAGCTCATTTTGAATATTGGGTTCAGTTTTAAGCATTTAAATAAAGAAGGATTTACTAGTTTAATGTAGATTCATTAGATGAATAAATGGGATGGTGGCATTTAGCTATGATGTGAGCCTGAGTATATTGAAAAGTACTGACGAGGTTGAGGGGGTAATCTGATCGCAGTGTTTGAAATAACAAGGTAGAATTAAAAAGAAGGTTAATGGATGACTTCCCTGTGGCTGAACCCAAAACTAGGGTCCATCATTTTAACTTAGATCTAGGAAGGTTCGAAGTGAGATCAGAAAACATTTCTTCAGACAGAGGGTTGTGAAAATTTGGAATTTGCTAAGAAGAAGCAGAATCCAATGAGATGTTTAAAATGGGGATAGATACATCGGAACAGGAAGAGGCCATTCAGCCTGTCCTGTCATTTTACTGAATCAGAGAATCTCTCAATGGAGATACTGCCCAACTGAGTTTATTATTACAATAACTTTTTTCTCATTTGAAGATGATTGAATTGTCTGAACTCTAGAAATGGAACAGTTAGAGATGTTTTAGGTGCTGTATATGAAGTACAGTTAATAAAACACATTTTCCCTTTTGGCTTCAACCTCTGCTACCCATCACTGTCAATCAGAGCAATAGGAATCTAGCCACCGTAGTCTGAGCTCACAACAATGCAAACACCCAGAGGTTATATTCTAAGGCACTAGTCTTCAAAGTCTGCTGTAATTCAACCTCGATTGCCGCTAACCTACAACAGCATATCGAGAGTAAAGAACTCGGCTGGCATATTTAGGGGACATCAAGACCTGAGATAGCTGAAGAAGACTAGTTTAAAGATGGGAATTTTCTGCACTTGGATCAGAAGGTGAAAATTTAAATCTGGTTCTTCATATACACAGAGGGTCACCTGGAACAAAATTTATCAGTACCTTCACTTTTGTTGCCTCCACTTCAACTATCTGCGCTCTTAGCCATGAATCCTCTTCAGCACTGACAGCTACAAGCTGCCCAACACTTTGGGAGTTTAGTGGCACCATAGGATTATCACTATTAGTGAAATGCTCTTTCATGGCATCTTCAATTTGTTCAAGAGCACCAGAATATTCCGGTCCAATGTACCTGGTGGGGAAACATGCATCTGCTTAAAAACAAGTTCTGAACGAAGTTAAACCTTTCACTGCTCCAATTGTATTTATTTTTTAAATTTATTTTAATCGCTCAGCATTGCAATAAATATCAGTGAACTCAGGTGACTTTTTGGTATGTATGAAACTAATTTAAACAGTGAAGTGTAAGGGTTGCTGATGTCTTGTGCTTAGAGAGATGAGTTGACAATAATTGTGCACTGAATGGAGATAGTTGAGAAATGAAGCTTTCACAACCAGTGTTACCACCAAGAAGTCCAGGTCAACTACCCCACACTCCCTCTATACTCTTTGCAGTTTGTTTTAAACTTACCCTCTGCTGCACAAGTGGGCATTTTATATTTTCCCTGCACCAGGGGAGGGGAAGAAAAATTCTATTTTAGTTTTGCTTTAAACGAATTGGTTATAAAAAACATTTATGACCCACATACATTACTCAGAGGTCTAAAATCGGTCGGTCTACATCAGCTGGCAAGATGCCTCAATGCTGCCCTGCAGTTTGATATTTTATACAATGTTGTGCAGTGTAAAATAAGGGATGCACCAACAGTAAAGGTATTCAAATCGCAAGCAGAATATTTTAAGTTAGAATACATAAACGTTAATATATAAGTAAATTGCGTAGGCTTATACATCCTACGTTTCCAATATTATGACCATTCTCATTCTTTTCAGTATGTCTTTTAAGAGAAAACTATTTTGGCTAACAATTGAGACCTTCTAAGCCCAATAACTATTTATAGTGAGAATACTGGATGATGTGCTATAAACTGTGAGGAAGTCATATTCTATACATCTATACCTTTTTACTTTTGAATATTGTTCTGGCCCTTACTAGATGACAAAATATGATAAATCAACAAATGTTCTCTTGGAATACTTTAGTCAAAAAAGCAAGTAAATTGAGAAAACATTACTCATTTAATTATATCTAAAATTTTTCTATTCTATGTGTCACTAGTATATTGCATTATCTGTAGTGTTGCATTTCTAATGGAGATTGAATAATTTTTACATTACATTCTTATTTGTTCAAAGTAATGCACACAAATTTGTCATTTTGAGTGGAGAGGTAAGAGGAACTGAATACAAGAACATATCTTCAAGAACCTTAGCAAGCTCTACTGCAAATTCTACCCATTTCAAAGGATATTACCATGTCCCCAAAAAGCCAATATGAGCTTTGATAACCCCATCAGACCAGTCCTTGTCAGGCTCCACTGGCTCCTACTTACCGACCGGATCGTTTTCAAGCTCCTCACTCGTTCTCAAATCCATTCAGGCCCTCGCACCTCCCTACCTATCCGATTTGCTTCCCACCCCCCACCCGCTGCCTCTGCTTGGCTGGCTCCGGCCTCCTGTTTGTTCCTCGTCCCTTCCACCGACACTGGCTGTGCTTTCAGCCACCGCGCCCTAAAACTGTGGAACTCTCTCCCCCGATCTCTTCCCCTTGCTCCCGCCCCACTTTCAAATCACGCCTAAAGACCTTCCTCTTTGATCGTGCTTGCAGTCACCTCCCGCTCCTCCATGGTCAAGTGCTCCGGGACTCTACCCGTGCGAAGGGCGCTATGTAAATGCAAGTTGTTGTCGTTGATGAAGATTACGTTTCAATAAAAGCTTAAATTTACCCTCTATTGGTTTGATTAAGTTATCACTAATAAAGTTCACCTCCTTTCTGCGTTAATCTGGATAAATGGCACATGTTGAGAAGGTCTCACCTTATGACAGCTTCATCAGTGGTGTTCAGTTCAACCACCAAGACAGATGGGAACTGTTCCACTGGAATGCTTAGAGGGAGAGGAAGTGGCTGCACAGTGCAAGTTTCTGTAAATTCGTGAGAAATCAAAGCCATTTCATTTTCAGCTAATGCAAGGAGGTCAGTATTAACACAGGTTTTATGAGGTGTACGAAGTCCTACACCAGTGCCATCCTCATTGATCTTCTCGCTTTTCACATCTGGTTTCACCAAAGCAGTGGGAGTCACTGGTACAGGAGAGGGAATCTCTCGTGGTTTCTCACTTTGCTCGTCATCGTTCTTTGTTGCTTTTGCGTAAAGAATTGCCTTTTTGCGATCACCAGACACTGCATAATCCACGGTGCAAATCTCAGACAAACAGTCAAGATTATCCAAAATATTCTGAGGAAACTGCATCTTGTAGGTTTCTTCAAACAACTTTGGCAGTGCGTTGGCCCAAAGACCACTGCTGTACTTTTGCAACAACTCAATTAAGTTTTCTTTTATATCCGTGTCTGTTGCAGGTTGGGTTTTAGCTGCAGCTTGCTTTCCTCCTTGAGTGACAGGTTTGTTGGAAACTGAAGCCTCCTGGTTCTTGTCAGCCGTCTTCTGGTTAAAGCTCCCCTTCCTTTGCGCGTGACCACTCTTTGCAGGATAAAGTAGCAATTCTGCCAAACCGCTGCCAGATGACTTTTCAACCTGAACAAGAAAAAGTAAGGAACAGATGTTCAGTTCATCCAAAAAGTAAAAATATGGAAGTTGTTGGCAGCAAGAGATGTTGCTGTCTTCCTTCTCACCCAAAAATAAAACTGCATGTGATACACAAAGCACGGAATGTCCCACAGGGAGTTTTTATTAATCAGACTAATAGCAGTGGCAAGCAAATCACTTTAAAGATCAAACTGAAGCCAATAATGCAAACTAAATAATTGGGGTAAGTTCATTCTGCTCTAACCTCAGGATGACGAAGCTTGATTCAAAAGTACCATTACCACCAAAGAAACTGTCCTTGAGATGGCTCCTCAACGACTTGGTGGTAATCAGTGTCACACAGACCTGAGTGAGAGAAACCAAGGTTCCTTCTGCCTATTCATGGGTGGTAAAGGTCCCAGGGCACGAAGGAGTTTATACTGGTGTCCTCCAAATTACATTGGTCACTTCATAGATGCTTTTGGGACATTGCTGTGCACAAATTGGCTGCTGTGGTCACCTACAAAATACACAGTAACTACACTTTACAGTAAATCCGGTGAAGCGCTTCGAGGCATCCTCCTGATGTGAAAGGTGCCACACAAAAAAAAAAGTGCAAGGATTAAATGGTCAGGTGAAAAAATGGTGCCAATATGGAACAAGGTGTTCTCAGTTTGCATAATAAAGCTTCCGTCTATTCTTGAGTCGTCACTGAGTACATCTGGTCCCATGTGCTAAAGGCACTAATGCAAATCAACAGATATTGTACATTCAAACATTTGTGCAATATGCTTTTTAATCTCAAATTCATCAACTCATGTGGTGAACTCATTTCTCTCTCCATTGAAGGCTAAAATATTCCCCACTCCTTCAACCAAAATCTCAATAGCTAACCCTTCCACTATCACAGGAGTCAATTTCATACTAATGGGAGGCAGAGCTGGTGAGGAAAAGTCAAACAAGTTAAACGGTTACAGAATAGTCTTATTCTCATGGAGTTTGCAGGAAAGCTTTGCCTTCCTTGGTATGCAACTAACTTAATGTGTGAGGCTGGTTGGAGAACAGTAATGGAATCATGGAGGAGGTGAGGTGGTGTAAGGGTTTTTGAAGAGAGAATTATAAATTAACAACCGCCAACAAATGTCAGTGTACATAAAGGATAAAGCAGAGAAGGCAGGAGAGAAAATTAAAGAAAAATTAGGAGAGGAATTACAGAATAAGAAAAGGCCAGAAAACGAAGTGCAATAAAGACATTCACAAAAGCAAGAAAATTGTAGAAAGTTTACAGCACACAAATACTATTCAGTCCATGTCATCAACAACAACAACATTCCATTTAGAGAGCGCCTTTCACGTCGGGAGGACGTCCCAAGGCGCTGTACAGTTGGGTCAGGAGCCGAGCATTGAGGGGAAATGGTCAGGGTGAGGGGAGGGAAGGGAGGGGGCGAGGAGGGGGTAGAGAGTCGAGAGCGGAGCTGAAGGCTCGGTCAAAGAGAAAGGTCTTGAGACCGGCCTTGGAGGAAAGGGAGGAGGCGGCGAAGGCACTGGGGGATAGCGTTCCAGAGCGAGATACTCCACTGAAGCTATCGATTCCCAGTACCACTTCTTGTACTTAACCAGTTTCCTTTCATATTATTTTCTGACAGCAAGTAAAAGATGTAAACCAATGAAAGGGATGTACTTTTTTGGTTTGCGGCAGGATCTCGTATGCCAGGCTACAACATCCATTTTTGAGCGTCAGTCCAATCCTGGTAATATCCCTGTGGTTCTCTCATCAATCTTGCCAGCACCACTATTTCTGAGGATATGCACCTTCCTGCAGAGCACTGTTTCCTTGAGTTGTTTCAGTGACAACCAGATATCTAACCAAGTAAAGTCACCACTCAGCCCAATACAACAAGCGATCCTCAGCGATGTTAATTGTTTTATTACCCACTGGGTAAAAACAGAAGCAAATGCCTGCAGAGCAGGTGCTGCCATTCTATCCTAATACTAAATAATAATAATCCTTGTTTTGATATATCGCCTTATCTAAGTCGTTGTGGGGCTTGAACCCTTCTGACTCGGGGATGAAAGTGCTACCACTGCGCCAGACTAACACACACAAGTCTTCAATGTCACTGAAGACTTCATTACAAAGACGAAGGCTATGAAGTCCTGAAAAAGACAGTTTTAATACCAAGTTCACCATTGAATGTTGCTCTATTCGGTTCTGAGGGAAGTTTAAATCCCCACTTTCTTTCATATTTCTATGATAAATATATCAGAAAAGGCACCAAAATAAAAAAAAGGCTTGACCATCAAACGGCAGAACCTAACCTCCTGCAATAGATTTCAAAAAAATTAAACTGAGACCTTGCAGAAACCCAGAAAGAAAATTCAGGCATTTTCTCAGATCGTAGAATTCAGGGTTTTGCCAAGTACAATTTCGCCCGCAAAATTGTTTTGTGTTGGGCGAAACCTTAGGCAAGTTTCCTTACGCCACACACACGCCTCTGTTTACCCAGCAGTAACAACAACAAGATTCCATTTATTGAGCGCCTTTCATGTTGGGAGGCCGTCCCAAGACGCTATACAGTTGGGTCAGGACCCGAGCATTGGGGGGAAATGGTCAGAGTGAGGGGAGTGAAGGGAGGGAGCGAGGAGGGGGTAGAGAGTCGAGAGGGGAGCTGAAGACACGGTCAAAGAGAAAAGTCTTGAGACCAACCTTGAAGGAGGAAAGGGAGGAGGCGGCGAAGGCACTGGGGATGGAGTTCCGGAGCCTCGGGGCTGAGAGGCTGAAGGCCCGACCACCGATAGTAGGGCGGTTGGGGCGGGGGATGTGGAGCAGACCGGAGCCAGAGGAACGGAGGGTACGGGCAGGTAGTAGGGGGATAGTAGGTCGGAGAGGCAGGAGGGAGCGAGGCCGTGAATGGCCTTGTAGGTGAGGATGAGGATCTTGAATTCGATCCTCTGGGGGATGGGGAGCCAGTGGAGGCGAGCGAGGGTGGGAGTGATGTGGTCGCGGTGTCTGGTGCGGGACAGTACACGAGCTGCAGAGTTCTGAATGACCTGCAGTGTGGAGGGAGGGCCGGGAAGACCGGCGAGGAGAGAGTTCCCATAGTCCAGCCTTGAGGTGATAAAGGCGTGGACCAGAGTTTCAGCCGCGTGAGGGGTGAGGTAGTGACCATACCTGGTCAAATCTACTCTTATTCATCACATATTTAAGTTATTAAAACACTATTATAATTTTTTATGCTCAATCTTCTCATATTGTATCGTAACTATAAAACAGTGACTTCTATTATGTGAGCTGTGTGAACCATGTGGATAGAGGGAATTACAAGTGTGCTTAAGTGTGCAATTAACATTCCAGCTTTTCTCCTGGAGTGTTAAGGAGACAGCTTTTCAAATGATGTTTAAGCTCATAAGTACACCTGAGCTTAGTTATGGTAAAGGGTTATGGGTCCTATTTCTCGCTGGCTACATTGTAGTGATCACTGCTCTACTTAATTCAGTAAGTAGGAACCTGGTTGTTAGTCGATTGGCAGATCATTTTCCAGGGGTAATGATCCCTTCAAAATAAATAATAATAATGTGGTCACTCAATCCACGACTGTTTGTGGGACACTGCTGTACGCGGTTCGCCCACAAAATGTAGTCAATTCACTTTTATGGTATATTCTGTGAAGCACTTTGTGATGTCTCGAAAACATGAGAAGGCGCTATATCAAATGCAAGGATTATTATTATTAACAGTAATATATATATGTATACACTGTGAAGCTCTTTGAGAGGTCTCAACGATTTGATAAGGCGCTACATCAAATGCAAGGATCCAACTTGGAGAGAGCTAAAAAGGGAACCACTCACATGGAGCAGATAGACAGGAGCCTGACAAAAATACACACATTTGGGAATCATAGGGAAAAGCTTGGACCATTTGTAAACCAAAGATTTAAATATCGTAAGACATTTTAGTCAAATAAATTCTACTTAAAATCATTTACTTACATAATACTGTACATGTCCAGCAGTTATACTGAATACAAACTTTAAGGAATGTTTTCACAAAAGAAATGCACTTTCATACCTGGTCAAATCTACTCTTATTCATCACATATTTACGTTATTAAAACACTATTATAATTTTTTATGCTCAATCTTCTCATATTGTATCGTAACTATAAAACAGTGACTTCTATTATGTGAGCTGTGTGAACCATGTGGATAGAGGGAATTATAAGTGTGCTTAAGTGTGCAATTAACATTCCAGCTTTTCTCCTGGAGTGTTAAGGAGACAGCTTTTCAAATGATGTTTAAGCTCATAAGTTCACCTGAGCTTAGTTATGGTAAAGGGTTATGGGGCCTATTTCCCTCTGGCTATATTGTAGTGATCACTGCTCTACTTAATTCAGTCAGTGCCATTATAAAAATTGAATATTATGCTTTCTACAACATTTCCACAATATAGTATTGTTTACCTTGCACAAACAATGTCTGCTTTCAAACTCTGCCTCAACCCTTTGGAACTCCATCCCCAAATCCCTTCACCTTGCTCCCTCTCTTGCCTCCTTCAAGGCACGACACAAGACCCTCCTTTTTGACCAGGCCTTCAGCTGCCCTCCTACCTCTCTGCCCTCCCTCATCCCAACTCTGCCCCCTCACGCTTCGGTCCTGATCCTTGACTGTCAGTGACTTGGGACATCCTCCTGAAGTGAAAGGCACTTTACAAATGTAATTGTGTTATTGTTGTCTCCCTTAAAAAACCTGTTGGCTGATACCTTGAACATTATTCCCAAGGAGCATCACAAAAAGTTCATTCATTTTCCATGAGACAAAAAAAAGGGCAAGAAATAGATGGAAGGAAAATAGCTACAGTGGTGCAGATATACAATATGAAATATAGGGTAAATGGACTCCATATGAAATAGAGTAGAAGAATATTTTTTGATATGCACTTTTGAATTCAACCACCATTTTGCCTTGGGAAATTAGTTTGAAATCAACATAGGCACAAAAAACATAACTTTACAGAGATAGCATAACACAAACAAAATATTATGATGCAAGAGAAACTGAGGTAGTGCATTGTGAAACAGATTGGGAGAAATAAAAAATACAGAAGAGGGATAAACATGAGAAAATAGACACAGAATAAGGTTAGGCCTGTGGAATAAAACAGAAGAATGCAAAAACTACATCAAAAGGTAGACACTTGAGAACATTAGGTGAATATCATTTGAACCAAGTCTGAGCCCTTAGAGTGATGAATCTAACAGATATGGTGAGAGAATTCTTGATGTTGGACGTTGTGGCAGAACTAAATAGAGCAATGAAGAGAACATAGAATATAAGAACATAAGAATTAGGAGCAGGAGTAGGCCATTCGGCCCCTCCAGCCTGCCCCGCCATTCAATAAGATCATGGCTGATCTATTCTAACTCCACCTATCCGCCTTATCCCCATATCCCTAAACCCTTTATCCACAAGAAATCTATCAATCTTAGTCTTGAATATGTTCAAGGACTGAGCATCTACAGCCCTTTGGGGTAGAGAATTCCATAAATTCACTACGCTCTGAGTGAAGAAGTTTTTCCTCAACTCAGTGCAAAAGGGCTTACCCCTAATTTTAAGACTGTGACCCCTGGTTATAGTTTCTCCAACCAGGGGAAAAAGTCTCCCACTATCTATTCTGTCGTGCCCCTTAATAATCTTATAGGTTTCTATAAGAAACTCTTAAGAGACTCTTTATACTTTGTTTTTTCTATGCTACTGAATCGAATTCCCAGTTTCTCCTCTTTAAATCCTACTTTTGCATCTTTTCTCTCTAATTACCATTCTATCCCAAGAGAAGCTCCATTCAAGTTCCACTTAAAACAAACATGACGCTTTTTCCAATTACAAAAAATGGAGAGGGTATGTGGTACATACAGAAGATACCAGGAAAGGGTAAGACAGTACGTGTGGGAAGGCAACACTGCTTTGATTATATTTTTCACCAAAGCAGAGGAAAAATGCAACTTCACAAACCTCCACTCATTTTACTTTGAAAGTGCAAATCAATTAAATGCGCATAATTTATAAGGTTCACACAAAAATTAAACATTTATATTTAAAATATTTTACATGTAAAGCCAAATCATACCATTATGAATCTAAGGGGAAAAGTAGGAGCTAATAATAAATAGATATGCTATTACTATTCAAAAGTGACTTCAGCGAGCATAATATTCAAAAGAGTCCGTTTTGCTGTAAAGAATATTTCACTCACCGTGCATATATGGGTCCAGGTTTCTAACTGCTTTAAAACATCCTGATGGAGCTCTTCATTGAACATCTTCTTGTACAACTGTGGATATTTGGAAACCCATACTCCATTGGTATATTTATTCAAAATCTCTTTCAATCGGGACTGCACTAATTCAGCGTTGTAGCTGGATTTAGAGGTTGTTAAATTGGATTTTCCTGTATCCACAGATTCACTCCAAACACCTGGAGTTTGAAAAAAATGAAATTGCATCACAACTTAGTATTCTTTTCTGAAGAACAATAGGAATAAAATCAAATTGAAAAGCTAATGTGTTTTGCAGTTTTAGCAGGTGCGTGATTTGAGAGCAAATGGAACTAATGTTCTTACACCAACTCTTACAATCTTAGTGGAGATAACCCAGCTGTTTCTCCTACCACAGGAATGCAGAATAATTCCCCAAGCTTCCGCAGGCACAAGCCTAATCGGTGGATCAGGGCATTAAAAGGTACATGTTAAAGACCAACATGTTGTAATAGTAAATATTTAAACACACACCACTCGGTGGCTATTTGAATATTAAATGCTGCCAAGGTAAAAAAAAAATCTGATTTGGAAATGCACTGATTTAATACCATTACTTAATAAAGGCTCTTTACATTAATGGCGAGTTATGTCCCTCAAATCCATCAAAAGCAGTCTTCAACAAAATGCAGCTAATAATCCTTGCATTTGGTATCGCACTTTATCAAGTCTGAAGGACGTCTGAAAGCGTTTCACCAGATTTACTGTGAAATGAAGTGGCTCTGTATTTGTGGCCAACCACAGCAGCACATTTGTGCACAGGAGTGTCCCTCAAACAATCATGAAGCAAGCGACCGATCTTATTTGGGGATTGTTGGCCAGGATATCAGGAGACTTCTCTTTCTGAATAGTGCCATGGGATCTTTAACGTCCACCTTAACAGGTAGACGGGATCTCGGTTTAACCGTCTCATCCAAACGACAGTATCTCAGACAATGCAACAGCCCCCACTCCCCCAATGGCTAAACTATGCCCGTCTTGAACCTCTTTCTCTCACGACTTTGTCAACAGCAAAATTAAAGTAAATTGGATTGTGGTTTACCCTTTCACTGAAAGATAGAATTATCCAGAAACAAAGAAATGTATTCAAATCACAGCGATAAAGTCAATTTGATGCTTCAAGGAGTAATCTTTGAGAGTTGGAAAGTAAAACAGTAGAATGGTGGATGTGTGAAAGATGAAAGGAACATTGGAAAACATCATATGCGCTTGAAGAGGATGCCATTGTATCCTGTGCTATATACAGGTTATGTAAATATTGTAAATGAAAATAAAAAAACTGACACTACGTACCAGTCTGCTCACTTGGTGTATTTTTGGCCAAATGCACCTGAAGCTCCTTCTGAAATCTTGGAGGAAATGAAAGAGGTGGCCTTTTTTCAGATCTGTTCGGAGAAAATGACACTTAAGATTAGAAATCTTAAAATTCAGTAATCTATCTAGGTGTGATCATCAAACTTTAAATGGGTAAGACAAGCAAGACAGCTGAGAATTCCTTACTGTATTGCCTACATTAACTTATTGTGCTTTACTTTGTCTAGAAGAGGCACAGTACCATAATATCTGTCAAAACAAGGAATTCATTTCTCTTACAGTAGTAAAAAAAAATTCCATTGTAAATGGAAATGTTAATATAGGACAAATCAGTATTTCCTAAATCTTGTCCACTGCAAAAATAAAAATGTACATACTGTGTGTGCCAGACCTCATTTGGAGCGCTGTGTGCAGTTCTGGTCACCATACCATAAGAAGCATATTGAAGCAGGTTGGGCAAGTGCAGCACAGACTTACTTGGATATGATCGGGACAGATTTTTCTCTGGAGATGAGGCATTTGGGAAGGGATATGATAAAGATGTTTAAAATTACGATAAGTTGCCACACACATAAGCAAGTTGTTTTCACATGTTGGTGAATCCATAACAGGGGTATAAACAATAAGATAGTCACTAGCATATCCAAGAGTTTGCAGTGCTACAAGATGCTATCTTAAGTGAAGGGAGCTATGTAAGCGCAGGTTGTTGTAAAAGATTTTTTTGAGACGCATCTTTTCCCAGCGGTGCACTTCTGAACCAGAAGGCGTCAATGTATTTATGAGTAAACTCAATGCAGCCACGAGGGAGGAGGGATGAGGACGGTAGAGACAAACTTAGAATATTGTATCCAGCAAAATGTAAGAAACCTATTCTATTGTTAATGGAAATTTAAAAATAGGACAAATATTTGGAGGATTGTTGGCCAGGACACGAGAGGAACCCACCCCCCCACCCACCCCGAATAATGCCACAGGATCTTTAACGTCCGCCTGAACAGGCAGACGGGACCTCGGTTTAACGTTTCATCCGAAGCATGGAATTACCTCAGTCTCCTCTTTTCTAAAGAGAACAAACCCGATTTGCTCAAACTTTTCACAACCATTTCAATCCTCTGTACCCCATTCAAGGGGAATTTTATCTGTTCTATGAGTATTAACTAGAACTTTACAAAAGTATATTCTTCTGATTAAATGTCAATAAGATCATTATTGAATTCATCCAAACATTTTGTAGATTTGTTCACGATTTCCACTGATATTTTTCTGATAGGTTCAATTCTGTTGACTTAATAAATGGCTGTTTTGTGGAAATACATACTCCCTCTTCTACATCCTTGTTCCCATAGCAATTATCTTTACTTATCCACATCAAAATACATCTGCTACCTACTGGATTAGTTATCAAAGAGATCCAAATTGTTCTGGTCTGCTGTAGTGTTTCTAATTATTTGCGCTGCCTTCTATTTCATCAGTGAAATTACATCATAAAAGGAGTTTTTGTGGTCTATCTGAAGTAAGAATAATAACCATTGCATTTGATACATTGCCTTACCACGTCTTTTTGAGACGTCTCAAAGCGCTTCACAGAATATACTGTAAAGTGAATCGACTGTATATTTTGTGGGCGAAATGCGGCAGCCAATTGCGCACAGCAGCGTCCCACAAACAGTCGTGGATTGAAGTGACCAATTTATTACGACTGTTTTTTTGAAGGAATTATTACCACTGGAAAAGCCAACCACCAATCGATTAACAGGTTCTTACTTCCTGCTAGGTAAACAGAGGCGTGTGGAGTAAGGAAACTTGCCCAACATTTCGCCCTACCAGCAACTGAACCCAGCTCGCTCGCTTGTGAGGCGAGTGCTCTAAGCGACGGGACTCCACAGATACATCCCATACTGAAGTATTCTAATTCCAATTCCCCCTCTTTGTAAACTAGTTCCTATCACCTTATTATCTGTAATATTTGGAAATTTTCCTTATGACATCTTTATCAAATTAACATTAAATAGCTGGACTTGTAAAGACTGGCTTTGAGCCCCTTAAACCTTGGAGGTCTCAATAAAAATCAAAGGGGCCCAAGTGACTTTTCCTAACCTCACGATATATACAAATTCAATATTTAGGTATCTTATAGACCATAGTGAACAGGTAATAGTTTCCTTGGTAACCAACTGAAAATTGATTTCATGTAAAATTTCAAATAATCCCATGTCATATTAAATATTTGCATACCATAAAAATAATAAAAACGGGGGGGATAAACACACAAGTGAGAGTGAAACAAGCTGATACGCGCCTGCTGATTGCACGAAGGTCTGTACAATCGCAGGCTTGCTTATATAGTACAGGTGTAACGCTTCTACGAGCCATTATCTGTCTGAATACCTTTTAGGTTTTTAGCTTGGTTTGATTTCTCTTTTTTTTTAAAAAAAAAAGAGCGCTTGGTTCAGGTTCTATTTAAACATGCAATGGCAGAGAAAAAGATTACCTACTTTGTAGAGCTGCCTTCACTTTTCGGAGATAACTTGCTCCCCCCCAGGGGTTTTGCAGGGAATGATCATGTCCAGGGGATGACATCTCTTGAAGATGTTTGTGATGTCATTGCACTGAGATGTTGCTTATAAACATCCCTTTCCCCATGCTACAAAGAGTGTGTACTCCATACAAGGAACGTGGGTTCACTTTGACATGATTGTGGAGGAAAACCTTAAAATGCAGGATCCCATATTCCCTTGCAAGGCACAGAGAAAGGAATTAGATTCTGATGGTGAAGGATGCGTCCAGTGAAGAATATGTCGATTCACAAAAAAACCATGATCCTGTAATACAGTGACTGATCCACTGATAGCTCGTCTCCCTGTGTGTTAGACATCAAGGCGTCAATTTCTTGCAGCTCAACACGGACAAGACTGAAGCCTTCCTCCAAGGGTCTCGCCAACTTCTCACTTTGCTCTGACCTCCTCAACCTCCCTGCCCACCTCCCCCACTCACACACACATTCACTGAACCAGTGCACACAAACGAGGTGTTCGGTTTGATCCTCAGCTCTCCTTCCTCACATTCAGTTCCCCACTGAGACCCTTTCTTCATCTTCACATAGCTTGTCTGGCTCCTCCTATCTCAAACAAAATGCAGCCAAAACTTCCATTGCTCACTGACCCATTTGTTAACACCAGATTAGATTTCTCAAACGCCATCATGGCAACCACAAATTCCAGATTAGACCAAACTTCATTGCCTGTATGCTCACCGGTACCAAACTCCGCACGCCCATTACCTCATCCACTGGTGGGTGCGCTTTCAGACAATGTGCTACCACTATCTGGAAATCCATCAGTCTCTCTGCCTAACCCTGCATTAAGACTCAGCTCTTTGCCCATACCTTCAGCCACCTTTTCTTCTCTTCTGCCCCTAACCGTGGCTCCATCAGTGCTGTGAAGCACTTTCGAGACATCCTAGCATCATAAAAATAACTATATAACTAATCCATGCACCTGATATAGTACTTTCACGTTCAGCAGATGCCTCAAAAGTTCTTCACAGGATTTAGTGTAAAATGCAGTGACTGTATTTGTTAGCCAAAAGCAGTGTCCACAGATAGCCATGGAGTGAATGATCAATTTTATTTGGGGGATTGCTGGCCAGAACACTGAGAAACTCCTTTCTCTTTTCGAATAGTGCTGTGGTAAGTTTCAGATCCACTTATATAAACGCAAATTGCTGCTGTTGCTGCTGCATGGAAGATTCTTCAATTTTAAGCAATGGGAAGCAAAAATATCTTGTGTGAGCTCTTATTTTGTTGATGCCTTTACTGGCATGCATTTCTGCTGCTTCACTTTCAAGATTTGCAACAGGTAATTGATTTTTTGCCACTTTCAAGAAGAGGTTAGGCCTGACTAACATAATAGAGACAGAACTGATAATTCAGCCAGCACCAAAGAATGTCTAGACATTGCCATCAATAATGATTGATAGCAATGATGGTAATGAATTTAACACTTAAGAACTTCCCTTACCTCAGCACAACTATCTCCAATACCAGGAAGCTTAATGACAAAATCAAAGGTCAAACCACAAAGCTAATAGGGTTTTTTTGGAAGGTTAAAGAAACAAATATGGAATTCAGGATCTGAAATTCTCCCTTGAAGGAACAAATTCGACCACAGTGTTATTCTGCCATTGTTTTTTTGCTGCTGCAAAACATACCACTTACTTAATTCAAACTCAAGACTAGTTCCAGTTGCTGCAAGCAGTTCAAAAAACAACTTTTTTTTTTGTTGGTCCTAATTATTGGTCTCTGATTTTTGCAGTCCTTGTACCCAACTATAGTTTTAGGGAACACAAGTACATTAATTTAGGCATTAGCCTGGCTCATTTGGTAGAACTCTTGCCCCAAAGTAAAAATGTTGTGGGTTCAAGGCCCAAGTCAGGATTTCAAGCACACAGTCCAGGCTGACGCTCCAGTCCAGTATTGGGCAGGTTTGCATTGCCAAAGGTGCCATCCTTTGGAGACACATTAATCAAAGGCCCCACCTGCCTACTCAGTTAAACATTGAATATCTAATGAGATTATTGGAAAAGAAAAGCAAGTTTCTCCCGGAGAACTGGCCAACAATCTCCCAGATTAAAAATATCAGTCCACTTATTGGATGTTTGTAGAACAACGCTGAATACGAAACCGGCTGCAGAGCTTGCCCACAAATACAATCACCACACTTTACGGAAAACTCTTGAAGCACTTTGATTTGCCTTATCATATCAATACTTCTCAAACGCGAGGTTTATTTTTATGATTTTGATTTAAAATCGATTTCAGTTGGTTCAACTGTTTGTGAGATTGAGGGATATTTGAAGATGTACTACACATAGGTTGGATTTTGTTAATTTCCAGCTGCACTGTATAATAATAATCATTGCATTTGATACAGCGCTTTTCACGGCTTCTAGATGTCTCAACGTTCTTCACAGAATATACTGTAAAAAGTGAATTGATTGTATACTTGTGGGCAAAACCTGGTAGCCAATTGCACACAGCGGTGTCCCACAAACAGTCGTGGATTGAGTGACCAAATTATTATTTTTTTTGTTAGGGATTTTAGGGATAAAGCATAATGCCACCCAACAAGAGATAAGAAATATTTGGCATAAATAAAACTCTTAATAGAACATGCAGTTTGGAAGGAAAATAGCAATGTTTAAAATGGGTGGCATTACGCTTTATGCACACTAGACAGAACACAATGCATGCACGCTTTGATTTTGTTAAAGTACTGTTGGTTCATTTGTGGGAATTTGCTAAAGGAGGATTTATCGGACTATTCTAATGGATTTAGTCAGATTACAATGATGAAGTGCCAGGCCATTCTGCTTATTGTGACCTACTGACTTCTTTTTCATTTTAAAATAAACAGATTAGCTGTTTCTGCTAAATCAATGGTACCATCACAAAAGAATAATCCATCAACGCATGCCGACAAAATAAGATGAACAAGCAGATCTGCAATTCAACAAAAAGACTGATGTGACAACACCGATTTTGCATTTCAGTGTCAATGCCTCTGACTTTAATTATCAGTCAGTCTGTGTTACTGTTTGCTTTCACTACTCAGCAGAAACAATATTGTCAATCCAATCGGAAGCCATTAAATTAGTTATGGAAGCCATTATGTCAAATTATGGATCTGCACCAATATTTATATTTAGGAAATTACATATTTTACAGAGATTTAAAAGATGACATAGCTACCTTGCTCTAACACATACGACAGCTTGCATTTATATAGCATCCTTCTTATAGGATGAATGTTCTGAAGTGCGTCACATAGATGCTGGAGTTCATCAAGAATAAGGAAGGAGAATTTAAGGTCATTAAACAAAGTTATGGAGTTCCAGAGAGAGGGAGTATAATGAATATAAGCTCACCCAATAGGGGGAGAGGAGTAGGCTAGAGTTGGGCAACTAGGCTAGAGAACAGGGTATTAGTAGATAAGTTGGGCAAATATTCAAATACAATTTGAATGGCTCCAATGCACAACTTACATTGGTGTCTGAGGTTATAAAATAATCCAAATCTGTAATGAAGCATAACAAAATGGAAATGTACAGTAAGTCTAAGGAGAAAGTTCACTTAGTGTCTCATGTATGGCTATTCATCATTATTAAATTGGGTGGGTTAGAAGAATCCCTTTAAATAACAATAATTCTTGAATTTGATATAGCACCTTATCAGACAGCATCTCTGACAATGCAGCACTCGCCCAGCGTTGCACTAAACAACAACAAAAACAACAACAAAATTACATTTGTAAAGCGCCTTTCACGTTGGGAGGACGTCCCAAGGTGCTGGACACAGAGCTCCGGACCCGAGCTAAACAAGTCTATGAGCTCAAAGTCCTATCCTAGATACACAGTCAATCCACATTACAATATATTCTGTGAAGCTCTTTGAGACGTCTCAACAATATAAGGCGCTATATCAAATGCAAGAATTATTATTGTTAATAATCAGTATTAACATGGGGCTTGAACCCATAACCTTCTGAGTCAAAAGCAAGATTGTTACCAACTGAGTAGGGCATCTTTCTGGAATAGAAGAGCAAGAAAGTAGAGACATTAAGAAGGTAAATAATTGTCCCAGGGTTAGGGAATCTAATGTGTGCTGAAGTTATACTGTGTACATGTATGCAAAGTCCATCATGGAAGAAAACAAAGATAGCAGGACCTGGAGATCCCTGTCCAGGTGTCATGTTACCTATGCACTAATCTCAGGACACATGTTCAGTACGACGCATCTTTAAGAGGGGAAATTCTTAGAAAAGGGGAATAAAAACAGGTGTTTCACATGGCTAAAAGAGTCTCTAAATTAAGAGCCATTGCTCTCCAATACCAAAAAGAGTTCCTTCTAAATGAGGAAACGGGTTTAGGTTGGTACCCTGTGATGCTCTTTCTCCCATAGATTAAATGTGAAGATTCACACATGAATAATGACCACTTTGAGTGAGATACAGAAGAAGTAATAATAATCCACTTAGTAAGAGTTAAATACATTAATAAAATTGCGTACTTAAAATACGTCTTTTGAATTCTTACTGGTCAATAGCAGCCAACGCAGAACAAATTTTCCACACTACAGAATCCCCCTTTACTTACTCATTGTTTTGGCAGAACTAAAAACACGTGGGGAAAAAAATCTTTATCTATACATGCACAGTACATTTGCATGCAAAGCTATTTTTATATTCTTTCCAGTTACTCTTAGTTAAATCTTCCTACGATGCTAAACTTCCAACAGGCTACACAAGCTGTTGAATAGTAAAACAATATAACTTGCACTTATACAGTACTTTTCAAGTAGAATGCCGCAAAGCACTTTCAGAGAGCGTGGGAATCAAAGTTGGGTGGGAAATGGTATAAGGTGGTTGAAGGCGCAGTAAAAGAGATAGGCTTTTAGAGCAGAAAAGGAGGGAGTGAGGTGGTGGGATTAAGGGACAATATTTCAGAGAACATGGGTAAGGTGGCTGAAAGCTTGTCGACCGATGGTACAGTGGGGACATGTAACTGGTCAGAGTTAGAGTAGAGGGAGTAGAACCACAGAAGAGAGTACACAGGGTTGAGTAACGCATTGAAGGCAAGAACAAGGAACTCAAAGACATCACTAGGGGGTAGGGAACAAATGGAGCAAATGGAGAACAGGAGGCACATGTACTCTATGGATGGGACTTGCCAAGGGGGATGTTTGAAAAAGTTGTCCCTTTTTGTGTTGGGAGAACATCTTAAAGAGCTTCATAGGATTTACAGTAAACTAAACCTTGGTGGTTATTTTATAGGCAAAGGTGGCAAGAGATTTGTGCACAGTAATGTCCAACAAACGGCCAGGAGGTTTTATCCCATCCAATTTTATCTGGGGGATTGTTGGGCCAGACACTAGGAGAAACTCCCTTGTCTTTTTGCGCTGAAGGATGTTCCCCCTTTCTGGTGGAATGAACTATGAGCAACAATTAAACAGCTGGGGCTCTTCAGTCTTGAAAGCAAAACTTCCACTGGCAGGTGGGTCGGTAACCCGAGGACACCGATTTAAAATAGTTGTTAAAAGAAACAGAGGGGAGGTGAGGAGAAATGTTTTCACACAACGAGTTGTTCGGACCTGGAATCATTGTGGTGAAAGGGTGGTGGAAGCCGATTCGATTACAACTTTTAAGAGAGAAGTAGATAATTATTTGGGGAGGACAAGTTTGCAGGGCTATGGGGAGAGAACGGGGGAGTGGGATTGATTTGGATAACTCTTTTCAAAGAGCCAGCGCAGACACAATGGGCCGAATCGCCTCCCTCTGTGCTGTATAATTCTATGATCTCAGTGGAGCCCCTATAGAGATAGCTAAGAACAATACTTTAATATGTTCGGAAAGGAACAAGAGGAAACAGGTTTACAATTGGATCAGACAGCCTTCAACTGAGCCACTCGTGATCTGCGATCAACTACCTGAGCTGGACAGCAACTCCCATTTGACAACAGTCACAATTATTCTCTTTGACCGTGCCTTCAGCTCCCCTCTCGACTCTCTTCCTCCTCCTCGCTCCCTCCCTTCCCTCCCCTCACCCTGACCATTTCCCCCCTCCTCTCTCCCTCCCTTCCCTCCCCTCACCCTGACCATTTCCCCCCTCCTCTCTCCCTCCCTTCCCTCCCCTCACCCTGACCATTTCCCCCCTGCTCGGGTCATGACCCAACTGTGCAGCGCCTTGGGACGTCCTCCTGACGTGAAAGGCGCTCTATAAATGGAATCTTGTTGTTGTTGTTGTTGTTAAGACCAATCTCTATCCACAACCAAAGCCTACATAGTCTGCCTGGTTCAACACCCACATCATGGAGTCTAATTTGCTGTATTTAACAGATTTCCTTAATTTAACAAAAAAAGGATACAAAGATGTTTGGATTTCAAACACTCCAGAATGCATATTTCATCAATTTAAGGATTCCGAAGTTTAGGACACATTTCTTATTAGTAAATACTACAAATTATACCCCACCAAGGGATGAGCAAGTTGTCCAGAAATACATCTTGGCAAATAAAAGCCGATTTAACTATCTGATGTAAGCTATTTCCAGAACTGCTGAATTGCAATGGCTGCACTTACATTAATTTATGCTAATTTACTTTGATGTCTAAACTTACCTACAATGAAAAGCAACAAATATGGTGGTGATTGAAATTCTCCATTCTGTTAAGTGCAGTGACTTTGAAAGTGGAATCATAATAGAAAAATATTTTGCTGCAAGAGGAACATTATACCCCAGGCATGTAACTTTGCACAATCAATAATCAGCTGCTGAATTTTATAGATCTATTAAACCATTGTGCCGTGAATTAAAGCAGCAAATATACCTATTGCTCGCAACAGAAAGTGGTTTACGAACTGAAGCATCCTTAGGGGTACCACCTCCAATCGGCGTGTGCACTTTAGCTTCTGAAAGAAATTCCCTTCCCAAGCCGGACTTCGTGACACCTTGCAAGTTTCCTCTGCCTCGTGAAGCAGGAGTTGACCTCTTGCCTCCTCTTCCAGGCGGATTTACATATTCTGGCTGCCTTAAAGTTGCTTTAGGTTTTCCTGGACAAGCAAGAACGAAAGAGTCAGTTATAAAATGAAAATACCCGCAGTTTGTTCAATAATCAAATGGAAATAAAGCATCCGTTATAAAGCCATTAATACACTCAGACCACCAAAAATGTAGAAACAATTTCTGACTTAATGGAAGAGGATGCATAAAAGGCTCCCAATATTACAATATTACTCCTATTTCAGGAGAATTTCATCATATGAAATGTATGATGCAGTGATAATTATATTGAATATTCACCAAACTGTTTTCCGCCCAAATACCAGGTGGAATGGGAGATACTCTTGCAGGTCTGCTCATCCATCATCAATGCATACTCCACCTATCAGCAAGTTTACAACTCAATAATGCCCAGCAGAGCCAAATAACTTTACAAAAATTACGTTTGCAATTAATAAATCTTCCAGATGAAAATTCTCTTGTACAGAAAAAAAATCTTAAGAGCAACATTTTTAGAGGTGTGAAGATTGCTCGAAAAGTGCAGTTCCGATGAATAATATTGAAACTAACTGGAGATTGACCACTCCAAATAAATTTTGCTTTGCAAATAAGAATACAACGCCGAGTGTGCTGTTGAAACGTCTGGTTTTGCGTTAAGTGATATTTTTAATTCTCTCTGCAATCCGTAAAAACAGTAACAGATGGTGAAGTTGTCCCGACTGGGTTGGCCATAATCACTGTCTGATCGTTTCACCAATGCTCAGCGTTGCATTTATCTTTTGCATTTTTTTTCCCCCCGTGATGTTTCAACTCCTTTAGATCTCGATGCGTTTGTTTGTTGAGGGAATAAAAAAAATAAGCAAAAATTTATAGCTTTCCATAGGCCATTTCTCAAAAATGTGAGTTCAGGCATTTTATGAAATAAAAAAAAATGATTCAAGTTACTGATCATTTAATGATGTCTGAGCCTTGGATTAGTTTGGTAATTAACTAAGAGGGTCCACTTGATGAATACTTTGAATGAAGGCAAAGGCAACCTCAGACAAGTACTTGTGAGGATAGACCAAATAATCTTAATCTTTGTGGAACACTCATCTCCCCCCCCAAAAAAACTATAGCACAGGTGCAAGATTTTAAGATACTATTTAAAAAAAAGCCCAGCACACTGAGAAAACTCAATTCTATATTCCAAAAGTACAAAGAGGTCAAGTATGTCTCCTATTGCCCAAACTGGAAGAAACGTCATGCTTTTCGTATCTTCAAGCTCCATTACTGATCAGCACAGCTGCAGGGATTCTGTCTACTAGAGCAGGATAATAATAATAATAATCCTTACATTTGATATAGAACCTGATCACGTCTTCGAGACGTCTCAAAACGCTTCACGTTATATACTGTAAAGTGAATTGACTGTATATTTTGTGGGCAAAATATGCTCTATGTCCATGTGACGGTGTCACAATCATAGTGTTAAATACTTTCTTCTGATGTACCAATTTCTAATAGTGATCCTACATCCCGCATAGTAATATAAAACATGCTTCTTTGCGCTTTTGGTCATCTTTCCCTTCTCCATCCCCCTCAGCCTCAACCCCAACTGGGATGCGCAACCAACATTGGACTGCTTTGAGACTTCTCGACATGAAAGGCGCTGTATAAATGTAAATTGTTTTCTATATTAATAGAATCCCGGACACACAGCCTGGACAATGGAAGCCAGTCATCCTTTGAATTGTTTCTTTGAAAGATTTCATCTTTCTTGGCTCACATATGCATTGCCCTGTAATTCGAGGAAAAGAAGTGGAGGAAAGGAAGAACCCGACACAAAATCAATGTCAGAATAAAATAATTATATCCTGCTCATAGTTTGTAGAGTTCAACAGATTGGGCTTCTGGGCTTAGGGTCACTTTTGACAAAATCCAAAGTGCGCACTAACTAACTATTGTTAGCTAACCCCCAAAATTGGGGTTCCAAGCAGAATAATAAATCAGAATCATGTAAACAGTAAATCTCAGCTTTTGGGTGCAAATGACCGCCAACACAGCTTTCCACATTGTCAGCAACATACTGAGCACTAACTACAACCACACTCTGATAGTCAAAATAGAATACAATGTATGACCAAAATAACCTCCTGTAAGAAAAGCCAAAAGGCATAGGCTATGTTTTTTTTAATAGCTTCTAAAGGTGGAAGTTTAAACAATATGCCTATTGTCCTTATTATATAACCTTAGACACACAACACAAACAAAGTACTTTGCCACAAAGGTTCAGAAACAAAGCAATCGGCAGATTGTACCACACAGCTGACACACAGACTTAATGTTTAACAGGTGCAGTCAAAGGCCAGATTTAATATGAAGTTTCGGGTGAGTTCATAATTAGACCTTATTCTTTTAAAGTCTCAACTTCCACAAAGTGAAGCTTGCATTTTACATTAATGACGCAAAGCGTTAAGAGTGGATAGCAATATCTTGGGACAGATGAACACTGACCACTAGAAACAAAATGACAGAATGGGAGCAGAAAGAAAGCTACTTTCCTACCTGCTTCAGGAAACATTTGTCGAAATAATCTTAATGGAACACTCCTCCACCCCCCCACCCCCCAAAAAAAACTATAGCAAAGGTGCAAGATTTTAAAGACACTATTTGGGACAGATCTTCCACACACTCTCTCATGTCCTCATATCCCCTTTTCAGCACCTGTAATGTTATGAGCCGTTGCCAGCACAGATAATAAAGGACTTATTTTCAATTTCAAAGAAATCCTACCTAGAGTTTTGTCTTAAACATTTAAGATGAGGCAGGACTTGCGATATAACAGAGCCAGAAGCTGGTTTAATTTAATTTCTCAATCCACAACTGTTTATGGGACACTGCTGTGAGCAATTGGTTGTCTCATTTCGCCCACAAAAATACAGCTAAATCACTTTACACTGTGAAGTGCCTTGAGATGTCTCGAAGACGTGATCATGTGCTATATCAAATGCAAGGATTATTATTATTATTATTAAAGTGCAAATTGCCTTTGAATAGGGGCTCCAGCCTTGCCTAACTATCCATCAGCAGAGCGGAGCAAATCAAGATATCCTGAGAAGTAGGTGACCTGTCTACTATATAAATTGTGCAGTGTATACAGTTTACTTTTCAAGAGCAAGGTATCACTAGGTCACGTGCAAGATTGGTGTTCAACAATGTTGTGTGCAATAATAAAAATAATAATAATAATCCTTGCATTTGGTATAGCGCTTTTCACGTCGGGAGGACGTCCCAAAGCGCTTCACAGAACACATTGTAAAGTGAATTGACTGTATATTTGTGGGCGAACGCGGCAGCCAATTGCGCACAGCAATGTCCCACAAACAGTCGTAGATTGAAAATGACCAATTTATTATTGTTTTGGGTTTTGGAGGATTATTATTAGGCTCTGTGTGGAGTAAGGAAACTTGCCCGAGGTTTCGCCCTCTGCCTGGAATTGAACTCAGGTCTCTCGCTTGCAAAGCGAGTGCTCTAACCACTGAGCTACAGGACTCCACGGCAATGGAATTATACCCTATGCCCAATCTGCCCCCCCCACTGAAGTTAACCAAACACTTTGTCCCAAGTTGCAATCTTCCACCTTATACACTAGAACCGGACTAATGGGGGGGGCGGGGGAAGAGAGAGAGAGAGATCCGCACTTGCGTGCCTGAATTTTTGGCCAAATGTAATTACAATGCATTTATTATTAGTAGTGTTATTATTACTTATCAGCTTTTTTCAGTGCCAATAAAGCTGGCAAAGGCAATGTGATTGTTTGAATCCTGTAAGCAGAAGAAGCTAATGATTGTGCCTTCTTCCACTCCCTTTAATGCAGGAGCCTTTAGTGTGGGTATATTAAACACACTCACTGAATGGATCGCAGGTTGCATGATTATTTTTTTAAAAATACACACAAGGCCTCAAACTGAAAAGAGGAAGATTCATTAAACGCTGACTTACCCACTTGGGTGGCTGGTGTAACTCGTTTTAGTCTCAACTGGGAATTCACCAACATTTGTCCGTTGTGTCTTTTCTTCGGGCTTCTCTGACGGGCCACGAGTTTAGCGATGTGTGCAATCTCATTGCTTACAGCAGCAAAGCAAATTGTCTAAAGATAAAGAAACCAAAAGTAGATTTGAAGCAGTGGAACTTTGTGAAAAAAAAAGCGTTGTTATATTGGTGATTTGCCCGAGAACGTCAAATAAAACCAACTCATTTGCAAATGACCAATTCTTGTACTGCATAAACTAATAATAATCCCTACATTCGGATAGCGCTACCTTTCACATCAGGAGGCCATCTTAAAAGTTATTCACAGAAGTACTGTAAACTGGAGTGCACATTTTAGGGGTGAGTGCAGAAGCCAATTTCGCACACAGCAATGTCCCCACAAATTGCCTTGAAGTGAATGACCAGTTTTATTGATGGCTTGGTGGCCAGGACACCAGAAGAAACTCTTTCATCTTTGCGAATTTCATGGTTTTTGTGGTTCACCAGCGTAAGGAGACAGAACCTCAGTTTTAAAGCTTTCATTCTGAAGGACTGCGACATGGGAGTGTCGGCCAAAGCTACCAGTTCCAAGTCCCAATGTGGGGCTTGAACCAATAACTTTCTGACACAGAAGCAAGTATCCTACTAACTGAGCTTTACAGGCTAACATTAATCCTCCTTCCCTGCCCCTCTCTCCTGAAGTAAGGGAGAAAATACACGACACATGTCCCTCAGAAAAAGCAAGAGGAAGTAATATCCTTTGGGAAGGCCATAATAATTTTATTTAATTAATTAATTAATCACTAGTGATATTAATAAATAAGTTTATCAAACTGAAACGCATTTCACTGGCTTTCCTCTGCTCTTCAGAAGATACCACTTGCTGGAGGGTGCAGTTCAAGTGACACCAGCAGCCCATCACAAAAAAGGCAGTTGAACAAATAGCAGCTGGATTCTGTCCTCGGACTTTTATTGCAGGTCATTTGATGCGGTTAAATAAAAAAAACAAGGAGACAGAGAAAGGAGAGTTTTAAAAAATGGCCCCATGCCACGTGGGTGAAAGGAGGCAGTCATACTTTAGAAAAAGAGGGAGAAAATTGGAAGGAAAAAAAAAGGTTCCAAGAAAGAGTCATTCATCATTCATATATGCTATTACCTCTCCATTTTTAACTCCAAACTTCACAACTGAAGGCATACTTTTTAGGTAGCTCTCAAGTGTTGGAAATCCGAGTTGTTTGTGAGAAATCAGTTCACCCGTGAGCTGCTTATATTCTGTTTGCAGTCGTGTGAGGGCAACACCATCTTTGCTTGACTGTAAGACTGCTCGTAACATCTTAGCCACCAGGTCCTTTTCCGCTTCCGACATCTTGAAGCTTTAAAGCAACAAAAAGGGTGGCTTAATAGTTCAGAAACCAAAATACAGGGGAGCCTAGTTATAAATGTAGCCCTCTTGCCCAAAAACTTAAGCAAAGCACACACACAAAAAAAAGGACTTCCTTCGCAGAGGGAAATTAACAGTCCTTCCTGTGGACATACACAGCCCGAGTGGCATCCAGGACACCACCTGCACATACAGAAAGTGACTCTGGTGGCATCGTGACAACTATTTTCTGACACAGGAAGTCAGCACCAGATGTAACACAGGACCCAAGTACTCCAAGTAAGGCAGAGCTGAACTCGGGGGTAGGAGGCTTCTAAAGGGATTTTCCCCATATTGCATTAAAACAAAACGGTGCTGATGATTTGGCAGGCCACCGAGATTTCCATGAACGGAATCTCCTGCGTACACTATTAGAAATATTTTGGAAACCGTAACACCAGTAAAATTACTCGAACAGATCCATTTCCACCCCCAAACTGCGTGGGAATGGCAGTCAGAAACCTGCAATCTAACGTTATTCTTAGGCGTACAGAGCGGTAATGAAACATGTTGCTGGGTCGTGTTTGTTCAACTACTACACGGGTTTGAATGGTGATGTTTCCGGAAACCGATGAATTTGCAGAGCTACTTAAGAAACTCGATGAAAAGTCTTGTTGAGAATGACATGGGTTGCCTGCGACGGGTTAGTGAGCAAGTGCACAACCCGCTTGGCGACTGAGTACAAACCAAAAGGTTCTCAAGTTAAATACCTGGTCTGTCTTGAGATCCCAATGCTTATTATTTAATGACTTTTGCTAAGATATGTGCACATGGAATAATCAAGCGTGAACAGGATCTAGCCTGCACGCCACTCCAGACTCCCGCGGAACGTTTAAGAGCGATATTATTTGCAAAGAGAATTTTCAGAGAGTTTCAAGTTATGAGGAAGTGAAACATTGGGGGTTTATAATAGTGCAGCTTCTGTTGGAAGAAACAGCCTTGATGTATTAAACAGTCTGTTTTTCTTCCTACTCTCTTGAAATAGCTACGTATAGCTACTGTTCCTCTAAAGTTTGTAGATAATGGTTAGCTCTTCCATTGGCAACCAGAAAAGCAGTTTACCAGATGTGGTGATTTGTGAGATCTCCTCTGGTGCCACAGGCAAAGCCGAGGTACTGCCTACTGAAATAAATGCCTTGCCTCCAAAATAGCATAAAGTAAATCAGTCTGGTGAGAAATAAACTAAATATAGCTCATATGATAAATTAAATCATAAGCAGTTATCATCTGGTCACGCTCCAAGTAAGATGCAAAGTGCCTTAAGACATTCCCCAGACATGAAAGGTACCACATAAACATAAGTCGTTAGAAATGCAGCTCCTTGAATGGAGTCCCGGAAAAAATAATTTCTAAACCTAAACCTTCTCAAACTCTTCTATGGCTATTTCAAGAAAGTAGGGAAAAATGCCGTTCAATCTATTATTAATAATAATAATAATCCTTGCATTTTAATATAGCACCTGATCACGTCATTGAGACTTTTCAAAGCGCTTCACAGAATATACTGTAAAGTGAATTGACTGGATATTTTGTGGGCGAAAAAAGGCTGTTTCATCAAACAAACTCTGCACATTCGTTCAAGAAGCTTCGAAGTTTTAAAACGTAAGCTAGAAATATTTTTTCATCCTATTTCCTCTTCTCACTCATCATGTGTTGAAGTAATAATCCTTGCGACTGATATAGCACCTGTCACGTCGACATATCAAAGCGCTTTACAGACATGACTGTAAAGTGAAGTGACCGTATTTTGTAGACAGCAGACAGTGACTCACACTTAAAGACAGTACTGTCATTTCCGGCAACTGTGGTACCTCACCCAAGAGGCTACTTTAATGTGCAATTCTGGCAAGTGATAATCAGCTGGCTTTTCAACAGCGAAAGGTGACCTGACTTAACCTAATCCTGTTTCTACACACAAACCATGTTTGAATCCCTGTTGGTTTTCTTCTGGTGGGGGAAGAGAGGATGACATGGGTAAACCATTCGTTGGACTGAGGAGACATAGAGTACCTGGCAAAACCAATCAAGTCTGTAGTAATGCAAGGCAACCTTGGGGGGGTGGGGTGGGTGGGGGGGGGGGGGGGGGGGGGGAGTCCTCGCAAGCAACACGCACGCAATCTCGCACGCACCAACATGCATTTATACATCATCCGGGATAGCGTCCAAGAGCGCTTTACGGTGGCACGGTTTGAAGCAGGACTGGGTAGAAACAGTCGAAGAGAAAAGTCTTCAGGTGCGATCTGAAGGTGGGCCAAGAGGGGCGAGGTGGAGGGATTGACGCATTGAGTTCCAGAGGTTCAGGACATAGTGGCTGAAAGCATGGCTGCAGATGGTGAAGCAGTGTGGTTGAGGGACTCGCAAAACTTCCAAACACATTTCCTGAATCCTGCAAGTCAACGCCCTAATGGGCTCATAAAAGAACTAGCTGAACCGGAGCAGCTTCCAATTTTTATAGGGCCAAGATACTGTGAGATTTGGCCGCTTTCTCTAACCCAGGAAACCTAGGCTTAGAGACTCGAAAATCGCCAATTGCCCAAGCACCAGCCTCGCTGAGATTTGGTAACTCAGCACAGACCATTCATCAGATCTAGGAACTTCCTGCGCCTGAAAGAATCACAGAAATACAGCGCATTTGTTTAGCATTCAGCTTAGAATAACTGCTATAAAGGCAATACAATACAATTTACATTTATGAAGCACCGTTCACGACAAGAGGACTGGATCTCTAACACGCAAATACTTCTCATCACTCCAAATTTTGCAGAATCCTACAGATGCCCTGCAAATTAATTAAACTTGCAATGGTCATGTGAATTATTAATTCTACATTGAGAAAATGGTTACAATCACTGTCCAGGCTAAAAAAGCCACCAAAATAAAGAAAGCATATCCTAAAAATCAACTGTATCTTGTGGGCGGATAAACACGATTGATTTCGAACCGTGGATCTCATTTCAAGGTTTGAATGAGATTAAAATTTGCTTTGCGTTTCACTCGATTGAAGAAACCAAAGTGTACTACATATCTCCATCAGAATTCTGCCCTGCAATCCTCCTCCTTTTTTAAAAAAAACACTCTGCGGGGAACCAGTTAATCGTTTGTGGTAATCCACCTGCTCCCAATTTGTGTTCAAGGTTTTTAAAATTAAATTATTTTGATTTTGTGCCAATTCAAAATGTCATCATACTAATCTCTTCACAGCGTCTCATTAATCCCATGCTAGGATGTTAGCAAAAAAAAAGGGGCAGTGCCGTCTTTTGTGAATAGAATTAAAGCAATTTTGCATGCGTAGAACACGAGCGGTTTACAGGGAATAAATAACATATGGCCATTATATCTCACTTGCATCTACACCACCCCAAATCCCTGTGGCTGACCTTCAGCAGGCTGCTTCCTCTTATCTATCAGTGTCTGACACCAATCTTATCAATCTGAGCCCCTCAGCTAAAACTACTGCTTTGCAATCGTTCCCCGGTAACCATTATTCTGTATAAATCATGCGATAGAACTACAAACTAATTCCTTTATACTCGCCTGTGAATCACATAGCGTGCAATAATGACCTCACAATACTCTGTCTTCAAGCTGACATCAGGATAGCTTCACATTACTGAGACTATATCATGAAAATTTAACTATCAGTAAAATTCTAGGAAAAAAAGAATTTATTACGAGTGCAACATCATCACACTGTGTAATGCGAACAAAACGCTGTTAGAATCTAAAGGTATCTTTCAAAGCATCCCGATCGAACTAAGTCTGATAGTTTAGAAAGCGTTTGATAATGATGAGTAATGGATTAGGGAACTGAGCTGAAAAAGTGTGTTTAAATACTCACCCGGCTAGAATGCAAGAAGTGTTGGCGTGGAATTATTAAACTGTACTCCAGGTGACAACTGCTATTTCTGTGCTTGCTCAAGATGTCTTCTGCCGTTAACGATTTAGGCATTTATAAAACATTAGATGCCGATTACCGAAGACCAGAAATGACTTTGCTGAAATACCATTCCTGCAATTCGGCACAGCTCACCAACAACGATTTACGATCATACAATACAAAGACTTGCATTTAGATTCACAGGTCTCAAACTAGAAGAGAGAAAAGGGTGGCAAATATCAATGTCGTGTCCCAGTACGGCGTGTGTTTGTTTTAAGCAGAAAGTCCTGGTTTCCCCTCTGCCCCCGGTGTCACAAGGAATGAGAACAAAGTGAGCAAAGCCACAGAGAATAATGGTTTGAAACAGACCGCGGGTGACGTCACAAGGCTGATTGTTACACGAATTCTAACAATATCTGCAGCTGTCCGAGCAAAACTCAACGGAAACAATATCCGTTGCTGTCAGATCAGAATTTGATACGGAAAAATTGGCAAATCAATTTTTTTGTTGTTGTTGTTGTCGGGGCAAAACCCAATGCCAATACGTTGGCTTCGAAAAAGAGTTTTCGCACATGACTACCTTGTGGATCAAAGCGGAATGCAGTATATCATTAAAATATACACAAGAGAACATCGTCGGTTTGGTCTGTGCTGATCTAGATTTTCAACTAGTTCAGTTTAGGGTACATCTTTTGGCTTTGTATTTTATCTGGGCTATAGGGAAGAGGAAAGAAAGGTGGTGGTGGGGGGGGAGCCAGGATTCCTGCCCCATCCAGAAACTTGTACTGGAACATGTTCAAGTGTAAATTTGATGTGCTGAGTTGCTAGTTCCTCCCCTCACCCCCAACAGTTCAATAGCCTTCTCACAATCAGTCTGAGCTCCCAAGTGAAAAATGGCGCCTTGAGTGTGCTTCGGGTACTCAGCACAAGTCAGCACGTTCAGAAGACCGCACTGCTGAGGGGGGAAAAATTGGTCCAAAAAGGATAGCTTGGCAATAGTTCTGTTACTAGACTCTTCCAAAGCACCCGAGCATGAAAAAAAACATTTTTCCGAAGGCTCAGTGGATAAATGTAGGTTATTTTATCTTTACCTGACCAATAAAGACCCAAATTCAATCCTCGGTTTGTGCGGTAGCTAATGTTATTGGTGGGCGTGAGAACAGTCAATTGACCGCAGCGCTGAGTATTCGAAAACACTCACTGGTTAGATTTTTGGACAAGGTACTGAGGACCTGTTGTTCTTGTGGAACTGTTGGGTCAACAAGCGTTGACTACTTTAGTCAAGTGTTGAGGCTTCAAGAGAAGGCTTCTTTCAATGACAGATGCAAGTAAGCGGAATAGGGATCCCAATAAACCGAAGCTCTGAACTACAGGGCGTAAGGTTGCGTACCAATAATAATAATACTTGCATTTGATATAGCGCCCTATCATGTCTTCAAGGCGTCTCAAAGCACTTCACAGTACTGTAAAGTGAATCAACTATATATTTTGTGGGCGAAAGACAAAGAGTCGTGGATTGAGTGACCAAATTATTATTCTTGTTTTACAACAATAAATTATTATTCTTGTTTTACAACAATAAATTATTATTATTATTGTTTTACAACGATAAATTATTATTATTGTTTTACAACAATAGCGTCCTTCATGCAGGGTAGCGTCCCGGAGCACTTTACATTTATTTAACTTCTTTCACTTAACACTACAATTGGCAAATAAAACTATACCTATTTCTGTGGTATGTACCAGACTGCCTTGGTCCCAATGAATTATCCTCTGAACAAAATCCTATACAAAATTTGGTTTTAACTTCATCATTGAAAAGAAGAAAGGAATAAATTTAAGGTTTCATTTTGACCCAATTTACCCACACAAAATGCAATCTGAGCACATGACTGACAGAAAATGATCTGAGAAAAATCACCTGCCAGAAACCTGCACAAATCTGCATCCGTGTGAATGAAGTGAGTGCATGACTGGTAATGAATTTCAATGAATCACAAGAGAAAACCCTACAATCTGCTCTACAGGTTTACAACTAGAAATGCATTGACATTCCAATGCATAAAGTATGATGTGATACTTTGATAAATCACTTTCAATTTCATATAATACAATGAATTTCATATGATACAACTGAAGCCTTACTTACTACGGGTCAGTTTGCACAAGATTTCTGGGAAGAGAAAACGCAAACTAAATGCACAATTCAGGCTTCTTATTTATTTTTTTAAAAAACAAATGAGAAATAAAGCAAATTAGCCACTTCCCATCTTTCCAATTCCCCCAAAGAAACTTTGTGAAGGACTTTGACGTTCAACACTATATCAAATGCAAGGATTATTGTAACTTTCTGTACAGGATGTGACAGACACAATTGCATTACAATGCTGAAGGATAAATATTCCACTATTATTCATTGTGTAAACTGTCAAATTAAGGGAGCAATGAGAAGAATTACTTCCTTCCGCCACTATCATGAGTCACATTTTCCTGATGTGTAAACCATAATGGATAGTCCCATAATATTGACAGTAGATTCTTTATGTTATAAGTACAAGATTGGATTTTTCTTTCGTTCACCAATTTTCTGCTCATTTCCTTAAAGGCGATTTGGCCTTTTTCCATCCGGTGAGGTAATACTGCACAGGTGCCCCTAACCTCGCTGACATGTTAAGGCTACTGGAAGATGAATCGCACTCTTCGAAAGGGTCTGAAGGCAAACTCCTTCGGTTTGGATTTTCAAATCCCTTCAATCCCTGGCACCTCCCTCCCTATACGATCTGCTTACTCCCTACTCCACCCGCTGCCTCCGCTCGGCCGGCTCTGGCCTCCTGCTTGTCCATCGAAGCCTCTGCTCCATCGTCGGTGGCCGTGTCTTCAGCCACTATGCCCGAAACTCTGGAATTCTCTTCATCAATTCCTCCGCCTTGCCCGCTCCGCCCCACACCCCACGTTCAAAATCCCACCTAATGACCTTCCTTTTTGATCCTCCTTACGGTCACCTCTCCTGGGATCAGACTCCGCCACAAGCGCTCCGGGACTCTACCCCGTGTGAAAGGCCCTACATGAAAACACACTACAGGAGCAACTCAACCCTTTTGACTTGGATGGATATATTTCTTATTTCAGAGCCCCTTTTGTCAGGAAGAAATGAAGCATCACAGTAAAACAGAAATACGGTACGTGAACGTTAAATAACCCCCCTTTTTTCCAGCTCAGATTTGTAGTACTTCGTTTCAGCAAACGACCGAGGTGTAGTCTTCTTGAAAAGTTTTCTCCCCAGGCTATTTAATAAGCCTCCAAAATCCGTTTAAGTAGCAGCACAGTGCATTGCTTTCCAGGCCAAACTCATTGCCTGTATTATATATTATTATTATATATTTGTCTCCAGAGGGACTTGGTAATGTAGAAAGGGCAACACTGAACCTGAATTTGAGTCAGGTCAGCTGTTTGCTTAAAGAAAAGCCACATCTTCAGAGCTGATTGCCAGAATACCGGTTTAAACCAACATTTTTTATGAGTTGTATTTATCAATTTGTGCATTGGAAGTGCATCTTTGAGTAAACGTCAGCATGTCAGGCAACAACAACAAATTACACTCGTATAGCGCCCTTCACGTCGGAAAGACGTCCCCGGGCACTGGGCAACCAGGGGTTTTGGACCCGAGCTGGGAGTTGGGGGTCAGAAGGGGAGGAGGGTGGGGGTGGGAGGGTGTCCAAAGGCACGATCAAAGAGGAAGGTCTTCAGATGAGACTTGAAGGAGCCAAGAGAGGGGAGTGGGTCGAAGGGATTGCGGGATAGAGTTCCAGAACGTGCGGGCAGAGATGCTGAATGCCCGACCGCCATTGGTGGGGCGGGAAGTGCGGGGGACCTGAAGCAGGCCGGTGTCCGCCGAGCGGAGGGTGCGGACAGGCTGATATGGGGTTATGAGGTCGGAGAGTTAGGGGGGAGCAAGACCATGGGGGGCCTTGAAGGTAAGAACGAGGGTTTTGTACTCGATTCTCTGAGGAATTACATGTTAGATGTTGACATTAATTTTATCGAAGAGGAAATAATGAAAACCAATTATTCATTCCCAGAGAGGAATTGCGATTATTTTAAATCTAGACTGCTGACACATTTTCATGCAGAAAGTAGAGCACATAGGAGCCCTCCAAGCATTTGCAAGACTTAACGTTAAGGTAAAGAAATGTCTGGCAAGGAATTCTCTGAGAGGCTGAGGCAGACCCATGGTACCCAATTTGTTACTGGATAAGATTTTAAATGGGAGAAAAGGTTTCAAGATAATCATTTGCTGAAGGTATCTCAACCAAGACAAGTATTGGTCGATGCTCAAATATAAGAACAAACAGAACTCCAATCCAAGACTTGCTGATCACTGGTCTCTATTCCTTATAGGCATTCGTCTCCATCACTTGAATTATTTTGTTAAGTTTCCTGTCATCTTCCAGACTCTGATTGCCTGGGTTAAGTTTTTCTATTTTCCTCAAGAAGTGCGCATTCTGAAGTGTGAAATATTAGATACCACGGAGACAGCCAGTCTCCAGATCAGGCTCCGCAAAGGTGGGGGAGAGGAAGAGGAGGAAAAAGGAAAATTAGCCTTTTCTTTGATGTGGATCCAGTCAGAACTGCCAGAATGTTTTTTTTAAAAGAAATCTTCCTCGTGTTAACCTAAAGCATAGTTTTGGTTAAGATACTAGAAGGTGCCAAGTATTTGTGAACCTGTACCCTAACAAAACGAAAAAAAGGGAGAACCTTTTTCAGTAAAAAATGTTCTCAGTCTTCCAGGGCACTGCTGATAGCAGCCCTGTCGGCCTGGCTCATCGGCAGGACTTGGGAGGGCAGACCAGTCACTGTGTGTAGGGTTTCTTCCTATTCCGCTCCTGTTAACCTTGCAATCCAAAGCCCTAACGGCCAGGGTGTTTCTGCATTAGCAGGAAAGCTTGCTTTCCTTGAAAGTGCTTTCAATGGCAAGTTGTGCTGGTTTAGTTGGTTGGACTCCAGCTGTACCCCAACGTATATGCTGCACCAGCGCCTAAGCACAAAACATCCAGGACTCTGCAGCTCGTGTCCTCTCCCACACCCGGCTACATGACCCCATCGCCCCCACCCTCGCCCCGCGCCAGTGGCTCCCCATTCCCCAGAGGATAGAGTTCAACATCCTTGTCCTCGCCTTCAGTGCCCTCCACGGCCTTGCCCCCTCCTACCTCTGTGACCTGCTAACCCCTTAATCAACCTGTCCGCTCCCTCCGCTCAACAGGTTCCGGCCTGCTCCACATCCCCCGCCCGGCCCCCCCCCCCCACCCCAGCCATCAGCGGACTGGCCTTCAGCCTCTCTGCCCCCACCCTATGGAACTCCATCCCACATTCCCTCCGCCTCACTCCCTCCCTCCCTCCCTCGCCTCCTTCAAGGCACATCTCAAGACCGTCCTCTTCAACTGTGCTTTTAGCCGCCTTCTACCCTCCCTTATCCCAACCCACACCCCACTGTGGGGGCCCAAAGCCCTGACGCTGATTGTCCAGCGCCTTGGGATGTCCTCCCGCCATGAAAGGCGCTATACAAATGTAATTCCTGTCTCCCTCAGTAATGCTGCAGTATACATTATTTCTCACCAGTGGCACACATCTATCCGCACCAAAATGTAGTATGAAGTACCGATCCCATTTCAAATCGCCAGCACGACACCAACTCCAAGACTTCAGAACACTTTTCTTTCGTTCACAGTAGCCCCAGTTGGGGCAATTCTGGTTGCTGGGAAGCCTAACTTTTATTTACATTTTTCCGCACTATAATCTGAACTGTCAGGACTATATTCTGAACTGTCAACTCAATTTTGATTGCACTAGTCACTGGCAGCAACTTTCCAGTACGTCACTTATTTGACTATTCCACGTGTGCGAAACTTGAATGTTGTCATTTGACTACTGCAAGTCAGGGATGACAATGCCAAGCCAGGATTATTAAGGTCTTGAAACGTCCTCCCGACATGAAATGTATATAAACGTAACACAATATAAATGCTAAAATATATTACACTCTATATGAACGTAAATTTGTATTGCATTCTACGTGTGAAACTTGAATATTGAGCAGATAGTTTGAGCATCAAATTTTGCTCTAAAGGTCCCTTCAATTTTTCCTTTCTCTGCGTCTGATTTTGAAAATTTCCAGTAATCATAAATGCAGAGGTATCTTCAGCCAATATTCCATTGTCATACAATAACTACTACTGATTTTTGGAGACGTTGTTGGTGGCACATCGCTTGTTTGAGAAAGCCTCAAAAGGGAATCTAAGCAGAGATTATCTCCAGTAATTGTACATCGCTTACCTCACACCTATCCCGGGAAATACATTACAGCAAACCAGATTAAGTAGTATCAGTTAGCACCATTCATTTAATATGATTTGTGCAAAGTATGAGTTATGTCAAACTTGAATAAAATATAAACTCTTCAACGGGACTTGGGACAGATATACAACTTAGGCAATTATACGATTGATACAGATCAGACTTGTGTGAGTTTTACTGTACATTGTTCAGTTGTTTTAATTGAGGAATCCCAATGGAAATTGGGGCAGATTGGACCCGTACTACAAAATCATCACAGCCAAAGTTCAATCCTGCCCTCACCATCTCTCCCTCCATCACCCCATCATCCATACAAGCACATGCTGACTCCAGACCAGACACTGCCCCACCCCTCCTTCCAACCTGACATTGAGAATAACGTAATTTTCTCGCTGCCTTCCATGTTCCAATTAATTAATGCAGCACAAGATTGTCCTCGTCTGCGTGGCCAACCGGTGCATTTACTCACTCAGCTATTGCGGCTTTATTTTCTCAGCCTCCCCATCCTGACACAGCATTTTCTATTGATCCTTCCATCAGCGCTTTTCAAGTCCACAGAATAAGGGCATCAGTGAAAGTGGTTGGTAAATCATTTTCGACACGCAGCATCGTACACAAAATGATTAACCCTTTCGGATGCTAACTTATCTACCGTGGAAACGATCAATTCGCACATGTAACCCACCCACGCAAACACACACACACATATACACACATATATACACACGCACAGCAACGCGTGCAGGTGGGGAAAAAAAACATTTCGCCCGCAAAACACACAGTCGATTCACTTTACAGTATATTCCGTGAAGCGCTTTGCGACGTCTCGAAGACGTGACACGTCGCTGTTATCAGACGCTAGGATTATTATCACAAAATTGCTTTCCATCCATTTGCAACGTAAAAAGGAACGTTCACGGTCAGTCTACGTGCAATCCACACGGCAGCAGCATCCCGAGTGATGTGCTCAAGTCCTTCAAGACAACAACAACAACACCACCGCCTCGCATTATCTATCTTATAAGCTACCTTCGGAGTGCGGTAGGATCCTGGAGTGCTTTACCCTTTGGCGGACGGAGCCTGACACTGAGCCACGGGGGGGGGGTTAAATCAATGAATTAGCAACCCAACAAGCGCTCATCATCAGAAAAAGCCGCACCCGGATCAAAACGTGTCCGCATACCAAATCCCCGCCAACCTAACCGGGTCGGTGTGACCGAAACGAAACAGAATAGCTCGCGGAGGACCCTGTGACTCATTTCTTTTTTTTTAAAAAAAATTAACAATATTTCTCTCTCACCCTCTCTCCCTCTCTCTCTCAATGCCAATGAACCAAATGACCCATCCCTTTGCCAGTCAGTCACACTGTGTGGTGGTCTCACCCCCACCCCCACCACTACCACCACCCACACACACACACACACACACTCAGCTCAGGAAGTTTGTGAGAATAAGAAGTGGAAAGAAAGAGGAGAGAGAGAGAGAGAGTCCTACCAGCAGCAGTCAGGGGCTCCTTGGGCTGTGAAATGGACTGTGGACTCCTAGGCCAGGGAGGGGGAGAGAGGGAGGGGGGGGAGGAGGGGGAGAGAGGGGGAGGGAGGGAGAGGGGGGGAGAGAGGGGGAGGGGAGAGGGGGAGGAGGGAGGGAGGGGAGAGGGGGGAGGGGGGAGAGAGGGGGAGGGAGGGGGGGGAGGGGGGGAGAGAGGGGGGAGAGGGGGAGAGAGGGGGGGAGGGGGAAGAGGGGGAGAGAGGGGGGGGAGGGGGGAGAGAGGGGGGGGAGGGGGAGAGAGGGGGGGAGAGAGGGGGGAGGGAGAGAGGGGGGAGGGGGGAGAGAGGGGGGGAGGGGGGAGAGAGGGGGAGGGAGGGGGGGAGAGAGAGAGGGAGGGAGAGAGGGGGGGAGTAGAGGGGGGAGGGAGAGGGAGGTTTGTCTCCTTTACAGGGTGTTTCACACCGACTGCAGACACCAGTCCAGCAACAGCCACAGGACTCCGGGTCTCCTCTCGGCCACTTCTCCACTGGGGCTCTCACACACACACACACACACAGAGTGAGGGAGAGAGAGAGAGAGAGACCCGGACAGCGTCAGGAAATAGAGAGAGTGTATGTGAGAGCGACAATTAAAGACAGTGACAGTGTCAGAACTGCAGAGTGTGTCACACACAGTGAGACACAGAGAGACACAGAGAGACACAGAGACACACACAGAGAGACAGAGACACACAGAGAGACACACAGAGAGACACAGAGAGAGACACAGAGAGAGACACACACACACACAGAGACAGAGACAGGAAGAGGGAGAGAAGGTGTCAGATATGAACCAGACGGCAGCAGAGAAACCAGAGAGACAGAGAGAGAGTCAGAGACACACACACACACACACACAGTGCGGTGGAGCCCCGGTGGACAGGGAGTGAAGGGGCCGCAGGATGTGCAGTATGGCCGACCCTGTGTGGGTGTGTGTCGGGTCGGGCCGCCGGGGGGGGGGCTGGGGGTGGCCGCCGGGGGGGCCGGGGGCCGGGGGGGGGAGGCTCGGGGTCGGGGCCGCTGTCTCTCGGCCTCTCGAGGCCCCGCGCCGATCGTTTGTTTTCAAACCGGCGGCCGGTGCGGCGCTGCGGGTCGGGGGGGCGGGGCTGAGGGCAGGGGGCGGGGCTGAGGGCAGGGGGGCGGGGCTGAGGGCAGGGGGGGGGCTGAGGGCAGGGGGGCGGGGCTGAGGGCGGGGGGGGCGGGGCTGAGGGCAGGGGGCGGGGCTGAGGGCAGGGGGGGGGCTGAGGGCAGGGGGGGGGGGCTGAGGGCAGGGGGGGGGCGGGGCTGAGGGCAGGGTGGGGGCGGGGAGGGGCGGGCTGAGGGCAGGGTGGGGGGCGGGGCTGAGGGTAGGGGGCGGTGCCTCTGCCCTGAGCCCCGCCCCCTCCATGACCCATGCAGTGAGGTGTGGTCTGAGCCAACAACAACAACAACAACAGCAACTTGCATGTGTACAGCCCCCCTGCACTGGGGGGGGGGGGAGGGGGAGAGAGAGCGCCTCCCCCCCCCCGAGAAACAGCTGACCTCACGTGAGCGTCCCGCCCCAGCCTCCCCCTCCCCCTCCGGGTGGGGGTCAAAAATAATAATAATAAAAAAAATAATAATAATAATAAAAATAACAATCCGTGACCGTTTGCAGGACGTCGTTGGGCGTAATCGGCTGCCGCCTCCGGCCCACGAAAATACGCAGTCGCTCCTGCGCTTCACGACGTATCCTGCGAAGCGCTTCGGGACGTCCCGGAGACGCCCAACGCCCAACCCCCGGGGGGTCCGAACGCCTCCGGGCACTGTAAAAGCGGCTGTCGGATTCCCTCGTCCCCACCCTGAAGGGTCCGTGGAGACGAGTGGTTTTCCTTCTACTGACTGGAAATCGATGCCATTTCGGTTCCAATCGATTCAGTGACTATATATATATATATAAAATATATAATAATCCTCGCATTTGATACAGCGCTTTTCACGTCTTCTTGACGTTTCAAAGCGCTTCACAGAACAGACTGTAAAGTGAATTGACCGTATATTTGTGGGCGAAACGCGGCAGCCAATTGCGCACAGCAATGTCCCACAGACAGTCGTGGGTTGAAAATGACCAATTTATTATTGTTTTTGGTTTTGGAGGGATTATTATTAGGCTCTGTGTGGAGTAAGGAAACTTGCCCAAGGTTTCGCCCTCTGCCTGGAATTGAACTCAGGTCTCTCACTTGCAAAGCGAGTGCTCTAACCACTGAGCTACAGGACTCCACAATATATCCCGCTTTGTAGGGACCTTATCACCTCCTTCTACAACCAGGGCCACGTGATCAATAGCACGTTTCCCTCTGTCACAAGTTAATGCATTTATTTAGTGAAAAGTCACCGTTATCCATACGACTGGATGCTGCGGCTTCAAGATAGTTATCCGCCCTTCAGAGTGTGATCGTGTTCTAAACGACTTGTGCCCATCTATTGTTTATCAATAAGATGACGAATTGATGATACTGTAATCTACAATTTAACCTGATAACACTGAGATCCCGCCACGTAAGCCATTAGAACTCACAAACATACGCAGTCAATTCACCTTACAGCGTATTCTGTGAAGCGCTTTGAGACCTCTCGAAGATGTGATAAGGCGCTATATCAAAAACAAGGATTTATATGTATTTTGATCACTGGATTGATCTAAAGTGAAATATCCTTCTCTCACCAGCAGTTACACATTTGCAAAGTGTGAAAGCACGCATGTTTATAAACAGCAAGTTAGGAGTAAACAGCGCAATCAATTCAGTTTTAATTGGCACTCGTAACATTTTGAATTCCACGGAGTTAGAGCTCCTCCTTGTGACACAAGGAATAAGTACTGGGAAGTTTCATTCACGTACGTTGGAATTTTGGAGCAGAAAACAACAAAATTACATTTGTATAGTGCCTTTCACGCCAGGAGCAGGTGCCAAGGCGCTGGACAGTCAGAGTTTCGGACCCGAGCTGGTGGGAGGGAGGTGGGCTGGGAGAGGGGGAATGAGGGTGATCAAAAGAACGGTCAAAGAGGAGGGTCTTGAGATGGGTCTTGAAGAAGGCGAGGGAAGGGGCGAGGCAGAGGGACTGCGGGATGAACAACCGTTCCACCAATGCAGTGCTGCTCTAGAGTGTCAAACTAGACAAATTCAAAGTCTTAATTTGTGTGCAACCAAATAGGCAAGCTGACAATCTTGTGGATAAAGGGATATGGGGATAAGGCGGGTAGGTGGAGTTAGAATAGATCAGCCATGATCTTATTGAATAGCGGGGCAGGCTAGAGGGCCGAATGGCCTACTCCTGCTCCTAATTCTTATGTTTTTATGACACATAATTGTAAACACTTCAATCAAATTACATCTCATGGAGTATACATCCTTTAGAGGTACATTATAATAATAATCCTTGCATTGGATATAGCACCTTATCGCTTCTTCAAGACGTCTCAAAGTGCTTCACAGAATATACAGTAAAGTGATGTTGCACACCAGGTTTCCAGCGATGCTCGGACCTGACATCCCAATTCCAACAAACTCACGCTCCTGCACACAACTTGTCACTCTGAGTGGCTTTCTTAGCAACTGAGCATAAGTGCATCAGGTAATATTTCCCCCACAGTGTGATCAGTCTTGCAAAAGTAAGTGTTGCACAATACCTTTAATAGAGTGTGTACTGTTTAAGTTGGGTATCGAGAACAAGAGAGTGGCAGAGAGAGGCTGATGGAAAGAGATGGCACAGTGCGGTACTGCACTTCATATACCTGTTGGAACTTTTTTTTTAGTTAGCGACTGTTACTAATTTGTAATTTGTGTGATATCCAATTATTCACACTGGTTGTCTGTAATGGGGTCAGTTTTCCAATTAGGGCAGATAATTGACTCTCTACTGTAAATAGATATATGGTCTGTTGAGGATTTGTGACCATATAAATGACAGGCCAAGCAAGGCAACCGGTCATGAGTGAATAATGTAGAGCAAATAATAAACAAACAGCAGATTGGTGGGAGCAGATAAGAGTCCAAGTTAGAGTGGATCATTCATGGTCTGTAAAAGAAAAATGGTTCATTGTTATCAAATGGCCTTTTCTTGTTGGTGCTTTATTCTTTGTGTTCATTTTTCCAGGTCAAATGACATATGAAAGGCAGACATTCAACTGAGTAAAAGAACAGTATTTTTGTTTTGAACGATCGATACTGCACTCTACCAGGAGAGTAAAATGGTCTCCGTCAAGCTGTCAATTAACTGTATTTCAGGAACCTCACTGACAGATCAATTGGAAAATATCTCTGGAATTGTCTGCACTGTAGGTAGGCAATAAAAGCAGTGAGCGGCAATAGAATGCATGGTAGGTGAGGCGATGTGAAGAATCAATCTGTTTTAATGGCTAAATCCCCCTATTATTATTATTATTATTAATGATTTCTTTAAAAAGAATCGTAGAAATATTTAAATAGACGATCTGTGTACAACAATTTTCGGATGCATGTTGTAAGAAAAGCTTTTTATCGTTGAGCATTTGTTATCAATCTGCAGCAAAAAAACACCCTTTTAGCTATCAAACTAACCAGTCAGATTTTGAGGGTATCCGTTCAACTTCCACTCCCTCCCCATCTCCCTCCCTCCACATCTTCGAACCCGTCTCCCCCTCCTCTCTTGACACCACCATATCCAACATGAAACACACCACCTGTTCCCTTGACCCCAGACCCACCCCTCTCCTTACCTCCCAGCTCCACCTCCTCGCCCCTCTACTCTCCGACACCATCAATCTCTCCCTCTAATCGGGCACCGTTTCGAATCCCCTAAAAACAGCTATAATCACCCACGTCCTGAAAAAACCTTCCCTGGACCCACCCCTGCTTTTTAACTGCCAGCCCATCTCCAACCTCCCCTTTCTTTCCAAGGTCCTTGAAAGAGTCGTTGTTTCCCAGCTTCGCTCCTACCACTCCCTTAATGAGCCCCTCCACTCGGGTGTTTGCACTGCTCACAGCATGGAAACTGCTCTGGTCAAGGTCACAAATGACATCCTGTCCATCTGTAACCAGGGCCTCCTCTTCCCTCCTCATCCTCTTTGCTGCCTTCGATACCATGGACCACTCTATCCTCCTCCACCGCCTCTCCTCTCACCTCAATCTTCAAGGTTCTGTCCTTGAACAGTTTAGGTCTTATCTCTCAGCCCCGTCTCCAATTTGTCTCCGCCAACAGTGTCTCTTCCAGCTCCCGCACAATCTCATGCCGTGTTCCTCAAGGCTCTGTCTTCAGTTCTCTCCAATAGAAGAGGGAGTGAACAGGTCGATATGGGGTTAGCAGTTCACAGAGGTAGGGAGGAGCAAGGCCATGGGGGGCTTTGAAGGCGAGGACGAGGATTTTGGACCCCATCCTCTAGGGGATGGGGAGCCAGGCGAGCATAGCATCAGAATTGTAATTAGCAGTTTTAAACACCTGGATGCCTTTCTTTACCCAGAGCGTCTTAGATATAAAATGAATCAGAAAAATAGGTTATCCATTAGATGATGATAACTGATGCTTTTTGTTTTCAAATGTATTTTTCACCCTTTCTCCCTTCACCAAACCAAAATGTTGGTGCCTCTATCCTTTGGGGCAATGTACCTTGAGTTACCTGTAAGGAGACAAACATGAAGAGGATAGAGGGTATCATTTCCCAACACATTACTGCCAATTCTCCCTGTACCAGCTTTCCTGGTTGAACGGATGAAAATTGCTATTTAAGGGGATGTGGCAATGCAAACTTCGACTCTGCGTTGTATTTGCACAATGATCCATATTGCAGAGTTCCAGTTGTGTAGCAGTTATTCTGCTCATAGGCATGTCTTCTCTATAGTAATCACAAAAGATTGTATAATATAGGCTTCCAAAAGCTCTGACTTTTCTTTTTGTTCCACTCTTTGTTTAACTCTCCTTTTCTCTTGCTCTCTGATCTGCTCTGTTTTGTTCTGAACCTCTGTGTCTGTTCTCTGTTTTAACTCACTGGTCTCAATCCCCATTTTACTCTGTTTTGAATTAAACAAAGAATTAAACAGAGAACGAAACAGAGAATAAAACGGAATGAAATAGAGAATGAGACAGAGTGAAAAATCCTGAAGCGTTAGAATGCACATCAAAATTCACATCTTTGTTTTACTCTCTGTTTCGCTTACTGTTTTGCCTTTTTTTTTTTGCAATCTTCCCAAATAAGAAAGCGAAACGAACATAGCATTTAGTTGTCCCGTCCCTTTGTGTTGAAAATCTGCATTTTGAAGCTTCGTGGTTAGAGCACTTGTCATCGCAAGCGAGAGGACCTGGGTTTGATTTCCGGGCAGGGCGAAACCTTGGGCAGGTTTCCTTACTCTACACCGTCCCTGTTTACACAGCAGTAAGTAGGAACCTGGTTGTTAGTCGATTGGCGGATCGCTTTTCTGTGAGTAATAACCCTTCAAAAAATAACAATAATAATTTGGTCACTCAATCCACGACTGTTTGTGGGACGCTGCTGTGCGCAATTGGCTGCCGGGTTTCGCCCATAAAACATACAGTCAATTCACTTTACAGTATATTCTGTGAAGCGCTTTGAGACGTCTCGAAGACGTGATGAGGCGCTATATCAAATGCAAGGATTATTGTTGTAAGCTAAATTTGCAGTATCGGACGAGGTGCAATTTTGTAACCTTTTTGGTTATCCAACAAAATAATCATCGATATAACAAAATAGCACAGATTTATGCCATAAATCAAGAAATATTCAATCAAGGAACATTTATTTTGTTGGCTAACCAAAAAGGTTGCTTAGCCTATTCACACTCACTAACTGGGCTCACATATGAAGAATGCCCAATCCAGAGTTCAAATACCTACGGGAATTTTAAAGTGGTTATTGGATTCCCTCATCCCACAATGAAGGGTCTGTGAATACGAATGATTTTCATTGTACTGACTGGAAATCAATGCCATTATCAGTCTCGTTATCATGAAATATTTTGGTTCCAATCGATTCCGTGACCATATATCCAGCTTTATAGAGACCTTATTACCTCCTTCCACAACTAGGCACACAGGATCAATAGCACATTTCCCTCTGTCACAAGTTAATGAATTTATTTAGTGAAAAGTCACTGCTATCCATATTACTAATAATAATCCCTCCAAAAAAAAAACAATAATAAATTGGTCATTTTCAATCTACGACTGTTTGTGGGACATTGCTGTGTGCAATTGGCTGCCGCGTTCGCCCACAAGTATACAGTCAATTCACTTTACAGTGTGATCTGTGAAGCGCTTTGGGACGTCCTCCCGACGTGAAAAGCGCTATATCAAATGCAAGGATTATTATTATTATATTACTAGATGCTGCGGCTTCAAGATAGTTATCCACCTTTTGGAGTGTGATTGTGTTCTAAACAACTTGTGTTCATCTATTGTTTATCAATAAGATGATGAACTGATGATACTGTAATCTACAATTTAACCTGATAACGCTTATGTAATCCATTATAACTCCAGATTCTATGGCATAAAGGACTAATGAAATGCAACATCACCACAGAGCTAAGAAAAGCAATCTGAAAGAAACGTTTACTCATTGGGGTTCGTTAGGTGCTGTTTACTAAAATAGTAATTATTCTGTTCCAAGATTTTTAAAAATATTTTTTCTGATTTTTTAAAGTATTCATCTCTAAATTTGTTCAGTTGGACGCACTCTCCCCTCTGGATTAGAAGGTTCTGGGCTCAAATCCTACATCTGGCGGCAAACGAGAACATTTCCTTTGGCATCCTGGCCAACAATCCTCCAGATAAATCAATCATTCATCTCATCGCTGTTTGCGTTACCTTGCTGTACACAAATTGGCTGGCATGCTTCCCTGCAAATATACAGGCACTATACCCAACAGCAATTAACTGCGAAGCACTTTAAGACATTTTAAGGCCATTCATCTGTGTACAAAGGAAGTCTTATCCTAATGCTCCAACTCTGCTCTCTACGAGTTCATCAAATCAATTCAAAATTTAATAATAATAAAATGTAGTGATAAATAAGAGTCCTTTTGTGCTTCAACAAAGATAGTGTTACCATCGCAATACTGTGAGATTTATATTTTAGTGCATCAATACTTTACAAGCATTTTTGGACCTGTATCATGCATTTTTCTTACAAGATGTCAGATGAAAAATTTTGGCTGAATTGTCTGTCTCTCTGGTGTCAACCGAATGTGTTTGTGCCAAGCAAATGGGAGTGCTAGGAAAACAGGAATGTCAGAGTCACAAGAGAGGCATCCAGGGGAGAGCGGGATTCTCAAGAAGCAGATCATATGCCCTTTTTATTTAGCTACTTGATATTTACTTACCATTTAGTTATCCCTTGAGCTGTCACTGCGGCAGGCAGGACACTGAGCACGTCTAGGGGAAGCAGAAGGGTTTGGATCAGTTTGCAATAACTCCCACTTATTAAAATAAAATACATTTCTTCTGCAGTCATCTATAAATATGCAAAAAGGATTTAATAAGGTGGACGTTAATAGGCTGGTGAGTTCAAAGTGAGGGGGGCAGTGAATATCAGATGGTCAGTAGCAGATCCAAAATGGAGTTTAGGAGGAACGTCTTTGCATAGAGGGTGGTGAGAATGTGGAACTCGGTGCCAAGAGTTGTGGTTGAAGCAAAGAACATCAATGTATTTAAGATGAAACTTGATGTGCACATGAGAGAAAAGGCAATAAGAGAGGGGGATTGGAGAGGGGATTAGGAGGGATGGACGCTCGTATGAAGTATAAACACCAGCATGGACTAGTTAGCCTGTTTCCATGCCATATCACTCTATGTAACCCTATGCGATTCCCAAACTATCATACATGACATGATACTAGCCTCAATAATTATTTATTATTGGGATTAATAATATTATCATTGCATAATAATGGTTTGCTTGGCATTTGTTGGCTCGGAGGTTTATTTGGGAAAATAGAAGGCAGTTAATCTGACAGGACTAAACAGGAACCCAACCCATCTCTCATCAGCCCCTTCTACTGACAAATACAGTAGCCCTATGTTTACTCGTGCAGTTGCATATTTCTATCACTAGAGAGAGAAAGTGTGCTGTGCGATGTTGGTGCTGTGCTATACAGTGCACTATCCAAATAGCAGCTGTGATAGAATGGTCTTGCGCAGATGAAGTCTCTCTCCCTCCACACCACACGCCCACCCCCTCCAAAAAAAAATGCCCAGCTAATCTGGATAAAGCACAGCTGTTGCTGGAAGTCTTTTGAATTCCTTTTGCCACTTCTTTTCCCAGACTGATCCTGAGAGGATCGCACAGGGAGGTAAGTGCCCGTGTTCCCAGACAGAACGAGGAAGCAACACTCACTCGTTTGTGGAGCACAGCAGCAGTTTCTGGACTTCAGCCCAAACGATAGGATCTTTGTTGTGACACAGCTCTGCCCAAGATTGCAATGCTTTTATATAACCTTGAAGGGGAGAAGCGTATTTGTGTGTTGGATCTGATCCACTATTTGGATAATTAAAAGTTTCGCCCACAAAATTCGCAGTCAATTCACTCTACAGTAGCACTTTAGAGATGTGAAGCACTTTAGAGATGGCTCGAAGATGTGATAAGGTGCTACATCAAATACAAGGATGATTATTATTATTATTATTAGCTGCATGCCTCTTCAGTGTTTAACAACAGCTTTCAGCTTGCACTTATCTTGTACATAAACTTGGGACGTCCTCCCGATGTGAAAGGCACTGTACAAGTGTGCCACACAGCAAGGTGGGAGAAAGTGCGGAAGGGAAGTAAGGGGAAGGTGACTGAAGATATGGTGAAAGAGGTAGTTTTTTTAAAAAAAAAGAAGAGTTTTGAAGAAAAATGAGGCAGAGGGATTTTAGGAGATACTGTAGTTTCAGAGTATGGGGAGATAAATGCTGACAGCTCAGCCACCACTGGTGTTTGGAGGTGGGTGACTGTCACATGTTTGCAGAATTAAGGGATTGGCTACAGGAGATTAAATTTAAGCATTATTATTAATAACATGTCAACATTATTTTTTATTTCAATACCCCATTCAGTCATTTACCATTGAATGATACTATCCGTTCTGCACCCACACAGTGAAGTGCGGCAAATAGGTCACCACACTATCGAACGTGTACCTGGTGCTAACTGGCCCATCGACTGAGAAATGATGGCTTGAACCTGTACAGAAATAATCCTCTGCACAAGGATCCATATAACCCCCTGATTCATTGAACCTGTGGAACCTGAGAGTTATGTGGCTATCGTGAAAAGCGATACCCAGTCATTGCTGATATTTATTCTGTTTATTATAGAAATTGGGGGCCTGAGGGTATAAAATAAGAGCATCCTCACCCTTACAGTCAAGGCTATAAGTAACGGTTATAAACTGCTCAAGTTTCACGCTCGTGATTGGCTGTGTTTGCAACGCACGCAATGTACCATACATCTTGAATGTCTACTTTTACTTAGGTCTCCCTCAATAATGGGTGAAGGTGCTGCTCAATTTACAGATACTACAAAATACAGACTGGCACATTACAGGTTTGATCCCCAAGTCTGGCGATATGCAAGATAAATATTGACCATTCGGCTACATTACTCAATTAAACCGAAATGAATCGAATCTGGTTCAATTCAAGCTGCTTGGATTTGGCTTATCTTTTTGACAACGTTTTCCGGTTACCCATTCATTTCGGGAAGATAACTAGGCATTGCACTTAAAAAGAGATTTTCATAAAGAAAACCTCAGAGGAACCAAGAGAGTATGTTAGTTCACAACTCATGTTGCTATTTAAAATCTTTCCATTACACAAAGTACTGTTTAAGAGTGAATGATTTATGCGATGGACTTATTCTTTCAGGTTTGATAGCTTTTTACGGGATAGGAATCGTCTTTCGTGTTTTAACAGGTTGTTCTATTATGTAAGAGCATATTTATATTTCACATCTCGTGAGCAGAATTGTCACAATAAGAAAGGTCTGAACAGATGGGGCTGGCAAAATGCATTTGGTGCATTTAGTGGTGTCACCTGATCCTTAATTGAACACTTTGGCATTGCTCTGACTTTTGCAAAGAAGACTAATGCCCATTCATTTCACTTGGTAAAGTTATATGTGCGGGCTTTTATTCCTCTTGAAGTAGCTCGTGCAGACTCCAGGGAGTTTAAGCAGCATTATTATAATATAAGTGTATAACATTTAAAGGAAGTGCTTACCTCTGTTCTTCTCATTGCTGCCCAATGTGGATAAGAAGATCTTTCACTCCAGCAGCCTAGGGAGAGAGTGTTGAGAGAATACAATTTCCAAATAGATGCAAGAGCCTCAAGAACATTGCTGCAACTTCTTTTTTTTTCTTTCAGTGCCTTACAGAAATACTTTACACCTGACAGGATACAGGAACATATGACACATCACAGTTTTCTGTTCCCAATTGCAGTTTTCCCCTAATCGATATTCTCTTCCGGCTCCCAATCCAGTCTATATCTCATTCCTACTCCTTAGATCCCTTTGCCTCCATTTGGAGAAAGAGAAAAGATTAAAAGGACATTTTTTTAAACATATACACACACACACACACACACACACACAGAGTTTGGGGGATATAGAATGCTTTACCGAGTGCAGTAGTTGAGACAGAATCTATAATTAGCTTTAAAGAAAAACTTTCTACAGTTCAATGCCAACAAGACTGAGGCTCTCCTGCTTGGCTCCCATCAGCACCCACTCACCTCAACCTGCATGGGTGCTTACTACACCTCACCGAGGCAGTGTAGAGCCTCTGCCTTATTCGATGCCCCTCTCTCCACCAACTGTTCTTCCAACCTTACATTCAGGCTCTTACATGCTCGGCTTTCCCTGAGCTCCGCAGAATTGCCCACATCTGCCACTATTTCTCCTGCTCCAGCTAATGAGACCTTCAGCCACGCTTTCAGCACTTCCAAGCTTGATTACTCTAAACTTCCTGCTCGGTAGACTCTATAGCATTTTCTTAAACAAGCTGCAGACCATCCAGAACTCTGCTACCCATGTCCTCTCCATTAAACTTTTTTTGCTCCAGTAAAAACAGCTCCAAAAGACTCTCAACATTAGTGATGTCCTCTGGTACAGTTCCATCTAGAATCTCATGCCTACCATCAGATCCAGCTTTGACAATAGGAAAGAAGGAAACTCACCGATTGAATCTCTTGCTCAAGTTTCAGTGGTTTCGTCAAGCATGAATAGACAGAAGGTTGTTAGTGAACCAGCCATCTGGCTTTTTGACCTATTATGCGTAGTCGATGGGATGATCTCAAGAGGGAAAATACAACAGCCCAAAGTTGGCCCGTGACACTGCAGTGTTATTAGTCAACAACAACTTGCATTTATATATCCCGCTTCACACAAGGTAGCATCTTGAAGCACGGAAAATAACTTTGAGCTGGTTAGCAAGTCCAATGGCAATGCAAATAAGTGTTGGACCTAATCATTGTGACTGAGTCGGGGAGAGGGATCGCACTGATGTTGTGGATGTATTTATTGACTGGCATACATCAATGTTTTGATAATTATCATCGGTGATAATGAACATATTACAGGTCAGAATTTTGACCGTGTTTTCATTTGTAGCTGGTTTACAAGTTCATTTATAATGACAAACTGCTTTTGATGTGAAGGAGCTCTGTTCTAACTATTAAATATTTGAGTCTTTATGGACTATTTTGCCTTTTACCTGAGTGGTTCTATTGTTACAGACATCTTACATTACTGTGAAAGGCTTGCTGTGAAATGTTTTATTACTTTGCTTAAAGCAGCCTGTAAAGATGAACTCTTGAGATAAACCCACTTAGGTCTCCTTATCGAGGACAATGCGACTGAGGTACAATGCCTCAAAGCCTTTGTCAATGTTGCTCTGAAAGGCCTGGGGATGAACTTGTTCTGCCCTCTAGTTTTATCCATTTCTCTGCATTGCAATCCCACTACAACATTGCCATTATCACAGCTTGGAGACTTGGTGCCTCTACGTGTCTTTAATTAACTAACTTTACTCTGTGAATCCAGGTCACTTGTAATGTTCCTTTGATTTGAAATAACATCTCATTACATTACCAAAAATGTCTCAAAGCAATTTACAGAACATACTCACAGTGTAGTGACTGTATTCAATAGGCAAACACAACAGTCAGTTTGTGCACAGCAATGTTCCACAAACAACACATTCTATCGGGTGAGGGGAGATTGTCAGCCAGGACACAGGAGAAAGTCCCTCCTCTCTTTAAATGGTATCATGGGATCTTTAATTAACACCCAACTGAACAATAGATAGCAATCCTTGCATTGATTGATTAATTGTCTTGTAGCTTCGTGGTTAGAGCACTCGCCTCGCAAGCGAGGAGACCTGGGTTTGATTGCTGTCCAGGCTGAAACCAGCCAACTCATTACAAATTGAAATGCGAACCTGAAGCCTTCAAACTCAGTGCTTCACCAGAGGCTTTACCCACAAAATTTTACGTTTGATATTACGTTGATAAAACATGGCGTCCTAAGGCATATTTGGAGTCCTGCAGTGTATTGCTTATAATAATAATAATCCTTGCATTTGATATAGCGCTTTTCACGTCGGGAGGACGTCCCAAAGCGCTTCACAGAATAGACTGTAAAGTGAATTGACTGTATATTTGTGGGCGAACGCGGCAGCCAATTGCGCACAGCAATGTCCCACAAACAGTCGTAGATTGAAAATGACCAATTTATTATTGTTTTTTTGTTTTTTTTTGGAGGGATTATTTTAGGCTCTGTGTGGAGTAAGGAAACTTGCCCAAGGTTTCGCCCTCTGCCTGGAATTGAACTCAGGTCTCTCACTTGCAAAGCGAGTGCTCTAACCACTGAGCTACAGGACTCCACGCCCTGGATTGAAAATGACCAATTTATTACTGTCTTGAACTGGGGTTGACTGGTTGTCCAGTTCCCTTTAACTCCCACCCCACACCCTCACCATCCTATAGTGAAGCACTCATCCTCTGCTCAATGTTCGATTCTCGAGCAGGGCGAAACCTTAGGCAAGTTTCCTTACTCCACACGCCTCTGCTTACCTTGCAGTAAGTAGGAACCTGGTTGTTAGTTGATTTGCGGGTCGCTTTCTGAGGGTAATAATCTCTTCAAAAAAATAAAAAAAATAAAATAATAATAATTTGTTCACTCAATCCACAACCGTTTGTGAGACGCTGCTCTGTGCAGTTGGCTGCCATGTTTTGCCCACAAAATATACAGACAATTCACTTTACGGTATGTTCTGTGAAGCGCTTTGAATTGTCTCAACGAAGTGATAAGGTGCTATTTCAAATGCAAGGATGATTACTATTAGTAGTCGAATAGCATCTTTCACAGTGGGAGGACGTCTCAAAGTGCTTCAACAGCATTTTACAGTGAAGGTAGTGACAGTGAATTTGTAAGCAAAGATAACATACAATATGCACGCAGCAATGTCCCACAAACAGCCGTGGAGTGAGTGATCACTGTTAAATGGGGGGATTGTTGACCAAGACACTAGGAGAAACTCTTCTTTTTGAACAGTGCCACGGGTTCTTTAACGTCCACCTGAAGAGGCAGATTATTTTCTTCAATATAGACAAGGAGATGAAGAGCGAGAACCCTAAATTCCCCCCTTCCTTAGTCTAGGGCCACTAAAGCTAATTAGAACATCTGAGGCCCTCAGCAGAAAGCACACTGCGCCACTGTTGAGCCATTCTATGACTTGCTTCTTGCTTGAGCACTCATTTGAGGCTATTCTTTGTGCATGTCACAGAATAGCTGTCGACCAACATTTATACTTTGTCTGTTAAGTTCCCAAGTTTAAATGGGCTCAACTTCTCCCTTATACTTAAAATGACAGCGTTACTGAGGATTGAACAGCACTTAACAGTCACGGATTTTGTCTGGAACAAAGGAGTCTGAGTACACAACGTTCCAAACAAGTAAGCGCGACCTTATTCGGAGTTTCACGTTAGTAAAAATTCAAAATTAGACCTGGTACTCAGATCCTTATCCAAAAATATTCACAGAAATCCTCTTGGACTTGCCATTGCACGTACAACCGGGACAAAGTTTCCGTGAAATTATGTTTTGGGCCATTATACTGCCTGTGCAATGGAGCAAAGTAGTTGTGAATTGGTTCCCAATCATTTGGTGTAATTATATCTAGTGATCCCATTGATATAGAGTACTTAAAGTAGGCACCATTGCGTATGCAATATGTGGGTTGGTATGAGTCAAATTAAATGAGACAGAAAATTTGATTGACTAAGGTTAGATCGGAAGGTAAGATTCCATCAACTGAAGTAATGTGGAACGACATTGTCACAGGCTCTTCACCGATGCAGGCTCATCATCACTCACTGGTGCAGACTATTGGAGTCCATCCTCATATCTGGGGCGTTCCTTTAATTCCCGATATCTTCATTGTTTGACAATTGAGAAGCTTTGCATCTGGAGTACTGAAAAAACTGGTTCGTGGAAATAGCAAATCAAGGAACACCATCTCCCCCACACACTTAGCCAACAACATTTGAGGCCTGGAATCCTCAAAAGTCTTAGGCTTAATGTTATTGTCTTAAAATTTAGCAACATGTGGATTTTGGAGAATTCTTAATTCAATACGTCTCCCCGCCTTGCCTGAACCCACCACTGGGGGAAGGGCCTTCAGCCACTCTGCCTCTACCCTCTGGAACTCCATCCCGCTGTCCCTCCGCCTCGCCCCTTCCCTTGCCTCCTTCGAGACCCATCTCAAGACCCTCCTCTTCAACCGTGCCTTCGATCACCCTCACTTCCCCCCCTGCCCTCCACTCTCCCCGATCCCAGCTCCCAGCTCAGGTCCGAAACATTGATTGTCTGGCACCTTGGGTCATCCTCCCGACGTGAAAGGCACTGTACAAATGTAGTTTTGTTGTTGCTCACAGTATGCAGCAAACCCTTGTCCTCAGCTCTGAACATTAGTCATATGTTGTTTTCCCTCTTAGGGCTGTGTGAGACACTCTGAGTTAACTCAAGCCATTACCTTGGACAAGATCCAAGGTTCTTCCTAGTAGAGGAATGAACAGAAGATTGGGATTAGATTAGCTTTAATGGAAAAAATACCAGATCAGACATAATGGGCAGAATTCCACCTGAAACAAGATTTACTCCATTTGCTTAGCATTTCAGTGTCTAGTATTTGGCAAAATTCTTAAATACAGTCTTAATTTGTAAGCCCATTATTCTATAAAAATTTTTAACAACTATAGGAAACCCAGTTTCAGCGTTAACCCTGAAGTCAACAACTTGCCCAATTCTGATCTGA